GATAAAAAAAATTATTGAATAATAAATCAGATTGCACACTCAATTAAATCAATCCATTTAAATAAAACTTAATTGAACGAATGTAGCTTTTACACATTTATTGTATCCTATAAAAATGTTGGATGTAGTAAAATATTTCAAAAAAAGGATGGAAGCTTCAACACGAAACAAAATTAGATTTGTGTGATCAATACAACAGCAATAAAACATTTGTAAGGTTTCTTGCTGTTGTGTTTTTCACACAAGGTACAGTGAACTCTTGATATAAAGTTTCTTTCGATATATCATCCATATATTTGACTTTTTCCCTTTTCTACTTCCGCTTATCGCTCCCGAGAAAATGGAACTTCTACTTCCAAACCCTGATTTCTACACTAATTAATCACAGACATTATTTAAAATAAGAAATTTCATCAAATTTATTCAAATTGTTGTCAAAGTGAGATCATAAGATTTATTTTATTTTTACTGGCCCACAATTGTCTTATAAGCAGAGGCTTGATTCATTTACCCATACAAGTCAGATAATCATTATCTGATAATGACATTTGTAAAAAAACAAGCCCCAAAATAAAATGATGTTTCGAGCAGTGGCACAATTTTGTTTTCTTATTCTTTTTCATGTCATTCATTTCATTTTGTGGCTTTAATTAATTCGATTCTATTCAAGTGATTCTGCTCACGATGAAAATATTTTTTGCATAGTGTAAGCTTAATACAATTTTATTTATAATTATTTTCTTAAACGTTTATATACTTTATTTTTATTGTTAAATATCTACAATTAATAGTTTATTCAATTTATCCATTCGCTGATCAAATCTCTTACTCTTAATTTTGATTGTGTTAAAAAGAATGAATCATTTTCTAAATCGATAGACCCGGTATCGGCATGTGCACCAACTCTTGGAATGACAGTAGCTCGGGCTGTTGGATTTATGTCACGTAGAACACCAAGGAATCTTTCTGGATCCATTTCACCATTGGTGAGGTAAGCATTCGATACATTTGGTTGTGCGCCACCGAGCATGATGTTTGTAAGCTCAATTTGTCTTCTGATAAAATCTTCGTCAAAACTATTTGTTGAGAATATTTTTGGTGACTTTTACATTTAAAAACTTTGTGAATAAAAACTTACGTTGGTCCAAAAACTTCAGTGCATGCATCAGTAAATATTTCAGCAGGGAATCGATTTCCAAAAGGTTGATATTGTGAACTTGATGTTGAAAACCGTCCAAACTCTGCGCACATTTGATAAAGTGTTTGACGGAAACCAATCTGAGCACCTGCCATAGTCCATTCATTTGCACTAAATAAACCACGAAGTTCTATATAATCAATGAAGATGCAATTATCAGAAAATACTGATCTTGTGTAGCGAGCATATCTAGTAAAAGCATCATCATCATTCAAGTCACTCGTCATTAATTCACAGAATTCTTCAGTCTCTGTTGGAGGGCCTTCTGTGAATCTTGATGCATATGTGACAGCTAAGCCATTCATTAACGCTCCAAGACCAAGAGTCGTGTTTGTAATATTGTGACAAAGATTCAAACTATTCTCAATCAGTTCATATTCTTGATTCTGTAAAAGTTGCTCAATTTGTTCATAAGCTCGCTCTATTTGTTGATAACATCGCAATCCTCCAACTTGAACGAGTGTATTAGCAATAGCTTCATGCATTTGTGTGAAGTCAAAAACTGCATGTAGCCGTGCACTTGAAGCCCAAACACCATCAATCAAATGAGGATATTTTGAACGAGCCCACACTGCATTAGATCCTCCATCTAATTGACCATAAGCGATAACTTTTGAATCAGCAAGTGAAGGATCTGATTCTTTAATCCATGTCACTAAATGTGCGATATCACCGATGGCTTGTTCTGAGTTCAGAAATCTTAAATTTTCTAATTCAAGGTTTCTAAGTGTGGAAAATGATGAGTTAATGTGACGACATATGCAATATGACTACTAAATACTCACTCTGTTGGCCTTGTTTCACCGTAAAACCTCAAACTTATCCCAACGATTAAAGCATTGAATTCTTTTGCTAAGTCATACATCAAACCTTCATTTAGTCTACTTATTATGTCAAAAGCACCAGCAACACGAAGAAATATTGGACCATTAGGCTGATAAAACTCATCGATAATGTAGTAAGGCTGTGGAATGAATAAAAAATTATTAAATCATTTTTAAAAGCTTTCTAAAGCTCACCAATTCCCATTCAGCGTTATTTTGACGATCGAAATGATCTAATGGAACTGTAACATTTCGTCTTTCAACTCTCGACGTTACACTTGTTGGGAGTTTTGGTTGTTTGAAAATATTAAAAGTTTCAGCTTTTGAACAAGCGACACTAATAATGAAGATCAAGAATAACTTTTTCATTTTTATTTCACTTTGAATTTGTTCTTTACGTTTTGGTGTTTCACCAATTATTGAATGATTTGGTATGATTGACTTGAACTTATATAGCGAAATTCTTATCAATTGATACTCTTCATGTGAATTGATTGCCAACAATTCAAAATCTTATCGTTCCCATGACTCTCATGTGATTTGTTACTGAAATATCCGATGTGACTAATAAAAACGTTGATAACTAACAGTCTATCGAGTTATGTAGCTTTGCTATGAGATTCTATTCGTCATCAATATTATTGTTATCCTTCGTCTTTTTGTTCTCACTTCATGCGAAAGAAATCGTCACAGAATATAAAATCTTTGTTTTCATTTAGAAAATTTGAATTTGATATTCTTGTCTTTGTTTTCTTTTAGTATAAAATTTTTAACTCTATATTATTCAATCATATGTGTAATATCTTGAACAATTGAAATAAGTGCGCAATTTAATGTTGTAATCGTTTTTAATTTTATCTACCAACTTTTATATAAATTGACCAGATATGAAAACATTTCTGTACTCACGTTTGGGGTAATTGATTTTAAACACACTACACGTTAGCCTATTTAAAGTAACAGTGATAATATGTGCGATAATTAATTTAAACAGCAATTTTAAAACAACAGGTAGGAAATATTTACCTGTAGTCACACATTGATTTATGTTCAAAGACAAATAATTCAAGCAATATTAACCAGCGAAATATCTAGTTGTTATTATTTTCTACTATTTTATAAAATTTCATTCCTAATTCATACCCTTTAACAGTTTCACACAATTCTTTGTATTGTTACTGGTTTTGTTGAAAATCGATTTTAGAAGCAAAGAAATTTTGCGATAAAAAAATTATTGAATAATAAATCAGATTGCACACTCAATTAAATCAATCCATTTAAATAAAACTTAAATGAACGAATGTAGCTTCTACACATTTATTGTATCCTTTAAAAATTTTGGATGTAGTAAAATATTTCAAAAAAAGGATGGAAGCTTCAACACGAAACAAAATTAGATTTGTGTGATCAATACAACAGCAATAAAACATTTGTAAGGTTTATTCACTTGACTTATTCACTTGACTGAAGAGTCAAGATAATTTGAAATTAACGGGATTTATTCAAATATTTTCATGTATCCTTTTTCACTTGCATGTTTGATGTTATCAATGATTCGTTCACTCACATCAGTACCACCACAAGTCAGAAGAAGTTCCTTAAATTGCGGGTTGTGCATGTCAGACTCAAAATACTCTGATATTAGCTGAGATTCACTCTCAGGACTTGCCATCCATGGAATTGAAAGAACACTGATAACAACAGCATAAAATGCAAACTCTTCAAAGTTTCTTATGAAATCATCAAAGTTGTACGGTTGAAATCGTTCGTCATCCTTGTTGCACATCAAAATTCTTGCCAATGTTTCTATTATTGTTTCATGATAAACTTTTAAAAGTTCATCCCATATCAAAGGCTTCATTGAAGCATGAACAGCCATATACATGAAAATTGACAAGTCAATAGCAACAGAAGCGTAGCGAACTTCTTGAAAATCAAACATCTTCAAGTCAGTGGGAATTTCTTTTCCGTTCTTGACTTCATACTTGAACATGACGTTGTTTCGATAGTAATCACCATGAAGAATCACAGCAAATTGATGGTCGCTTCTTAAGAAATTTTCCATTATTGACATGAAATTTTCATTCATTCGAAATTTAAAATTTTTAAGATCTTTCATAAACTTTTGATCTTTTTGATAATTTTCACTCTTATCTATGTACTGAAATGCTCGTTCGAATGCTATCGGACACAAATACTTGTAAACGTCAAGATCTCCTTGAGTTTCAGACTTCATATGAAATGGTGTAAGCCCATCGATTAACTTCTCAAACATCAGATCTTTTGTTATTTTCATTGCGAAAGAAACAGCGTGGTACGTTGCAATTTTTCTCGCCATCAATTCCAAATGAATTGCGTCTAAAACAAGTTTTGAAGTTGACATCCGATACCCAAGTGCATTCAAGTCTTCCAACACAACAATTGTTTCCTTGTGATCACTCAAACTCTCAAAATTCCCGCATTCGACAAAATAAACTTTGGAAATCCAATCATCACTTGATAAGTTGCCAGAAGCAGCAAATTTGGAAAAATATGGAATGATGGTTTTGTAAACGAAAACTTCGTTGGAACTTTGAAGAAATGCTTTCGATTTCTGTCGGAAATCTTCTTCACCTTTCATTATCTTGACAATAATCTTATGCAGAGTTTCACTGTCAATGACATGTTAATAGTAAAAATTGAAGAAAAATTCTTAAAATTACTAACTTTCCTGACGCATCTTTCACAAGCATGTCTGCTGTAAAAATTGTTGACATGAATCCATCAAGTTGTGGCTTTGGCTTTGCACAACATCGAACAATGGTTTTACCCTCGACCACAAATTGACTCATCATAAGCTTAGGTAATTCATTTTCCACAAAGTTTAGTTTTCTTTGCATGTTTTTAGTCATTTTAATCAAAGCTTTTTGCTAAAAACAGAATTAGTTGGAATTAAAATCTACTTTACTGTTCGTACTTTCTATTCGTTTCTGTCATGATAAAAATGAAATGAATAATCAAAAAATGTTAAATAAGTTCACTGTTTAGAAGAATTTTTATTGAATCATGCTGAAGCAATTTACAATTATTCATTNGTTGAATATTATAAATATTTGATAAAATTTTAAACATCTGTTCAAATAATCTCACTCACTATCCAGATTTATCTCTTAACTCAAGAGTAACTGAATAAATTGCTGACATAAATCCATCAAGAGTTGAACACGCTTCAGCTAAACATTGCACAATTTTTTTTTCCTTCAAATTCTTATTTCGTTGCAAAATTAACTTTGGTAAAATGTTTTCAATAAAATTCAATTTTTTCAAACTTTCGTCAGACATTTCTCTATTCCCTGGAAGATATTATGAACTGAATGATTAAAATGTTTCAATTGAGCTATCACTTAATTTTCTATCGTACGATTTTTGATGTTTCTACACAAAATAAATAAAAGCTTTCAAATGTGTTTGTGTCTTGTGTGTGATGTGACAGAAACGAAAATTTAGCAAAGTTTAGCGGTTGAGAACACAATTGAGAACACAAATTTTGAATTTTGCTCATAAATATGCAACTTATCACTCATAATTCATTATCACACTCACAAGAATTTGCTTATAACATGAATTGCTATTAAATTAGAATTAGATGTTTTCTATTTTCTTATGAAATAAATAATATTTACTTTCGATTGTTTATCAGCCAAAACACTTTTTGATACTTTTTGTTGTGTGAAACATTACGAAACATTGAGAACATTGTTTAATATTGTGAAAAACATTGAGAACATTGTTTAATGTTGTGAAAAACATTGTAAAACATTTTAATGATTTTCTCACAGATGTCTTCACAGACAGTCGTTCAACAGAATATTTTCCTATAACTAGAATATAAAATGTGACAACTTATCTTCCTTATCATCACATATAAAAGTCAGATCCGTCGGTAGAAAGTTTTATTATTATTTTTAAATTCACATTATCGTTTTCTAAATATTGATTCGAATGTAAATTCTTCTATATGTATTCAATGCTCATAAAATTTTTTCTCACGAATATCTCGTAAATGTCTCAAATATTTTCATGTAGTCTTTTTCACTTGCATGTTTGATGTTATCAATGATTCGTTCACTAACATCAGTACCACCACAAGTCAAAAGAAGTTCCTTAAATTGCGGGTTGTGCATGTCAGACTCAAAATACTCTGATATTAGCTGAGATTCACTCTCAGGACTTGCCATCCATGGAATTAATAGAACACTGATGACCACACCATAAAACGCAAACTCTTCAAAGTTTCTTATGAAATCATCAAAGTTGTACGGTTGAAGTCGTTCGTCATCCTTGTTGCACATCAAAATCCTCATCATTGTTTCTATTATTGTTTCATGATAAACTTTTAAGAGTTTATCCCATATCAAAGGTTTCATTGAAGCATGAACAGCCATGTACATGAAAAATGACAAGTCAATAGCAACAGAAGCGTAGCGAACTTGTTGAAAATCAAACATCTTTAAGTCAGTAGGAATTTCTTTTCCGTTCTCGACTTCATATTTGAACATGACGTTGTTTCGATAGTAATCACCATGAAGAATCACAGCAAATTGATGGTCGCTTCTTAAGAAATTTTCCATTATCGACATGAAATTTTCATTCATTCGAAATTTAAAATTATTGAGATCTATGATAAACTTTTGATATTTTTGATATTTTTCATTCTTATCTACGTACTGAAATGCTCGTTCGAATGCTATCGGACACAAATACTTGTAAACGTCAAGATCTCCTTGCGTTTCAGACTTTATATGAAATGCTGTAAGCCCATCGATTAACTTCTCAAACATCGGATCTTTTGTTATTTTCATTGCGAAAGAAACAGCGTGGTACGTTGCAATTTTTCTCGCCATCAATTCCAAATGAATTGCGTCTAAAACAAGTTTTGAAGTTGACATCCGATACCCAAGTGCATTCAAGTCTCCCAACACAACAACTGTTTCCTTGTGATCACTCAAACTCTCAAAATTCCCGCATTCGGCAAAATAAACTTTGGAAATCCAATCATCACTTGATAAGTTGCCAGAAGCATCAAATATGGAAAAATATGGAATGATGGTTTTGTAAACGAAAACTTCGTTGGAACTTTGAAGAAATGCTTTTGATTTCTGTCGGAAATCTTCTTCACCTTTCATTATCTTGACAATAATCTTATGCAGAGTTTCACTGTCAATGACATGTTAATAGTAAAAATTAAAACAGAATTCTTAAAATTACTAACTTTCCTGACGAATCTCTCACAAGCATGTCTGCTGTAAAAATTGTTGACATGAATCCATCAAGTTGTGGCTTTGGCTTTGCACAACATCGAACAATGGTTTTACCCTCGACCACAAATTGACTCATCATAAGCTTCGGTAATTCATTTTCCACAAAGTTTAGTTTTCTTTGCATGTTTTTAGTCATTTTAATCAAAGCTTTTTGCTAAAAACAGAATTAGTTGGAATTAAAATCTACTTTGAGCTTGTTAGAAACATTTCATTACTTTCTATTCGTTTCTGTCATGATAAAAATGAAATGAATAATCAAAAAATGTTAAATAAGTTCACTGTTTAGAAGAATTTTTATTGAATCATGCTGAAGCAATTTACAATTATTCATTTAATTAAAAATCTCAAAATATCCTTTTTCAAATGCATGTGTCGCAATGTTTGTGATTCTTTCATCAACATCAGCACCGCCACAAACTTGTGCTAAGTCTCTCAATTCAGGACTATTTGTGTCGGCTTCCCAATATTCTGACATGAGTTGACATTCGTCTTCTGGACATGCCATCCATGGAATGAAATGAATTCCAATTATAACTCCATAAAATGCAAACTTTTTGAAATGATTGATGAAATTATTAAAGCTGTATGGTGACAATCTTTCGTCACTCTTGTCGCATTTCAAGATTTCAGATATTGAACTTATCAAAGTTTCATGATAAAGTTCTAAAACTGGATCCCAAAGCGTCGGAAACAGAGTAAAGTGCATATTCATGTACATGAAGAAGACTAAATCAATCGCTGGTGAAGCATAGCGTGTCTCTTGAAAGTCAATCATTTTCAAGCCTTTCGGGTTTTCGTGGCCTTCAGCTTCATCGTAAAGAAACAGAACATTATTGCGATTGTAGTCACCATGTAGAAGAATCGAGAAAACGTCGTCAGTTTCCATGAGTTTCTTCAATAAATAAATTGGACGATGACCATATTGATCTTTAAATTTCTTAACAGCTTCAAGGAAACCTTTCTCGTTTTCTAATTTTGGATTTTCCTTGATGACTTTAAAGAATCTTTGAAGACCAATTGTGAAAAGAACTTTGTACGATTCCATTTCCGTGCCATCTTCTTGAATGTAAGGGAAAGGAATTAAGCCCTTGGCTAGTTCATCCAACATTGGATCTTTCTTTATTCGCATTGCATAACTAACAGCATGATAAGATGCGATATGTGTAATCATTAGTCGCAAATGCTTTTCATCCAAATCAATTCGTGGTCCGAGACGATAACCTAACGGCTTTAAGTTCTCAAGTGCCAAAATTGTTTCCTTTCCTTCACTTAGTTCAGGAAAAATTTGATAGTCGGAAAAGTAAACTTTAGGAATCCAATCAGATGACAAAGAAGATTTACATTCAGACAGAAATTTCTTAAAATATGGAATGACCTTGTTGTAAATGTAAACTTCATTTGAACATTGAATTGATGAGTTTGTTGAATCGCGAAAATTTTTATCGCCTTTCATGATTTTCACAATCATTTGAAGCACGTTATCACTGTTGAATATTATAAATATTTGTAAAATTTTAAATATCTGTTCAAATAATCTCACTCACTATCCAGAGTTATCTCTTAACTCAAGAGTTACTGAATAAATTGCTGACATAAATCCATCAAGAGTTGAACACGCTTCAGCTAAACATTGCACAATTTTTTTTTCCTTCAAATTCTTATTTCGTTGCAAAATTAACTTTGGTAAAATGTTTTCAATAAAATTTAATTTTTTCAAACTTTCGTCAGACATTTCTCTATTCCCTGGAAGATATTATGAACTGAATGATTAAAATGTTTCAATTGAGCTATCACTTAATTTTCTATCGTACGATTTTTGATGTTTCTACACAAAATAAATAAAAGCTTTCAAATGTGTTTGTGTCTTGTGTGTGATGTGACAGAAACGAAAATTTAGCAAAGTTTAGATTAGCCGCGTAATTGAGAATACAAATTTCGATTTTTGCTCATAAATATGCAACTTATCACTTATAGGCCATTATCACACTCACAAGAATTTGTTTATAACATGAATTGCTATTAAATTAGAAGCAAAAGTTTTCTATTTTCTTATGAATTAAATAATATTTACTTTTCGATTGTTTATCAGCCAAAACACTTTTTGATACTTTTTGTTGCGTGAAGCATTGCGAAACATTGAGACAAATGTTGAATGTTGTAAGAAACATTGAGAACATTGTTTAATATTGTGAAAAACATTGAGAACATTGTTTTATGTTGTGAGAAACATTGTAAAACATTTTAATGATTTTCTTACGGATGTGTTCACAGACAGTCGTTCAACAGAATATTTTCCTATAACCAGAATACAAAATGTGATAACTTATCTTCCTTATCATCATTTCACAAATAAAAGTCAGATCCGTCGGTAGAAAGTTTTATTATTCTTTTAAAATTCACATTATCGTTTTCTAAATATTGATTCGAATGTAAATTCTTCTAAATTTATTCAATGCTCATAAAAATCTTTTTATATATCCCCTTTTAAAAGCGTGCATCACATTATTTCTAACTCTTTCGACTGCATCTTTTCCGCCAGCTGGTAAACAAGCTTCTTTAGATTCTTTCGAAAACAGATCCTTGTTTAATTCTTTTTCTATGTTTTTGCAAGTTTCGAAGTCTGCAAGCATGATGGGAATAAACCAAGAAGAAATCAAACATCCATAAAAAGCATAATTTGTGAAATGTTTTTGGAAACTCTCGTAATCAAGTGTGATAATACGTTCATCGTTATCAGAACAATTTAAAATTTTAGTTAAAGTTGAAAACATGGTATCGTGATAAAACTTTAATAAATTATCCCATAATGTTTCGAATAATTCCGGATCTAAGTTCATGTATAAACAAAATGAAATATCCAACACAGGACTTGCATATCTTATCCATTGAAAGTCAAACATTTTCACTTTCTGAGGATTCTCAAAACCTTCAGATGCTTCATATTTGAACATTACGTTGTTTCTGTTGTAATCACCATGAATGATGATATTAAACTGTGAATCATCATTTATAAACTCTTGCAAAAGCTTGGAAGGTTTGTCGATGTAATTTCTATAAATAGTCTCAATAGCTGCTTTAAAATCCTCTGGTTGTTGACTTGAACTCACATGTTGATGAAGACGAGTCAAAGCAATATCATAAAGTGCATCAAAAAATGTTTTCTTTTGTTCGGTAAAAGGAAAAGGTTTTAATGCTTTTACGAATTCCGTTTGTTTCTCCTTATGTTGAATTTTTAATGCATACGAAACTGCATGAAACTTTGCAATCGCTTCAATCATAAGCTTAATGTGTTGTTCGTCTAATTTTTCTCGTGGTCCCATACGATAATTATCAGCAGTTAAGTTTCTAAATACAAAAACTCCTTCAGGATTTATTCCATTTCCAATATCTAATTTTTGATGAAATCATATTTGATTTACTAAAAATAATAACTGACACATATAAAATATTTTCTCACCTCTATCAGGTCCGTAAGAGCCAAAATAAAATCTTGGCGTCCAATTTGCCTTTAATTTAAGTTTTGTACGTTTCAATAATTCCGAATAAAATGGCAAAATGTTTTCATAAAACTGAAATTCATTGAATGTTAATTCATCAAGTTTGGCATTCTCACGGAAAAATTCCATTTGCTTCATAAGTTTCACAATCAAGTACAAAGATTGTTGGCTCTGTCTAAAAGTTTAAAAAATTGTAAGATGAAGAATAAATTTCTTCTTGGCTTATGTTTGTTTAGTATCATTGTCTACGATTATTTTCATAAAGATTAAATGAACGACTTCTTACCGACCCACATTCAAATCTTCTAAGATAAGAGAAACTTCAAAAATTGACGACAAAAATCCATCAAAAGATTTAATTAAAGAAGCTGTGCACGAGACTACATTCCAACCTTTGAACTCTTCATTATTATCAATAATTTTTGAAGGTAAAATATTTTGAAGAAAGTTCGTAACTTTTTCTGAAGCAGCTGACATTATTTAGATTTTCTTGATCACAACTGTTGTGAGTGACAATTAACACGAGACTGAATATTGCTTAATAATTCGTTTCGATCATTACAGTTTTGTAGAATGTTTGATAAGGGAAAAATGGTTAAAAATCCAAATTCTGTTCACTATTATGAGAAGATGGCGTTAAAACTTGTGAATTTGAAATATTTCGGTTTGATGAATGAAAATTTATTTTAAAAATTTAATTTAAGCTTTATTAACAATTTTATTTGTCATTTTTCCATTTAAAGTGGAATTATTATTTTCTTGTTTCCATACCTCTCAATTATCCTTTCACATATTTTCCAAATTATTCTGAAAACAACCAAAACATTCACAAGATGGCGTTGTTATTAAAAGAAAATTTTTAAAATATTTTCCAACCCTCATAAAGTTAGATCTCTTTATCATGGTATTGAATGATTGAGGACTCAAGTGCTACTTAATCACACTCAGAAGAAATATTTCATGGGTCACAGAATGACAGAGAAATAAAATAAATCAATATCTGTTTTACTAAGTGGATGGGGGCAGATTGTGGGTTGGTTTGTAGAAAATTCTGAAATGGGCAAGAGAAAGAAAACCTTCGTAGCATACTTTGTATAAATTATTATAGATAATATGTCATAATAAATCTGTTTGACAATACTACTCACGAATGAAAGTGAATGATAAAATGGATAGATATACCCAATTTGTATATTCACACTACCTAGGGACCAATTGAAAGCTCACATATTGTGCATGTTTGATCATCGATTAAGTAAATCCACAAAAGTGTATGACAATTAATAAATACCTTTGAAATAAAATATTGACAGTCGAAAAGAGATATCGATCTGAAAAACGAATACCCTTTTCAAAAATGTACGAATTGTACTTTTATGTACATATTTGTTTTAAAACAATTCAATTTGAAGTGCGTTGGCATCACAATGAACGTCAAGTACTTTAAAGTTCACAAAATAAATCAGAGTCGAATAAAAGAGCAAAGTATCAAATCAAATTTAACCTTTTTTCATTTACTATTTATTTATTTTAAATCAGTACATACGAGCTAATTTAATATAATTACAATTTACTAACGTAACCGACATTATACTTTGAGAGCTTATAAAGTTTACAAATCCAAACATTTTTGGGCTTAAATCCCTAAGCTTACAACAATTACCACAATTCGATCAATAAAGTTATCTTAATGGGGGGAGGATGAGAAGAACGACTCGACTCTCCTTTTCTCTCTCTCTTGACTTGTTCAACAATAAAGTAGGCAGTAATCGTATCTCGTGTTTACAAGCCACCGAGAACATAACTTGTTGATAATTAAAGTTGGTTAAAGAGGGGCGAAAACTTTTCATTACTTCGCTTGTAATTTGATGACGGTATTGTTAAAAACTTCTTGGCTTTCACCACCGGGGAAAATTGTTGAGATTGAATATAAATAGATAATTAAATTGAACAATGAAAGTTTTATGTAGAAAATACAAATAAAAATTCATCCTAGAGAAGTCACACTCAACTTAAATAGTTCTCAATTGCATCATATCAAGTGTCTTGCTCATCGACAAACCATTAATTGCTTATGATAAAAGAACGTCAGTTAAAGAAGGCTAATGACAAGTTGAATTAAATTCGACGATCATGCGGTTTTGTTCATGAGACAATGAAAAATATTTACAAAGAAAACTGCATTGACACTGATTTAATAATCAATCTCATTAAGACAACAGTTGGAGGCGAGTAAAGAGAAGTAAAAGTTTTGCAATTGAGAGCTTAATTAATAAAGACAGCTTTCTCAATTGTAAAATAAGAAAACAGAAAAGAACAAAATGTTTCATAAGCTCCAAAGTTGCTCTTCACTTTATGAAATTTTTCTTTTTTTCTTTTGCTGCTTTCTCTCGACTTCAGAACTTTAAACTAATTTGTCGTCATCGTCCTGAATTCAATTAACAGACAACACTGCGATGCGATGGAAAATTCTGTCAAAGATAATTAGTGAAAGTAACAAGCTTTAAGCATTGATTGTTCGAAAAATATCAAAGTCGAAGTTGTGCTAATAACTAAAATGAACTTCTCAAAATTAATTTTTTTCACAACTTCTCAAGATAAAATCTTCGAGAAAATTACAGAAATTATTTCAAACAAATTTCCATATCTCACTACTTGTATAAATAATTAGACGTTCGATTAATTTGTTTCTATCACAAGCTAAAAGTTCTCAACAGTTTCATATTTTTTTTTTCTTTTCAACTTTCCTCGTCAGCTTTCATCCGCCGGAAGCATTCGCCGTCACGTCATGAAGTTAAAAGCGAAAATAACTCAATTCTTGATATTTTTTTCTTATGTACATAAAATGTGGGAAAATGTTGCGAATATATTTACAAACTTCAGCTTTTCAAAGCTCTCAACTTTTTTTTCTTCTTTTTTTTTTCTGTCGTCATGTGTGTTGTTTGCCGAATCACACAAAAACATAATTAATCACTTTATTTACTGCTCTTGCTCAATTCAAGTGGTCAAGAAATTAAAAATTAATTCTTTTTTCTCACCCATTTTACATGCATGCTAATAACAATTTATTCACGTCATTCCCGGCATTAGTTTTACTTTTTTTGCCGCTATGATTTATTGTTTCTCATTTGAAGTCAGTTTTTATTAATTTCCATGATGATGGCAGGAAAAGCTCTTATAAAAGAACACAAAAATCATCGGAAATTTCCGGAAAGTGTCCATTAAACTTTTGCTCTTATGAATCTTATTTTTTGTAGTGGGTGAAAGAAGGAGAAAGTTTTTGGCTCCAACATCATTTCAATCTTGAAATCTGTTAACACGCATCTCTAATTAACTGATTCTTTTCGTCTCCTTTTTATTCTTTCCCTACTGAATGATGTCGCCAATCTTTCTCTCCATTTGTTTTTCCTCTTGGTGAAACATTCATTTACTTCTTTGCCATTCTCTTCTGACACATGTGTGCATAATTAATCATAAAATTAGCTCTGAAAACTTCTATGTCGAGTGAGTTCTTCTCCGATACACATAATTATTTTATATTCATCTCCATTACGGATAATAAATTATGTAATACTTCGAATTCATGTTGTGAGACGAAAAAAAATTGCTGAATTAGTAGTTTGCGATCAGACGAAAAAGAACAAAAAAAAGTTGTCAAGAAAAATGTCAAGAGAGAAAAGGGAAAAAAAGGAAAAAGTTCGATTTGAAAAAAAAAACTTTTTCCTGTGTTATTTTGATCGATTCGGATCAGAGCTTGTCAGCAGCTGTCAATAGAGTTACGTTTAATTTCATCCTTGGATTTTACTTAATTAGTCTTACTTTCTGAGAAGATACTCTAAGCAGATTGTCTGCCTTTTCAAGCAGTTAAGTCAAGTATGAAAAAATCCTACTTAATGAGCTATCATCGTCACTAATTCTTCTTATCTTAAGAGTTACTAAGAAAATCTTTATAGGTGTCATCTGGCAATTAGAGGTAAGTGAATTGATAAAAATGTCACATCGCTAATCCCACAAGAAATGAACATCGTTAATAGAACCACCATAGCAGCACTAACCATAGTAAGACGAAAGGATGGGACGTTTGAATGTGAATTCCCACGACCTCGTGCTGCTTCTGCTAAGCCTAGAATGAAAGAAAGAAAGTTGTCGTTTTTCGAAAGATATAAATAAAGAGATATCTTCAGTCATTCCAAAATCTTCTATTTATATCGCAGACACAAAACTTTTGTCTGAACCAACTGCCAAATGGAATTCATTCAGATACCTTTTTAAGGTAATTTTTGTTAAATTCTCTCATCATCATTCAAAAACATATCATTTACATATTCATCGTTATTTGACCCGAACATATCCTAAACCTAATTAGATTTTAACAGTCTGATAAACTTTAACTTTAATTCCTACCTAGACAATCCATTTTAAGCTAATCTAATCATCAGACAGTTCTTAAGCTTATTTCAACAACTTTAATTTTCAATTTCTTTTTTTTCTCATGTCAGTGTTAGAATTAAGTTTGTTCAGCTTTTCAATATAACCCAACATAATACTTCCGCTAAATATAGTCAATTCCAGACACAACTCGATGTGAAATGAAAATGAGATTAAAGGTTTTTACCAGCTCTCGTTGAAAAGCGTAATTAGTGTAATTGAATTGTGAAAAAACCCGTAGCTGGTAGAACAACAAAAGCGCCAATTAGTAAAGCTCATACGTGTCTGTGCACTTTCCGGGATCATGAAGAATAGAAATTAATATTTTGAAGTATTTTTCGAAATATGTAGTGTTGATTAAGTTTCGTTAGAAAATCAACGTTCTTCATTAACTTTGTTATGGTCGAACGTCAAATATTTACACCGCACTCAAATTTTAAAAGCTTTTGTAAAGTAAAATAAAGTAAAATCCCTGCACTTCGCTTTATCTATCATATTGCTCCATTATTAATTAAAATTGTTTTTAAAACCTCTTAAATCTCACAAAGTTGTATGGCTTTATCTCGATTCATGAACAGAAAATATTTTTTTACGTTTTCAAAAAGCGAGCTGAACTATTCTGCTGCTTTGGAAACCACGCCAACCTTAATCATCCTTTATGATATGAAAAATTGAAATTAATTTAGTAGCTTTTCTTTCGTACTAAAAATGCAACAAAAGAATGGCGGAAACATTCATGCTTGAACACTTAGTTTCTTCATGGAGTGCAGTGGAGCATAAAATTTGTGAAAGTGGAGAGAAGCCATAAATTATTTAATTAAAATTAATAAGCTTCCGATGGATGTGGCTTCTGGCGCTCATATTTAAAAGCTGAAAAGAATTTACAATGTGCACTGACATGACGGATTTTAATTCTATGATAAAGCACTAGCAGGAGCTTCCATTTACACAACCACTCAGACAATCAGGCATCGTGCATCATCAATTGCCACCACTCACCTCCAATGAAATTTAAATGATCATCATCTGTTGAAACACTACCTGGCGATATTTTTATTTCTGCAAAAAAATATTTCAAAACAAGAGAAAAGGTTGAGAGAAATGACAAAAAAATATATGCAAAATGATGAAATATTTATTCAGATTTGGCTGAAGAATTGAAATATTTTCGAGTTTAATAAATTTATTCCTTTGATTTTCGCGCATATGAGTTCACCATTCAAAATTATTCATATTGAATTGAAAAAAAAAAGCCTCTGCAATAAATGAACAAAAATAATAAAATTCAAAGGGAGAAAAACTGGGAAAACATAAAAACATGTCAATTTATAGCATAAAACATATGCTCAGCTATGTGTATGGATATTGTTGCTGTTATTTGCAAGTTTTGACAACTTAATAAAGCATGACGTTCGATCAATAAGCCGAGTTGCTTTATTCAATTTGCGTAGTGAAGCTGCGTTTATCATGTATGTTTATCAAAGGCAAAAACGAAAGCACGTAGAATTGTAGATATTCGTTATTAGCAATCATCGAGGGCTAAGAAACTCAATTTTAGTTCGACATGTGACTCTTATTTTCTGCAGAGTACTACATCGATTTACTTATATATTTATTCATTCTACCATAGCAAAGAAAGACAAACTATTCATCTAAACCAATCTGTTCAAGCATCAAGAGACTCATGATGAGTCTACAGAAAGATTATTGCTAACAGGAGAGAGGGAGAAATGGGAAACACGATGTTCAACATTGAGACAAAAGCATGAAACATGATGTTGAAGTGTTGTTGCCTGTGTTCAATTAAGCGAGAAAAAAATCCGATTCGATTGAACTTCCGATCTGTTTCGCTTTCATTTTACATCAATTTGGGAATTAACAGCTTCCAGCATATGAGCAAAAGCAAATCCATAATCAAGAAATGAATATTTATGGAACAGAAATCCCGTCTGTGATGATTATAACGAACGTTGAATAAATGGACGGTAAATGAAAACAGCAATTTGAGAGCATCACCGTATGAGTAAACGAGTAGAAGAAAAAGCAAAAAAAAACCAAAGTACCGGAGAATCAAGCATCAAAAGATGTTAAAAGTTAGCCGCAGTTGAGCCAAGCATTGCATTGTATTAAGTACACTGAAACAGAAAACAGGATTTGCACTGTATATGGAGTTACACTGTATGCTGTGAGAAAAGAAGAATGAAACGAGCGTGTCTGATCCTTTAAACAAAAGCACTGGCGGAGAAAGGCATGAAAAGCCTTTCAGAGAGAAACATAATTGCATTAAAAACGAAAAGCTAAAAAAAAGAATTTTAAATAATTTAAAACATTTTTGTTTCGTTCTCGACCATTTGTTCTCAAGCATAGTTGATGCTTCTAAATGAAGGAAAAAATGCTTCGAAAAATGTCAGAATTTCCTTCTTTATTTTGTACATATATTTAAGAATAGCCAGCAAAGCAAGTTAACAGTGAACAAACAAATGAAAGCAGCATCAAATATATTTAAATATTAAAATCATAATTTGCTTCATTCACGAACAATGAGATTAGGAAAGGCAAGAAATGATGGCGAATACTGGCTTAAGGGAAAGTTAATATTTTTTGGAGAAAACTCAATGATTCGTTTACTTAATTTTCCGCTTTTAACGATGTCACGTAATTGATGAATATTTCCATAAATTGAAAGATTTGAGTGAAGATAGGAAACAGGAAGCTGTCGATGATTAAATAATAATAATAAATGCTGATCTGTTAATCAAGGCGTAAATTTTAATCGTCATTAATAAATATTTCAATCAATTATCAGCCCAATAAAAATTACAAATTATAAAAAAGTTTTTTTAAGTTTCTTCATTTGAACCATTACCATAAAGTCTCAAAGTGCCTTCAGCTCTCCCAAGCGAATTCGTGCTGACACAGTGATACGTTCCCACGTCGCTCGGTGAGAACTTTCTTACAACAAGCTTCATCCTGCCACGAAATCCAACTCGCTCCTCTGTGATGCCATATTTTGGCCTGAACAAGACGTTTTAGGGAATTAGAAAAAAAAAATTCACAAGAGATTCGTGGGAATATTTAAGAAAATGCTTACCCATCCAAAAGCATCTCTGGTCGTGGTTGTCCGGATTCAGAACTCATTCCACCAATGAATCCGTTAGGTGGAACTCTCCCTCCTTAAAAGAAGAATTTATGTTTATTTGAAAGAGAAAAAGCATAAAAGCAAGCAAAGCACTCAAAATCTTTTTCACCTTTAAGCCAATAAGAAACGGGTGAAGGCGATGCTTCCACTTGACACTCCAGCTGTACATCTGAACCTAATGGTGCTCCTAAAAGTTGTGATGGTGCTTTTACGGTTGGTGAGACTAAGTCATAAAGTGAAGTAATCATTTTTAATTATTCATGATATCAATTTAATTAAAATTCATTAACTTACAATGCACATTTAATAACACTCGTTTGCTGACAGCAGGCGGTACATCATTCTGAGCTATACACAAATAGGGGCCCATTTGTCGTCTCTCAAGTCGTGGAAGACGTAAAGAGCTACCATTGTAAGATTCAACTGCAATGTATAAAGGAAGCCAAAAAAGGATGCAGATGATTAATGATCTCGTAAAATCTTTCAAAAATATAAATTTTTCTTGAAAGCTTCAACAATGCAAGTTCTTCTTCTTCTTTTTCAATTCACATCCCCGACTACAAGTAAAGTGCATGGAATTTCTCAAAATAATAAATTTAATGAGACACACTGTGAACTTATCTGTTTAATTTTATGTGAATTTATACTTACATACTTCAAAACAACAACAAAAAAATAATAATAATAACTTTTCCGTATCCGGGGGTGCCAGAAATGGTGATGTGAAAACAAAAAAATCTTCGTGTTCGTTTGTTCCAATGCGATTTTCTCTTTGTTTTCTTTTTCGGGAACCCGCTTTGTGCTCATGACAACACTTCGTTAAAAAAGATTGTTTTAAGCATTTTGCTGCTTTCTTTACAGAATTAAAAACACACGCTGCATGATAATTCTCAAAAGATTCTGCTGATCGTAAGGAATTGAAACTTTGTAAGGATAGCAAAGTATTTGAAAATTTACTTCGAATATTTATGTTATCACAATTGAAGGAAACAGACTTAAGCGTGACAGCATTTAAAAATGTGGAGCAATATGTGTCTTGTATGAATAACAAAAACCGATGCAAAGAAGGGAACAAACTTGAACTACAATAAAACTTCTTTTGCTTTTCTTTTCTTGTTATTGCATTGAGGGAAGATTTCGGTATTTCTCAGCAAGAAAGCTTCTTTTACCTAAAAGATAAACGCAAAGAAAAGAAAATAAGAAAATGGAGAAAGAAATTTTTTCTCTCTGAAATCTTTGTTGTGTGCAAGAGAATGAAAAGTGTCACAAGCAGGAAATTTGTTGGTGGCAACGGATGTGTTGTCACAACTCATAAGTAAATGTGGAAAATACCTTTCCATCCAGGTGATGTAGGACGAACGTCATCTGGTAAGACAGTAAGGATTTTTATTTAAACCGATTTAATCTTTAAATGCTTCCGATGTTACGCAAAAGTGAATTTATCGTTCGTCCTTTTAAATTGATATCTTCATTCATGTTTACCACAAAGTGAATGTGAAATAATTTTATTATTAACTTAAAATAGCGCTTCTCGTAAAAGTTGCAAGATTCAACCACAGACGTGAATATCTGCAGTCGAAAAAAGAAAAGACTGACTGAGGAAAAGTGAATTTAATTCTTGCATGCCATTAGTGTCAGTCAATTCTCCTTCTCTTCCTACTCAGCTTCTTTCTTCTGCAAAGGGAAAAAATCCTTGAATGAAATTTATGCTTCTTGAATTGCCTCGAAACAATTTCTTTCAGGAAAAACTCTCATCTTGTTTCAGACAATTGAAATTACGACACTTCTCCTACCCAAACCACTTCACGGTGATGATTATAAACTGTTATTCATTCCTATCTAGATGCTTCCCACCCTCACTTAAAATGTCATCATTATAAAATGAATATTATGAGAGGCGACAAAAAATTTATTTCAAGATCTGCTCACATTTTCAGATGAAGATCAAGGAGAAATTTAAAGGTGAGAGAGATGAAGTGTTATTTAAGCTAAAAAGGCTTTGAAATCTACAAAACAAAAGGTAAAAAGAAACGTCAGATTCATATAATATAAAAGGAAGATTACAAGGAATCCGTAACATAACCTTTCCTTTAAATGGATTTGAAATCATTTCACACGAGATACAAACGTAAAATTAATGTTAAAAGCGCGTCATATTTGAACATTTTTCTCGTTAACTTAGCAGAATTCTATGTCGGATATTCAAAAGCAAACTTCAAGCTAGCATATAAGGGATGAATGAAGACATATTCATAAAATTCTTTCACTCACCCTTATTAACTTTTACAAACGATAAAATTTATCATGAATGAAACGAGACACAATGAAAGTATTTACTTAAAGTTAATGAATGCTCTTGAAAATGTAAGAGAAGAAAATTTCATTTTGATATTTGGTTAGTTGATGATATACTTTGATAAAGGTAGGTTTTATGAGATCATCAACATTATAATGTATTGAAATAGAAATGATATTTATTCAGTTTGCCTTTAGCCTAACGTTAGATAATAATTTTTTGACATATTCACGTCATATCGAGAGTTAATAAAGCGATAAATCAAGAAAATGAGTCAGTCATTGATATTATTACGAAATTTTATATAATTTCACTTGGAAAAGTTTGGCTACACACACACACACAACTACTTTTACTATAGAATTGTCACACACGCGCAAAAGAGTAGAAGGAAGTGAAGCTTAATTAAGAAATATCACGTCTTGAATTAAAGTTGCGAGTAATAGCTGAAACGTACTTTTCTCCAACATTTATGCCTAATAAGAAATGGAATAATTGACATTGAGATGATGAGTGGAAACTTATTCGGAAATTCAACTTCAAGAGTTTGTTAAATAGAACTTGTTTGAAATCGTTTAATTACATCAATTAATTAATGTCTTCTTTGTTTACTCAAGTCTTCGTTAGAATTTGGAGAGAAGTGTTTTGGTTCCTATGTAATAAATAGTTAAATACTATTTAAGGGACTTGCTACAAATATTTTTGAACTTTGTGTATGGCACCATAAAGCAGAGTCAATAAAATTGGTGAAAAGTTTCAGTTCAAAGCAAATCTCTGACTAATTGAAACATTTGAAACTGAGTTCTAAGTATTCCAAGGTTTTATAATACGACCAAGTTAACAAGACAAAAACCACATTATTCAAGAAAATCAGACATTGGAACCTTTTTCATATAATTCTGTATTCATTATTATTTTACTTTAAGTAGATTATGTTGAGGTGAGCATCGGGGTTCACAAAAGAGCTTTCTAAAGTTTTTCTTTCAATTCTGGAAACCACAGGGGGATAATTTACAGGTACTGAAGCTATGAGAACTTATGCTGCTTTATGCTGTTAATGTCTTCATTTATTAATTGTCCAAAAAAGAAAAATTTGAAACATCAGCAAATACCTTGAAACTTCATAACTTTAATTATGTATGTAAATTGCAAGTCAAGGAATTGAATGAGAATTTTATGTCGAAATTTTCCAACTGATTCTCACAATTGTTTTATTCATGACCTAAAGCCATTCTCTGGTTAAATTTTATCACCATAAAGTTCTGCTGAATGAACGTAAAACTATCAGTGGAGAACGCTTTTAAAGCTCTGATCCTTTCTATGGATGGAAAATCGTTTGACGTTGCATTTCACAAAAAGAAAAATTAAGTTCGAAAGTTTTTTTAAAAAACGGTAATAACTCTCGTAGCAGATTTTAAGCTTTTTGCAATTAAAAGTTAACATTCCTTGCAAAACTTTTCCTCCTTTTGGGACGTCACAGACATGTCAAGTTTAAAAACTTTAATTTCCCAGGTGATTTGATCACGATAAATGTAATGGAACAAGTCACAATTGCAATTTTTGATTTAGTGTGGTAGCTTCGCTCTGCACATAGGAAAAATTTTTCACTACACCACTTGCCATTTTACGAAGCTACAAAAAAAATTAACTCAAAATCTCTTTCAATCTCGATTGTAAATGCAAAAATTTATTACAACGACGCTGAAGGCAATTCGGATGAGTTTTGTTATCTACAAATAAACTTTTTCATTTAGCAAGGGCAGAATTTCCGCAATTGAAAATGCAATTTTATGAGTTTACTTTCAAAATAGAAATTTGAATTACTTTGGTCGAAATATTGACAATAAAGTTTGAAAGAAGTTGCTTTAAATATACAAACTATCATAAGATGATTCCGCTCTGATTCCGAATCTTAAAGTCATAAAACGTCTTAGTTGAATTTCTCTCAAAACATCAACAGCTATACAAACAAGCACAAGTTAAGTCGTAAAATTATAATAAAATGAATTAAGTTCTGGAAGTTTATTGAGTCATACTCGGAACCGAATGGCACTTCGATGTTGCTTTTTCTCACACTTTCTCAACTCTGTTTGTCGTCACATTCTTCATTTATCAACCGCTAAAAACCACTAACAAAAAAAAAGAAACTTTAAAACGAGAATACTTTTTCTCATCGTCACTTCGGCTCGCCCATTGAGATTTAAATGGAACAGAACTTTTCCATTAGCGCATTTTTTGTGTACTTTCATTTTTATTACATAATTAGAGGAGCCATTTACCATCAGCTACCCAAAGTGATAGCAATGGGATATACAAAACGAGCTGATGTTTGTTTCTCCGCCTCTTCTTTACGATCTGCATCAATGACTTCAACAATACCAAAATGGAAGAAAAAGAACAAATAGGGAATCATTATGGGAAATCAATAGACGTGAAAATTCTCACAACACTCTCTCACTCTCTATTTAATAGCTAATTTCCAATCATTGATAACAAATTGATGCATGCAACTTTGGTTTTTATTAGTCATTTACTTTCGCTTCCCCATCGAATAGGCATTCATTAGAAATAATGAAATCATTGAACTTCATATCAGTACTAACACGAGAGTTGAGACCAGTTGTTAAGTGGAAGGAGGAAGGAGAGAAGAATGAAGAAAGTTTTTCTTTTCCACAAAGTTGAACAGCAATCAACTCTCGACGAAGTTCGAGAAGAAAGTGAGCTTGTACGACGGTAGTAGAAGGAGGGCATAAAATGATAATAGACAGAAATAAAATACTAAAATATAGAGACATAAAGGCTATTAGAAGTATGCTGGAAATAATGTTGAAAGATATATTCTGAAGCGGTCTCGTCTCTCGTACAACATGTAGGCATGACATGAAGCCACGAAGCACGGTGGAAGGAAATTGAAATTCAGGTGAAATAGTCACGTATTTTAAGAAGGATAATTGGTTTTGCTACCATTGTACGATAGGTTGGTTGTGAGTTCCTTAGAAGCTCAAAAAACATCATCTCCCATAAGTTAAGTTTATGTCTTTCGTGAATACAAACTCAAAGTGAAAGATGATTGAAGATTCATTTAAAAATCAATGACATCTTTCGTTACATTATAAATTGCACTCCACATAGAACAAAATGAACAATAATGGAATAACAAAAGAGTTGAGTCATCATATAAACTCATTGACCCTCGTTTTTCAACTCAAAAATAAGTTCAGAAATATTTTAACTCAAATAATCTGCTTGACAATTTACTTTTGTCTTTTTAAAAATAATGATCCATTTAAGCTGACATTGCAATTCTTCCATGTGTTTACTTGACACCCACCCGCGTTAAAATAACAATTATTTTATGAAATTAAAATCAACGAAAATGACGTGGAAATCACTTGTGACGGAGGCAAATGAAATGAACAGTATCACCCACATTTCACTTTTTTTTACTGTCATGGTAGATTATCATTGTTTTGCAATTTAGTCATTTGTCTTCCTCCAGTTTATTTAATACAATCTGCTGTGTATCGCAACTTTCTTTTTTCTTTATTAGACATTTCTTCCTTTTCATCCAGTCTTTTGTTAAATTTTATTTTTCCTTCTTTCATTTCATTTATTTTTTCATTGTTGTTGATAGAAAAATTCTAAAGGCCTAGAGGCTTGAAACTAACTGTCTCTCCTTTCGTTACCTGTTAAGCCATTTGGAACAAGAAGAAAAGAGTTTAAATATCATCTAACAGATCATCCCATGTTTGCATTATAATGAGCTTTCAAGCAAAGAATGTAGTAGATAGTGAAATGAAGGGAGATTACGGAGCTTTAGGTTTTAATTTGAGTACGGAAATTTACGTTCTTTTCTTCTTCTTTTAAATATAAGAAAGCATAAGATTATCTCCAGTAGATTGGAATGTCTAATCTTGTTTGTCAGACACAAAGGAGAAAAAAAAAGTTCTTTTATTCAAGTCACCGACTTTATGAATTTATTTCATTTATTTCATGGAAATTTCACGCCAGCTTATGTATGCATTTTTTTGTATTCAAATATTTATTTAGCTAGTGAAGCTAACTAATCAACGAATGATGGAAAACAACTGAATAATGTATGAGGAAAAACGAGTACTTTAATGAACTAAAATTGATTTCTTGATTTTGTTGAGTGATTATAATTAGAATCGAGTTCGACTAAACCATTTTTCATGTCCTTCAAATGCTAATCACTATACCAAAGGTGATTAAACTCAAATTTACCCTTTTTGAAATCTGAGCGATACAAACACAGTAATCGATGACTGCGGCTAAACCTCGGTGAGCAATGAACAACATTTTGCCATTTAAAACAATAAATTATATCAAAAGCAATCTTTAAAAATTCATCGAAATGTATTTCCAATAAATTTGAGCTCAACAATTTTTTTTATAATTTTCTCTTCTTTTTTTTACAACCGCAAAATGGACATAAAACCAATTTAAATGCGCACCTTTCATGTCCCTCCAGTTACATTTTTTTAACACGATAAAATAAAAACGAAGTTACGAAATTCGCCGCAGCGTAAATATAATTTGGTTATGTCGATATGTGTACGCAATCGTGTTCAATTTTATTGATATTAAATTTTCATGGTGGCCAATTTTGTATACTTATTTATACAATGTCTTTGTCTCCCCAGTAAATTTATTTCATAAATAAAACACTCGTTTCAAATGTTGTTAAGCAAGAATGAAACACGAAGAATAAAGAAGAAGACAAAACTTTCAAAACATTGTCGCCTACAGAAAAAAAGTCAATTTTTCATGTTCTGCCAGTCTGCCAATAGCAGCGAGGATATAAATAATGTAAGCTTACCTTTAACTAGTTCCCTACTTCCAGGTTTTCTCATCAAAATATAATCGTTATCCTCACGTCGCCATGTTACACGTGGCTGAGGATGTCCAATCGCTCGACACACCAGTGTCGCATCTTCGCCTTCCTGAACTGATATATCTGCCGATGATTCTTCATTTATTATGTCAGGTGGCACTAAGGGACAAAATAGAAAAGAAAAGGTTAAAAAGATTCTTTTTATTCTTCACAGAACTCCTACGAGCGTACATGTTAACAGTTTTTAATACGTATGAGTTAGAAGTCAAAGAATAAGGAACTTAAATCCGCATTAAAAATTAACTTTATATTTATGACTTTCTGGCTGAAGTGTAGGAGAAGAAAAGCAAGTAAACCCTCTGTCAAGGACGATGACAGCAAATCAATATTTGTTTCGAAAAAAAGAGTTGAACCCTTTAGGGACGATTCAAAAAAGGCGTCATAATAAAAGAAATGTTATTAGTCGGTTGTGGAAACAGATCAAGAGATAATTCATGAAAATTCTTTTAATTTTCTCTCTTCTTTTAATAAAATTAATGGTGTTTGAAATTTCCCAAACCGATTTAAGTCTCAACGTAATCAGAAACTGAGTGAAGGTTTGTGAAAGAATGTCATTGTGACGGCACTTGGTATCAAGTAATCTTCTATTTGATACCGTTTCGTATTCTAATCTACATGCTTCATTCATTACTTATCTCACCTGAAGAAAATATTCTTATTTATAGTCAAGTTCTAGTCATTAATTTAAAGTTTTGAAACGGAAGCACATTTTATTATGCCAGCATCAAGGTGGCTTTACAACACTGTTATGTATCTTTGTAGATTTACCAAACAAACATTGTTCTACCTTTGAAAAAACATTATTTCTTCTCGGAAGAAAAAATGTTCGATGGAAACTAGAAAGAAAATTTCCTCCTTTGCACTTTCCCTACCATGTAATCGACAAAAACTTTGTCAGCGTAACGGTAACAATAGACACACAAAAACTTCAACATTAAATCCCAAGCTACATCTTCCACCCTTTCATTGCTTTTAAAAAACTATCAAAAGCGAGTATTCATCGAGGGAAATTCGAGTTGGAAAATTACATAGTTTGGAGACTGTAAAGGTATTAGGGAAGTCCCGGAAAAAAAGTTATGTATGTAAGCTTTGAGAAAACCTTTTATTGCTCATGTTTTCCGATGTGAGAGCTTCGCTGCTGTAGTCTTCATTCACTGTATTTGTTCAGTTCACAGTAAAAACCATAGCATGTAATTTTACTTGTAATTTTATAAATTATTTATTATGTTTATTATTGTCTAAAACTTGAACAATGAAACTAAAGTTTTTCCTCTAATCCAAACAACTTTTCCTTCACTTTGTTATGGCTTAATGAAAACGGATTGCAGGTGAAATATTACAATGCGGTGGTGCTTAATGTCGTGTTATTATTAAAATGGTCTAAGAGTAGCTTACATGTTTACTTTATCATTTGAATAGATAATTTTTTCCTTTTTCTATAATAATAAAAGCTTTTATATAGCAAGGAAAGGTTATAATTAATAAGCCTTCTATGAAGTAGAAAATCAAACGTCTATTAATGTATATTATCAAAAGATTAAAATTCCAATGATAAATTGAACTATTTGACATGCTCAAATTGATTAGTTAAATGCACTCAGAGTTCAAATGAAAATTATTCCATTATTTTCAGCAGAAATTCAGAACAAGTTTTATTGGAAAACGTGCAGAGTTACAGACATTAGTGCTCTGTCTAATGTTTTTATGAATATGCATGGGGATTTTATATTTTGCTTTCTCATGAAAGCTATTGGAGAATATTCGGATAATTATCTCTGCATGCTGCTGGTTGAAGATACAATGAAAATCCCTGAGAAATTTCAACTTTGATCCCTGTCTTATGGCACCACATAACTGATAAAATATTTTCTGGTTTCACTTCGTATTTTAAAGACCTCTTTACGCTCGAGGCATGATAAAATGATATTAATTAAAAATCAATACCAATCATTAATCTTCCCATTCTGTGTTGTTCTGAAAAACTAGGTAAAAGTTTGAGTTATAATTGAAGAGGAAAAAAGCTTTTTTCCTCAAACATTCAACAACAGTCGTTAATGATAAACTCCGATTAAATTAAATTGAACTTTCACAGTGGGAAAAAGATTGATAATTTTAGAAATTAAATCGAAGAGAAAAAGAGCGTTATAATTGATTTTTTCCATTAACAATTCAAATGTTTTTGCTGTCAAAGTCAATGTGAATATGTTCGTTTGTTGGTTTAGATATTTCCTTCACAACTCGACTTACAATAAAAAAAACTTTTTGACATTCATGGTTTGAACTATACGAACAAAATTAAAAATTTATTCAGATGAAAGACAATCACTTCCATCTCTCGCTTCATAAATCACAACAGCTTATGAATTTTCCATAGAAAATAAATAAAAAATTGTCTGCTAGTTTTTTTTATCATCAGTTCGTCGATATTGATGTTTTAACATGCAAATTTACGTGTCATGAATTTCAATAAATATTCATCTGATATTCCTAATAAAAGCTTCTGTTCTCGAACTCTTTCGATGAAGTTAGTTAAAAGAAGCGACATCGCACAGTATTAAATTTATGTTTACATCTAATTCGCTCATGTCTCAAATTTATGTGCAATGAGATATTTCTAAAAGCCGTGCAAAGCGAGTAGAATGAAAAGCTCAAACTTCTTATTTAAAAACCTTAAGATGGAATACTCAAATCAGAGTAAAACATTTCTCTTGTTTATGGATAATATTTTTGCATACTCTCTCAAGCCATTAATCAATGTTTGTTGTCTTTTCTTCTTTTTTTTTGATATCGCAAGGTTATGCTTTGAATGGATTTCACTTGTTTTGCCCAAGAGCAGTCTGAGTTCAGTTGGAATAACAAAACATTTTCTAACAGGTTGAACAGTACACAAATGTATGAAAGACATTTAACTATGAGGCACCCTCCGGGGAAGAAATCATAACAAAACATCAACGTTAGGACATTGCAAGCCGAGACAGCCAACATTCCAATTTTTTATTCACATTCGCAGATTTTCTGTCACAAGTTAAATTCAGGAAGTTTTTTCTGCTTTTGATTTATCTGAGTTTGCTTTTCTTCTTCCTTTTTTTGGTGTTTTTGTGTATTTATCTAACAACACGTCACTTTACCGTTCCTTCATTCTAATTCTTCATTGTCATACACTCGAAAATTGGAAATTAAACGAAATGACAATCACAACTAACCTTGCACATCAATGCATCCAATTTGCTTTCTCATCGGACTGGCATTTATTTGGCACATATAGCAGCCACGATCTGATTCACGCAGTTGCTTTATTCGTAATCTCCACGTTCGCATGTCTTCATGAACGACACTAATTCGCGCGTTGTGAGTTACGACACGTTCTTCTAATGCAAGCACGGTTTGATCACTTGCACGTAACCAACCAACCTATAAAAAATTGATGTGAGAAATCTTGCTTTAGATGAAACCAAGGGATTTAATGTTACTGAAATTTTGCCACCATAAAATTGAATGAAATTTATGGCATAGAGTGAGAGCGAAATGTGTTGTGTTTTAATACTGAAGAGAATAGAAATAAGAAAAAATTATTTAAATTATTACCTTGTATCTTCCGAGATTCTTCACCGAGCACGTTAAAACAGCTTCTCTGCCGGCAGGAAAAGTCACATTTTGAATCGTGCCTTCAAATTCTGGTTCAACATCTAATCCTTGAAGACTTATATCTGTGGAAAAAGAAGGAAAAGATTATGAAAGTTAATTTCAAAGCATTCTGCTGTTCGATTATATTTTATCAATATTCTTTCTTCCACGATGATTGACATTTGGCTTCATTATTGTTCACCCCTTAAAAGAATAAAAGAAGGCTGAAGACTGTTCGTTGGACGCGACTGCTTGCGTGACATAATTAATAGAAAGATTTTTTTATATAAAGAAATTAAGTTCACTTTGTTACTACGCAACCTGTCGAGCCAGTTATTACTTTCCGGGCATGACGGAAGTTTGAGAGTTGAAATGTTATTAAAAACTTTACTTCATCAATGAAATAAGTAATTTAAATATTTTAAATATCAATGAAAGCTTTTAAGTGTGAACTGATGTTTAAATTACTCAATGAAGTATGAACGTTTAAATTTCTTTTTCTTTCCCTTGTCGTGAATTGTAATCGTAATTAAAGCATATATAAAAAAGCATGCCAACATGAGAAGAATTTATTATTATAAATTTAAAGCTCTGGTTGCGCAGTTTACTGTTTTGAGAACCGAGAGAAAAAAAAAGTTAGAGGTTAATATATGGTAATGTGATATTGACTGACGCAATGGCAATTTATTATTTAAATTTGTAGGGTAATTATAAATGTTTTTGCTTTTAATATCGCACTACACGTTCGCCCAATATTGCGGTGTTGATAATATTAATATGCGCCATTGAATATGCAAACGGAACTGAGTGTGAAAAAAGTACAAAAAAAATAATAAGTTTTTCAGATAGCTGCAGATTATCCCGGAAATGAACTTTATTTCCGAGTTATTAAAGTACATAGACAGGTTTGGTAGCATTTCCAATCAATAACTTTCATTAAACGAAATGCTTCATTAACCTCATGGATTTTCCATTTTCCGGTGTTGAAAAAGTTTCAAGAAATATTTTACAAAATAGTGTTTTAAAAGTATTATTAGAATGAAATTAATAGTTTCATAAACTTCTCCTGCAAAGTTTTATTGCAGATATCTCACTTAATAAAAAGTTAATTTAAATAAAACTCAATTTTCAAAAAGTATTGTCGAAGAATTTTATGAGTTTATTTATTATAAGTTCATTATCGAAAAAACTTTTCTGAGAATGAAATTATTTAATAAAGATCGCACATTTGAAGCTTTCATATTTATTACCAACTCAAGAAGCTTTTCATTCATCTTTTCGGGGATTGCATTTGAAATGAATGAATTGGTCTCAGAACTCTCGTATTTTTTCATAATACGCATTTAAATTTTCATCCTCCTGAACTGTCACATAATTTTATTCAAATCATTAACCCACAAAAGGCAAAACAGTAAGCAGAAGTTTAATTAAATTATTGTTTTTACTCTCACTCAGAAACGTGCTCCCACTCTCTTTTAATGTCTCGCAGCTTCATTATGAAAGAAAAAAAAATTCTCAACGCAAATTGTGTGTTTAATTATTTTATTAAATATTAAAGTTTCTCATCGGCTTGTTTATTTTACGCGTCTCTTGATTATGATGTTGAAACAATACGTACATGCTATTTCATTTGCATAATGTTGGAGTAAAAGGCCTGCCTGATGATCAAAGTTTTATTTTAATAAATGAACACACATAATAATGTTTTTTTCGTGCGCTATCAGCACCTTTTTTAACGGGAGCCTATCCACTTTCAATCTGCTAAACGTAATGATAAACTTTTTTTGTTGCTCAAAATAAATATGTTTATGTTTTAGAAACAAGATAATTAATATTGCGACTAAATGAATGAAATTATAATTTTTTGGGGTCGCATTTTGTGGACGATTGTTTTTAATAATCACTGTTAAAGGGTCGGGGTTCGAGCGTTATTAAACCAAGACCATGACCAAGACTTGAACCGTTTAGATTAATTAAACAGAAGGAAAAAAGGAACAAATTAAATTAGAGTTAGAACAAGTTGTGTTTTTAATTAGAAATTGTTTATGCTAACCAAGCGATGCTCAACATGATAAAAAAAGGAATGAGAGAAATATCAAATTTTGAATTCATGCTTCGGTTTCTGCTCTCAATGGTGCTGTTTGGTAAAATATTTAAATATCGGAATGTAATTAAAATCGATGTAAAATTATCATCCCATACCCATTTTTTGACCAAAATATTTAATTCACATAATATCTAACCAACAACAAAACACAAAAAGATAAAAATATCCTTCGAAGACTACAAAATCAAAATTCAATGAACAACTTTATATCAAAATAGTTTTTTAATTAGATTTATCAACTGTTGAAGGAGCATTAAAACGAGGAAAGCATTCTCAACTTTCTAAAGTTTTTCTTGTCCTAAAGCAAATTTTTAGAAATAATGACTCAATTTATTTGCTTGCCAAAATTGCCAAAGGAAGCTAGTGAAGCCAATATACGAAATGACAATATTTTGAGCTGCTTTTTCGTGCATAAGAAGGATAAGATTTTATATGCATTCAACAAACACTCAATTTAGCTTCATTATACAGTGTTAGAAAGCAATGAAAAGACGGTTTTTATATCTTCTTCATCAGACATTTCACTTCCATTTCTTAAGAATCTCTTAGCTTTGAGATATGAATTCTGATGCCAGCATTTTTCTTTTGTCTGATTTCAATAAGAACGCTTTCCATCTCTTATTCATTCATTCAATTTTTCTAATAAACAACAGCAAAAGGAACGGAGGCAACGTCTAAGAGAACAAAAAAGTTCAGAGCGAGGAATATCATAAGAAAACAACACAACAATGTCGTATTTGGAAGGCATTTCCTTCTTTATTCTTTACATGCTATTTGATGATGTCCCTGTGGGGATATTGTAAATAAATTGAATCGCTTTTAGCGTTTTGTGATGTGATGAAAAGTTTTACGAAGTGTATAATGTCTTAAAATTGTTTTCACAACATAACAATACCTCATGGGATCTCTGTTTTTAAAAAGAAAGATCTTTAATTAAAGGAAGGGAAGAACGAAGAACAAAACCCTGAAAGTTTCAAATGTTTTTGCCTTTAGAAACCAATAAATTATACTTTGGGTACGGCGTACAGGCGTGCACCATATAAAAATCCATTATATTCTCGTAAGCTCTTACATCGGAGGATCAAAAAGTCGAACCTTACACCTTCTGGGGAAAGCTTTCCGATGTATTTCACCCTTTTCAAAAGCCATCTTCAAACATGAAATATTCTTGCTTTTAAACTCGTACGTCGTCAACAAAGCCGTAATCACCGTTAAAACAATTTAGTAAATTGGCTTGTGAGTTGCCTTTTTTTTACTGTTTGTTGCTAAAGGCAACATGTAAGCTATGAGGGCGACTATGGTTTTATCTAACCCTTGAGAATACAGTAGAAATCACGACTTTGGCGCGTTTCTCTTCTTCTCTATTCTCTATTTGCATAATTTTATGTAGATTTCTTATTGTTTCTTCAATTCAAATTTAAATATTTTATTGTGTAAACAATTCCAAATCGCTCACGAAATCGTTAATGCATTCATTTTAAGTATTTTAATAATTTCTTGGTAGGATGGATCTAAAGAATTATTATCTGTCACGAGTGTTTTCTTTGTAGTTAGTTTTATATTTATTTAAGATTCTTGATGCCTATCCTAAGTTCTCGGAAAGATTTGTTAAACAATTTTTCCGGTGAGATGAGTATACTTGACCCATGCGGCATTCTTCGTTGAAAACCTAACAACGAGGGTTGTTTATGGGATTTAATTAAAAATAATTTCCAGACATAAATTGAAGGAGAAATGCCGGTCTGAAAGAGTTAACCAAATCTCTCATCAAACTTTTTTTTCCTTCATACGCTCTCGTCGTTCGTTTATTGCAAATAGGAAAGTTGTGATTTATTTCAGAATGCTAGGGAACGATCCGGGCCCCTTTTTACTCTATTTTTCAGAAAGCTTTCGGTTTTGCTAAATACGCTAAGTTTTTAGGTCATGTTTTATTGTGATTTTTTAAATGCCAAACATTCCGAGGAAAAAATGTTCGCTGGCATCTCCCTTTAATTAAGAGCAAAGCTTTAAAACTTGCTGAAAACTCTTCACTTCGTTGTCATAATCAATCTTCATTGTTTAGCGGAAATGAGGTATAAAAGGAATTTAATTACAAAAGTTTACATTTACCTGCTAATGATTGCGATGAACCTTGAAGACGTTGAGGATTAGCGATGTATATCAAGAATATTAGAAAGTTTTTTACACCCATTGCTGTTGACAATTTCTCAACAGCGTCTTGCTTCGTTTCAGGTCTTTCAGCTTATTTTTCTTTTCTGTTCTTTTTTTATGTGAGTTTAATGTTTAAACTTTTCTGTCGATGAGAATTTTAGAAAAGTCTTCACTTAAGTTCATAAAATACATTTTATCACACACTTTAAAGAGTTTTCCATATTGCATATGATTTCGAGATTATGTAAATTTCTGAGCTTCATCAGGGAAAAGTTCGAGGAAACTTTATCTTTATCTGAAAAATGATTTTAAAACAGAAGTTTCAATTTATTTTATATACTTTAAAGTGTTATGTGCTTAAGTAAATTTACGAGAAGTCATCACGTCATCTGTGAGTACGATGTGATGATTTCCATGTTTGTGTGTAAAAAGAAATTAAGAATTAATCAAAAATATTAAGAATGAAACTGAAATCTCTTTTCTTTATTAGGTACCTCATTTGTTTGAAACGCGTAAAAGTAAAATTACTAAATTGAAATGATTTGAGCACGAACGAAAAACATTTTAAATATAATTTTTTACCTAACTTAACTTACTATTTATTAGTATTTCGATAGCTTTCAAGCGATAGATATCATCAGAACGTTTGATTCATACTGAAGGTTGACCCCAAGAAGAAATTTCTTCTTCAAATCTCTTCAAAATTGCCGTATACTTGGAGATAATCTTAAGTATGAATCGAACGTTCTGATCATGATAGCTTGTTGGCTATCGAAATACGTATAAAGATAAGTTAAATTAAATAAAAATTTATAAAACTGTTATGTGTTCGTGCTCAAATCGTTTTAATTCAGTCTCTTTTCTTTACATTTTGCTTTATCATAAACATGAAAAATATTTTGCAATTTGTGATAAAACTTTGCATTGAGACATTTATTTACATGAAACTCATTGAGCATATTTATTTCACTTTTCCTTGTTTTTAGAAAACTAAAAAACATGAAATATTATTCCTGTGTGTTTGTGTGTACCAAGGAAACATTTCCGCTTCGACAATCGTACAAGTAAAGGAAAATTAAAATTTATAAATGAACAAATACATTTGCAATTTATTCTCGGTATCTGATGGCATAAACTTTCAAGAGAATGAAACACAACTGGCATATAAATTACATATCTGAATGTAAATAAAAAAACCACTTCAACAAATTTTAAACTTATCCAAATATGTCAAAATTTCTCTAGAATTTGTTTCTAAACTACCTAAATATTTCAATATTCAAATTAAACTGCGTCAGTCTATTCGCCAACATGTGGTCGAATGAAATTTTATATTACGTTGCAATTAATTTAAGCAATTACTTTTGTGCACATATCAAACACAGTACGAAAACGTTTTAAAGTGCTTTAACTTCCACTTCAATCTATCATTAAAGAGAAAAAAATAGAAACTAAGCGAGAAGTTGATTGAAGTATTAGAGAGAAGACGAGGAAGCAAAACTGAACTGTGGGTCATGTGAATATCAATAATCATCGTCTTATCAGTGTTCCTGAATAAATTTGAGAACACATTTCGTGTTATCAAACAAACAAGAAGCAGAAGAGATTCTTAAATGATCAATATTCAAATTAAAAGAAAACTGCGTCAGTTTATTTGCCAACATGTGGTCATGCCTTTCTATCAATTTACCACAGCCGTCAATCAGGAGGGGAAAAATGTTTCGCAATGAAAATAACATTTTTTCTATTCAGTATCGTAACGTTTCTCGTGCTGAGCTTTGACAACGGCCAGGTGACGTTGAAATTAACTTTCTTTCCCAACATTTCTTACATTCTTGTTAGCTTTTCATTCTCACCACTAAGTTTACGAAAAGAAAAGAATTTAATAAATCTAAATCAACATGTTTGACTGCCTCAATGAGATTTACAATAACAAATTTTCTAATTTTTCTTCTCTTTTGCCAAATTACTTTTCTTTTTTTGTTCTTTTTCCCTTTCTCTTTTCAACTTCCTTTTCGCCTGACTGCGAGAGCATGAAAGTTAAAGCCAAAAGCACAACCGGAACAACGAATTTGCGATTTCAACTGTGGCAAACGACATAAAACAATTCTAATAATAATACAAATTTGTAATAAAGTAATCACATAAATTCTAACTTTTACATGTTTGACTGTGAAAATATATTCTCAATAGAGAGAAGTTGGTTGGACTGTGCGGCAGTAAAGGGAATAAATTACATTACTTTTGTACACATTAACAGGAGGAAATGTAAAGTCGAAGTTTTCTAAACGAGATGAAAGTTTTTCTGGATCGGTAAAGGAGCCTTAAGAAAATGAAAATAGTGTCGTTGATAACATATGTGTCGTTAAATAAAAAGGTGATTAAGATGTGGGAGTCATGGACTTTTCCAGGTATGTAAATAGAATAAATATCTAATTGAGAATGCATAAACGATCAGCCTTAATTTATGTAGATTTTCTAGACAAAGTTCGGTAGTATTTCATTCTCCAATATCTAAAATTATTCTCCTGACGAGAACAAAATATTGAGGCAAAACGTAACGAAACATTCTCCATGTTTTTGATATTAATTCGGGTTTTACACAAATCACATGAACAGTTTATTCTTATATGCTCCAATTTCCACATTTTAATTTAAATAGAAAGTATTATTTTTCATCAAATATTTATTCAACTGAGTGCATATAGAAGTTCAAATAAAGTTTAATTGCTTTTCCAATACTAAATTGATTACAATTGATATTGTCAGAGTCAATTTGGTTAATCTCTCTTTCGTTTGCAGAGTATAGGATTTCACTAAATAATTTCGAAAGCACTTCATAAATTGAAATTTCCTTCTCTAATATCATGGAAAGAGAATTTCTAAAGTATCTTCTTAAAGCAATTAGTTACAAGAAGTTCTGTCAAATGAACTATGCAAGTAAGTTCATAAAGAATAATTTATTCCGTTAGAATTTCCACATTTAATCTTGCAGAATGTAAAAAATGTAAGAAACAATCTGAAATCTCCTTTCAAAAAACCTTTTAATTAACGTTCAAGAATCAATGCTCTGCACTTTAGTTTCTGTAGGGAATTAAGCTAGAATTTTCCTTTTTGTCGATCATAATTAAAATAAAACAATAAGAAAAAGAAAAATAAGAAGAAAGGAAGAAAGAAGGAGGGACAACAGGGTAGCAAGTGGGTTGAATGTAACGAGTAAAACGGGAACAAGACGGATATTTGCATGAAAAGAAAATTGTAAATTCAATTACTTTGCTTTTTGTAATTATAAACTTCTCACTCTTATCGTTTTATTTTCATCGAATTCATTATTGCATTTTTCTTTTTTTTTATTTCTTGTTTTACACTAGACGTTCAACGATTTTACTTTGTGCAATGCTCCTTCTACAGTTTGCCTTCATTCAATTATAAATTCTTCTATTTTTTCATTCTTTTTTTTATATTTTCATTCGGGATAAAACTTGTTTAGTTCTTTGAGTCCGCATAGTTGAAATAGCATAAAAACGGTCTCATTTCCCTCACAAAGAAGCAAAAAGAAAAAAGTCGAATGAAAAGAAAAATTTGTTGTATCAAAGTTTGTAGATAAAAATAAAGATGAATAAAAAACGAGGCTCTTCACTGACGAGTGAACGAAAAGTGCAGAATTCTCTTGTGAGGTTATCTGATGGAGTGGGCTCGTTTCAATTTTCGAAAGTTTTACTGCTATTTATTCGTCTTCTTAGCACAAGTGGATGAAAGGGTCAAAGAAATCTTACTGAAAATTCCTTCCTGACATTAAACCAATGTTTTACTCTTTTCAGTTCTCTTTCGTAAACAAATGACATTTTCAAACATTTTAAAACAAAATTTCTTACAATCGAAAAGAAAAAGAAATGAAAAAGTTTTTTTTTGGAAGACGTTGAATTTACAATTTTGATTGTTTTTTCATGGCTTGAGCCCTTTCCAAAATAATATATAAAAAAACAAACAAACTTTTCTGAAGTGATTACTCTTTTGTTACTGTTTTGAATCCCTAAACATGGGCATAGATAAATTTTTCATGTAGATTTCTTAATTGAAGAATGGAAGAAGTTTGTTGAAACTTTTTCAAGACTTCATGTTTATCTTGTTAACTTTTATGCATGCTTGAGACTGTGGAGTGGGTGTTTCATTTAAATAATCAAGATGGTAATAAAAATACGAAAGCAAAAGGGATGCCTTGTCAGAGAGCTTTTAAATTTTTTATGTTGATTTCCATGCATTTGTTCTTATTTGAGTAATAAGGAGCATGCAAAGCACCATCAATTACCAAAGGCACCGAATGAAAGAAGTGAGTGAATAGATTTATGGAAAATATCCATTCTTATGTAATGTTGAACATGAAAAGACATAAAAAATCTTATGAAAATTTTTCGTGATATGAGAATAAAGAAAATTTTTATATTTGTTGACGTCTTCTCAAATTTCTTTTTTTGAAAGCTTCAAATAATTGAAGTAATTTTTTCTCCAATTGCAAACAATTCAAAAACATTTGTTCTCAGAACTTTCTATATGTACGTGCGTACTTTTATTATGCGTTTGTTTGAAGAAGCGAAAAAAGTAAGAACTTGAAATATTCAATGCTCACTCTACATTACTTACTTCTTCAAACCACTTAGAAATATGTCAGAAATAATCTGATTCACGATAAGATGAGATTAAATATATAAAAATGTGTACCAAGAAATTGAAATATACTTCAAGACTTTTCAATTTTGCCTTTGGTGCGTAAAATAATGCCACACGATTGGTACTTGTTCTTGTTTACGCCTTCGTCGTCAAAGCAAATTCACCATGAAGAAATAAATAAATACCATCAAAAAGATTTTCTTCTTCGTCTCAAGTTTTGCATCTTACATTTCCTCTTTTTGAAGTGTATTCAAAAGGGAAAACTTCTTCAATTGCGTCAAGTTACAATTGAAAAGATTGAATATCAGAAAAATTAAACATCTGTTGCGAATTTTGTATTGTAATCAATCAAAACATGTTTTAGCTCACGAAAGAATGCAAAAAGAAGAATTTCTATGGGATAAGCAATATTTTTAAGAATTTCACAAATATTCTTGTTTCGCTATGAATTTCCTGTGATGAATCAGTCTATAACGGGCGAATATTTGTATGTAGTTCACAACTCCCACACATGTCAATAGAACAGTGATTGGCATATTTGTATTAAAACGAAAACTGTCGGTTAATGTTTGCTTCTTGGTTTCCTACATTTTCTTTTCTTCATCCATTAAAAGACGAAAAATATTCTCGACGAACATCTACATGAGAGAATGAAGGAGCATCTGCTGCTGTGTGCGCTTCAATTTAATTTCAAAGCTGTATGCTAACATTCACATTGAGTTCTCATGAATTGAAAGACGAGGAAATTGCTCACATCTTCTTTTCGTATCCAATGCCAAAGCAAATTATTGGACACGCGTCTGATGGATTAATTTGCAAGATCGATTAGGGTAAGAGCATAAGAAAATTAAATAAAGAAGACGATTCAATACTTAAGAATAGAAATTGAATTCGTGCTCCGTGAGAAGAAGAACATCGTTTACCATGTGTAGAATAAATTGATCGGATGACTCAATGCAAGCGAAGATGAACAAAGACGTCACGTCAACAGGTTTCTAAAGGAACTCAAATTGTTCTTTTTGTGTGTACCTTGAAAGCATGAATTTTGTGAACGATTTCATCATGATAAAATTTCGCTTTTGTAAATCGACGAATATCTGCCATTCATGTGACTTAAAAAAGGCGAGTAAGAAAATTCTGTAGAATTAATTTTTTATAGAAACATGAAGGCTTCAGTCACGCCTTTCAATAAATGAAGAAAAGTACAAATGTAAACATTTCTGGGAAATTTCAGGACCTTCCTGTCCGTCATTTTGCAGATGACTTGTTCACGCGTAAATAATAAAACAAATGTACTTAGTCGTTCAGAATGTGCTTTGTTGTCGCTCAACCGTTTCTGCTCAATCATTTTTTTGTGGCGCTTTCAACTCGGAAAAGCTTGCGAAATCGAGTTTTGTCCCGTTCCAAAAAATTCCATCAAGAATTTTATGAGGGAAAAAGCGCTTCCCGTGTATAAACAACAGTAAAATCTCAATCCCTCTGAATAAAAAAAGTCATAAAACGTCCGAGGTGAAAGCGGAAATGACAAATCGAAATTGCTTTTTTTTTTGCTTTCTTCAGCCTCATCGTCATGTTTTGAATGTCACTTCAATTTTTGGTTTGTCACTTTAAGCACGCGATTCTTTTCAAGCCTATCTTCCGACGATCTTTATTATCTCTGCTTGGCTGTCAATCGACAACAGAGCTTTACTCACCAAAAACTCCCTACATCATTGAAAAGTCATGTTTCACTGTGAAATCTTTGAAATTGAAAAAAAATGTTCGATCGGTTTTAATTTTGGGAAAATTTATTCGAGTCATGCAATCTATGTCGCCACCATTTTCACTTCAAATGCTGAGAGCGATTTGAAAGGCTTTTGAATCGTCAAAGAGTTTACAAAAAAGGGCCACCAATGACTTATTCAAATATCAATCATTTTATCGTTTGTCGCATCGTATATGTAGCAAAAATGAAAATGAATAAACGCAAAAGCTTTTCTTCAACGTTTCTTTAATAAAACTTCCCTTTCCTTGTATTCAAATTAACTTCCTGCGTGAAATGAAAACCGATATCTGCTTTGGAATTGTAAAACCAAAATACCGCATATAGACGCTTATCATAAAATATTCATTGACAAAAAATAACCCATCGAGGGGTTTCATAATCTGTTGAGACGGCGACATTCTCCACTGTTCCTACCGTATGTATGTTTTGATTGCGACAGTTGCTTTCAAAATTATATTCACGGTCTCGAGTGAATAAATAAAGGTGAAATAATTAAATTTCCGCGAGATTTAATGAAAATTTTGTGTCGAGTCACCGGTGCTGTAGGCGCTTTGCACCTCCCTTGTTCTGATCAGAAAATGTGCGTCAAAAGATGACAAAAACAACTTTCCCTGCCTACATAGATTGATGAAATAAAATGAAAATTAATCAAAATAAAATTCTTTGTTTCTTTTCAGTAAATCTTTCAAAAATCTTCATTTATTTTTTATATCAGAATAAAATAATAAAATGTTTCTTTTCATCTTTAAAGCTCGAACAAAAATAGATTTATAGAATTTTCCAAGAAAAAAGGGAAAAGGAAGAAAGAAAACAGAAAGAAGAAGAAAACGAAAGCTTCAAATTAAAATTTTAGTTGGAATTCCTGACTTTTAATTTTTTTTTCTTTGTACGCAACATAGAAATCTCGTCACTATATGTTGCTTCTTTGGATTGTCACATTTACATTATCATCAATAATTTGTCTTTAATCTTTTAAGCTTTTAATGCAATAATCATTTCTCGTCCGTGCCATACGATTCTGTTTGTCTATAGCATCGTCATTCGCTCTCTGCTTGCTGCCTCAAGATTAAGCTATTTTTTAAATCGTCTCGGATTTGCATAACGAATGAGAGGCGCAAGAGAAAAAACCTATAAATACCCGAAGCTCTGTTCTCATTGTCATCTCTCAATCTCCTCGTCTTTATGTTAGCAACACTGTGAATGTCATTTCTTCATGTTGTCGTGTCTCGCGAACAATTCGGCACGTTTCAAGAATTTTTATTTTGTTGCTTTTTTCTCACAAGAGTTTTCAACATAAATATGTATCTAAAGAAGATGAAAATGAAGAATGAATGGTATGGTATGGTGTGGAATGAAGACAACGGAGTCCATTTAAACAAAACTGTCCTCCAGCTACATAGCTTTGTAGGTAGGAAGACTAATCTTTTATTTTCCATCTTTACGAACCATCGTATATTTCAATTTCAATTTCATGCGGAAATTTAAATGAAAATTCAATTATTCGTAAACTACGCTCGTAAAACTTCACGTTATAAAAGAATTTCGTGATGTTTTATCACTTCGATCATACTAAGAGCATCAACCTTTAAAAAACTGCTAAAAGCAACACTTGAAATTGTTCTCAGCTATGCAACTTGAATCAACCAAACAACCAGTGCCGGTGAGGTGGAAAAAATAGTGAAAATCACTTAAATTGAAAACCTGATAAAATAAATTGATTTTCATCAACAATTTTCTTTCGCTCCGCTTCTTATTTCAAACACGATTGCACTTTTATGACTCTGACGCTATTAAAGGCGATAGCTTGGAAGCGATGATGTATCTTCCTTTTATGCAATTTTTGCTTGTTCTCCTCAACAAATTAGTTTTCCACACGAAATAAAAATAATAATTTTATATATTTGATAAATGATTTTGAGTAGAAAATTTCGCATGCTCTCTTGCAGTTTATGTTGTGTGATGAATGAACATAAAGCTTACCAAAAGCGGGAAAAAATAGAAGAGAACGAAAAAAAAACCGCTAGTAAGAAGCTTCACCATTTAATTTTGAAAAAACTTTACACACTCGCTCGATATATTTGAAGCACATGAGAAGTGAAAAAATTTTGGTTAGAAATGCACGAGCGGAAAAAATCATAAATTTTAAAAGCTCGCCATTCTGGTGTGCTGGTTAGAAGAGAACTTTAACGCTCTCGATCAGATACAGAACATCTATTAATTTTGTTTTCCTTCGACTGCACTTTCACATTTTTTTTCATATTTTTAGTCTTCTCTCGTTGGATGAGAAATTTCATTTCCCCTTCAGGATGAAAAAGTATTTTTCAAAAGCGAAACGATTAGGAACAATTTAAACTGCATGTGAGTTGGCCTCAAGTGATATTTTCCTTTCATTAAAGATTTGAAGAAAAAGGAAGTGAAATTTTCTGGGTCACAGAATTGAACGATGAAATAGAATTATGATGAATCTATTTCAAACCACCAAAGGAAATCTTGAGATTTTTGAGAAAAATAAAAAGAAAACCTTTTTTAAAGCTGAAGATGAAAATCAGAGAAAAAGGGATAACTGATTGAATCTCGGAATGAAAATGTGCCATTAAACCATACGATTATATTAGGTTTAAATGGTTATATGTTGCGACATGAGAAGAAACGAAGAAATACTGAGGTCTTTTGGGACAAAAATGCTTTCACACATGGCAGGATTTTCGTGGAAATCGTGTGTTTTTTTATTCTTTCGATTTTTTGTACAAAACATTTTGACAAACGACTAGCGGGTTGACATGAAGGCTCACAAGGTTATCTGAATAATGTTTTCTTAACCAGGAAAATGATGCCGATTAACGCCAGCAAAAAAGGCGAATATTTAATCTTTCAATTCAAAATAAATTATTTTATTCCGCATGAAGAACCTAAACGCAAAAATTTTCAGAATAAATGAATTTGTGAATTTGTAATTAAAATCCACCCACGCATGAAAGTTTCCGTAATGTTCTTTTCCACGAAAAACAATTTATTTGAAAATTTTGATGGAATAATGAAAAGCCAGGATGACTTCTCCACCCTTTTGCGACTCATTATTAAGTCTAAGCTTTTGCCTCCTCATTATTCATTGTGTTTAAAGCGATACTTATTCGCACTCTACATAAACGTTGGTGACACATTTGCGACATCAGAGCGAGAAGTAAATAATAATTGAATTAAGAGACGATAGCGAGGAGGCGCAAGGCAGACGGTTAAGCGACGGAAAAGCGACACTTAAAAGGTTTATAATCCTTCTTATGATGTGAAAGCTCAACTCCCTTTTGACACACAATTAAAATTCAATTTAACACTTGACATTTATTTTCTCGAGCCAAAAGAAAATTTTCTCCATCAAACAAAAAAAAGAACGAAAGAAAAAAATTATCCTTTGTGAATAATTTATGTCTCACCGGAAAATAATAATTTTCCGAAAGAAAAGAGCGAAGCGTAAAATAATAACAAGATGGTATATACAAATATTTGTGACACTGTGTTTACACAACAAAAAGCTCCATCCATTCGTCAGAAAACTTTTTTTTTATGAACTAAAATATTTATTTCGTCTTCACTCCGTTCCACTCGCGATATTAGATGAACATTCACATTCAACTACGTGCTAGATTGTTCTCATTACGTCAAATTGTGCGCGTAATAATCTGGAATCAATCTTGAGCCTCGAACCAACATCACTATGACAAATTAAACAGATTATCCTTTTCATTGTATTTTATCATTCATCATCGTTTTGATTAATGAAAACTTTAAGAATATCAAACATCCTTCCACTTGAATTATTTTTCAAACGCTTGCGATAATCTACTAAAGTAACTTCAAGTTCATACTATGTAGAAAGATTTTTTTTCTACTCTAAGTTTAACTTTAGGCGACCGAGAAAATTGTTTGGAGATCACAAAACTTACGTCTTTTCCGAATTATTATCCGATATAAACTGACTAAGAATTTTTCCTCCGTTCGTTAAATATTAGATGGCAAGAAGCAATGTGCTCTAGATATCACTTCCAGTCTGATAGAATTGTTCCGAAAGAGAGAAAATGTTCAAATGCATTAAATCTCACGCATGCGCTTCTGATTTGAGATTGTTTACTGCAAAAACTTGTCATAAAAATGCAATCGAATCAAACTTCGAAGTATTTTTTTCATCAGTAACTTCTTGGAGGGATTCAAACGTTGGGGAAGATTGTTGACTTCATTACATTTTAATGCATGCGATTCTTGGGTGACGAATATTTAAACTTTCACGTTCATTAATTTAACGTTTTTTACTTAACTTCAACCCAAAAAAGCAATTCTTTCTCAAACAATAAATCCCGAAAAAGTGTTAAATATAAATCGATTAAATTAACATGTTCCGACAATTTCATCGTATGTATAAGGTTTGTTTTCCATCATATCATCGTAGAATTGCCTTGGAAGAAAAAGAAGAAAAGGATATGATAGGGAAAATTTAATAATAACGCTTCATCTTTTATGCATTATATCGTGTATCAGAGAAAGAACCGAAGAAGAATATGATGAGGATTATAATAGAATAAATGGAATAATTGAAATAATTTTCTGTTTATTTCTAGCAAGTCTAAGGAAGGGATTCATAAGAGCTTTTCCGTAGAAATTTCCGTCAGTGATTTTAACATCGAAGGCAAGATCGAATAATGTATAAAATGTATTCAATCAGAAACGCTTCGTTGCGAATTGAGCCGCATTGTTACATGATGTATTTCTAGCAACGCCGCAAGTAAAATATATCATCGTAACATTTTGGGAACATCTTTGAGTGCAAATCATACTTTATGACGTGAAAATTTTATTCTGCGGTTTTTTTCTTTGTGTCATATATGCTGAAGTTAATCATACAAGTACGACAGCTGACGTGACATCGTAGTATATTGAAAAGTTTGAAGAACGAGAAGAATGTCTTCATTGAGTTCTCTTCACTTCTTTAGAATCTTTAACGATATGTGTTGTGTATGACTTTTCTTTGAGATATGAATCAATATGAAGCATTCATCAACTGCTGCTCAATCAAATATGGGAATGGGAATGAAAATTGATTCTCTTTTCGAAGACTTATTGAATGTGACAGCGGAAGATTTCAATTGTGAAACGTCAGAACGAGGCTTAGGAATGGGCGTGATGGAAATGAAAAACGAAAAGAAAAAGTTCATGTTGGGAGGAATATCAAATTTCATGAAATTTTTGAAAAGAATAAAAAACTTTTCTTTCTTTGCAACTTTTTGAATACGAAGAATTTAAACCAAGAATGGAAAATTTTCCTGTTGTAGTCTTCATCCATATGTTACTTGTGACAAATCTCTTGACCAATGCTTTAGTCATGACTTTTGATGAAGTGAATAAAAATTAAGAGATTAAAATGAATACAAAAAGTTGCTTTCTTTCTAAAAGGATTACATTTATCAACATTGAATACAAAAATAAAAGTGATGACAAGTGCTCATCTGAACAATTTATGCAGATATATAAGTAAATATAGCAAGACGTTTATCAGAAGGAATAGGGGACAAGTATGGCGAAAATTTGTTGACAAAATGCATGTTGAATTACCAAGTAGATAAATTGAATTTTCAATTAAATTTATGGCATGATGGAATGGAAAGCAGAGAGAGAGAGAGAGAAAGAGGAACAGAAAGAGGGAAGGAGAAATATTTCACTTTATTTCGATATATGTTTTAACATTCCTTCCAAGCAAGCAAACATCACTCTACTCTTACTGTTGTAGCTTCCTCAGGTTCCTCATTTCACAATAGCAAATATTTAATTTAAGCAAATTTCCAATGTGAGTTCTTGAACCTTTATATAGGTACCTTTATATCATATCTATATAAAAGTTATATGTTTTAGTCATAAAGTGTAAGTTCAAAAATGTATGCATTAGCAATCAAAAACGATATGTTTCAAAATTAATGATAGTGTTTCCTGCACATCCTCCTAATTATCATAGCTCCGGGTTTTATGAAAAATTGTTAAATACCTGAAACAGTAGACCAAAATATGTAACATTGATGGACAAACAACACACAAAAGCGTTGACGCAATAATGCATAATGAATAGATTTTGGGTGGTAAACTTGCCAGACGATCCTTTTGTTGAAATCTATTCAAAGTGTTTTCTTTTTCTTGATAGTTATGAATGAACATCAAAATAAAATTTCGAAAGATTTTTTGTTATCTTTATAAACTTCTTATCATCAATTAATTAAATTGATATTCTTGCTATAATAAACTTCAAAATAAATAAAATAAATAAGACAAGGACTTAATAAGAGTAAATTTTTCTTCAATAGAAGGGTCAAATATTAACTTTATTTTATTTTTTTTAAGGCATGCTTTAGTCTACCTACATCCCAAGAGAAATATTTACTGACGTCTTTTCAGAAAATAAAAATAAAGTCGCAGTCATGGACAGAGTATGAATAGATACTGTTTGTTGAATTCTACAGAAGCCAGTGGGACAAGGAAGGAATTTAATCATTTATAAGCCTTGACCTTTAAGAAACACCAAAACTTTGAAGTTGCCCTCTCGACTTCATTCATCGGTTCATCAAAACAGAATATCTAATAATAAAAGGGAAAATACCAGAAAAATTTCCACCCACATCTCTTATAAGTAAATACTTATGAAAATATTTTTTGATCACTTATATAGGAACACAGAAATTTGATAATATTTTATTGGATTTTTGGTAAATAATTCACGTCTAGTCTTAAAAATTTTAATGTATATTCATGACACAAAGCCAGCATGCAATTTATTTTCACTTGACTTCAAAATTATTTCAATATTTCTAACAATATTGATATTATCGATAGATATTTATCTTCTTGTCTATATTTTACATACAACCAAATCTTGCAATTGAAAATAAATTATTTCATTCATTGATTCACTTAACGATGTTGTTGATATAAGACCGACAGCATTACTCTTATTAGCTAATAACGATAACATAAATTTCAGCTGACAGTTAGTCAATAAACAATTTCATAATGACATTGATTTGAATTGAGTATTATTGTAATGTTCGTAATGAAATTTTCTAGTTCCAGTTGGTTTAATTGATTATTCCACGATATCGAATATGATTAAGATTGCGACAAAGCCATTACCAAGATGATAGTCAAACACTGTGTAGTATGCAGAGCACGTTGTATAACCCACTTTTCCTAGTGTTTCTATCCTTTGGCTACAGCTTGTTCCATCATGGCAATGAACTGATAAAACTCGCACATGCATTCCAGCCTGCGTTGCATTGAAGCCAAATCAAATGCAGATTTTTTCCTGCAATATATAAAAGTATTTTACAGCGATTTATGCTCGTAGTTTGCATATGTTAACTACATTTTTAACGTAACACTGCTTTGTATATACATCGAAAGAAATTGGATTGAAATAATAAATTTATATTTCAAATATTATTCGATCATATATCAGAAATATGAAAAAAATGTAATTTTTATGTAAATTTTTAACTCCCTTTTGAGAAGCAAAAAACGAACCATAATCAAATATTTTTAATTGCATTTCCATGTATCCCAATTCAATTTTTAAAGTTATCATCGTAAATGATTAATGGTGGATGGTCAACAGAACTTGTTCAGAACACATTTAAAAGCAACCTCAAATTTCAAAAGACCACAAAAAGTGAAGACCATACATAAATGTGAACAATCGCTTTACACTCAAAAACATGCCGTGTCATTGGATGAAATTTCCATGATTCATGACCGCCCATAACAAAATAGAGCAGCAGCGATTCTATTATTATTGTTTAAGAAAATAAGCAGCAAATTCAGAATGTTGTTTAAGACAGTCACAGGCGAGAAAACAAAGAATGATTGCAATTGAACATGAAACGATAAATTTTGCCTTTAATGTCATGTAAGATTCAGAACACATTCATAACGTATTACAATTACAAGTGAAAGAAAGGATAAAGACAATGACAACCATTTCCAGCATTTTTACACAATATAAATGAAATGGAAAGGAATACGTACGAATAGAGAAAATAACAAACAATTTTGTTTACGATTATCACCATTATCTAGACCATTATCATGTGCTATCATTCATGCAGTTATTATTGCATTTCATTTGTTGTCCTTTCCCTTGTATTGTTGAAAAACAAGTTACTGATAGATGCTGTTATAGAGACGGTGAAAGACTGTAAAGTATCCATAGAAAACAAGATAGTAAGGACAGTTGTGCAGCACCTACGCTACCATTATGATTAAATTCGGAAAATACGAACATACACTTAAAACGAAGTACACAAATAAGAAGTTTTATAATATCCAAAACACCGCTTTTCACAATTGATAAAGAGAATATGAATTCACACTAAACAACACAAAGCTTAGCAGCTTTATGATGGTGGAAACTGATTTATTGTTATTTATACAGCTAATTGTTTAGATTCGTGCAATGAGACATTGTGATGTTGTACGATGCAAAGACAAATCATAGAAAGCGTATTTTATTTGCTGTGGGAATTGAAGCAAATATATTCATAGCAATAATTTAAGGTGATTTATTGGTAAGACTTGAAGTAGTCGTGAAAAGAGTAAATATTTAATTTGACCTGTAATAATTCAATTCACTTTTCATAATAGATATGTTTCTGATTATTAATTAGTTAAAGTAAAGAACCAATCACGACTTAAGATATTATATTTCTGAAATAAAATTCATTTCCAAACATTTACATATCAACTTTATATAGATACGAAGATTATTTTATATATTTCATAAACATTCGATGTAGCTAACATCATGTTCAAAATTAACGAGTTTTCATAAGAATAACAATGAAACTCATTCGATAAGCAAACAAAAAATAAATTTTGTGGTAAAGAAGGTTTGTGTTTTTCTTTTCCACAAGAAACATAAAAGAGATAATGGGAAAATAATATGAAGGATTGCTTCAATTAAGAATTATGACTAAGCTTGCTATCAAATTCAAACTGGATTGAAGGGTTTTTGTTTCATAAGCTATTCAATAACACTTAGATTAAGTTACTTAATTGTTACTTGAATGGAAATTAATTAACGTAAAGAGAAATACTTTGATACTGTCAGAGAGTGGCAAAAGAAAGAAGACTTTGTTGTATTTAAGTAAACCATTCTATTAACTTTATAACGAACCATTCTTTAAAGATGTACATAACTAAATATTTAACGATCTTAGCTTTTGTTTTGATCTTGGTTGAATGTAAACTAATAGCTGTTAAGTCCCATTACAGAAGCTCCTTCAAATGTTGAACTATCATTTTCTTTAGCAAGCACTTTGCTATTTATATGCTCACACGATTAAATTATCGATGATGTGATATGTTGAGACACAATATAAATGTTGTTTCTGTTGAGATGACAAACTATTTATTGTTCAATTATTTGTCGACATCTAGATATTTGCTGTTCAAGAAAGCGTTGACATTAAAATTTGATGTAGGAGACAAAACAACCTGTTCGTTATTTAAAAATTGATATCAAATGAGTGAACCTTTGAACATATCAGGAAAATGAAGAGATAATTAAGGTTTCACTTGCTATACGAAAATAGATTTAATTATTTACTTGGAATTCATTTCTTCTTTTCAATGTTCATTAAATGAAAATGTAATTGAAAAAAGCTTTAAGAGAGTTTTCAAATTTGCATTCATAGATTATTTACATACCACACAATTAAATAAACGTTGTCTCATTAAATCCATCTAAATATTTCTGCATATAAGCGTAAATCATGCCCTAGAGAATATTCTTAAATAAGAGTTTTATTACGACTCAAATAAACAATTTCGCAAGCGCAGCAACTTCAATTTAAATTTTATACAACTTTTTATTTCAATTATCTTGATATGTATCATTGTATGCTTTAATTTTCTCTTCAGCATGAAATATTTTTGAAAAAATTTATAATTTTATTTCAAATGAACCAAATTCCTCTGACAGTCAAAATATTAAATAAACTCAATTAATTTATTTATGAATAAAATTTAATGTTGAAATAATATTTTTGAAGTCAATAATTTGATGATAATGAGAATTATAAATTCATTGATTAAATTTTTACGATATGAGCTTTAATGGCTTTGTAGAGAAATATAATTAAATACTTTAAAATCAACACCTACCTTATGCTATAGAATTAAACAACTGATAGAAAGTGCCAACTAATTGTGGCTTTTCAAATGGCCTAGTCATTAACATGATCGTTTTCGCTCACGTGGCAATGGAGTAAAAATTAGAATTTAAATTAAATTTCTGGTTAATGATAATAATTAAAATGTTCGGAGACGAGAATGGAAGAAAATCCATGTTATTTATTTTTTAATTATTTTCACCATGTTCCATTCAAATAAATAACAATACAAATTGCAATTATGCAAAGCATAATTATTCTATGGTATGTAATAGAACGTTCCTGTGTCATTATATCTATCACCCACCAATGATTTTAAATTTCTCTTTTTGAATTCCGAGCAAACATAAAAATTGATTGTTTTATTGCAAAATTATTTTCGATTGTTGATTGTTAATTTTTTCAACCGCCTTTACATGTACACACAAATTATTTGAGTGAAGAAATAATTTTGAATAGATATTTAATTAATTTTCAATATCGATTGTTCAGAAGCAAATGTATACAATTATATGTTCCTACTTACCCGAATAGCACACACGCTCCGTGTGGACTACTTAAATTGGGGTTGTGTTGAGTTTTCTTTGGCATATCCTCTGGCATTTCCGTCCGAAATCAGCGTAAATCATCGAGGCATTAACTTAAACCTGNACCTGACATGTCAACCTAACGATGCTGCCCCACTTGCAAACATTCCTAACTGAGCATGACTTATGGCATCTTTAAATTCCATACGGTTGTTTTACAAGGGTGACTTAAATCATCATTCAATGGAACTGAGAAGGGGAGTTTTTTGAATGTTTCGTACATTTAAATAAAACTTAAACTATAAGACTTAAGTACAAAGTGTGTTTGGGAAAGTTGTTGCTTATCATAAGTTGCAACTTTTTCTCTCATACTATGTGCCAGTAAATTGGCACCAGACGGCGTTAGAGATAAAAGTGTAAAAAACGAAAAAAATCAAATACAGCCTCAACTATAAGATTAAGCTACTTCGTGTGTTTGGGAAAGTTGTTCCTTTATACTTGCTACAACTTTTTCTAGTACATCATATTTCGGTAGGTTGGCACCAGATGGCGGAAATGATGATTTTTATAAATTTTTCATGAATTCCCTTATTGCGCCATCTGGTGCCAACCTACCGAAATATGATGTACTAGAAAAAGTTGTAGCAAGTATAAAGGAACAACTTTCCCAAACACACGAAGTAGCTTAATCTTATAGTTGAGGCTGTATTTGATTTTTTTCGTTTTTTACACTTTTATCTCTAACGCCGTCTGGTGCCAATTTACTGAAACATAGTATGAGAGAAAAAGTTGCAACATATGATACGCAACAACTTCCCCGAACGCACCTCATAACTAAATCTTACAGTTTAGGCTGCAATTAAGTTTTTCACTTTTTCTTGAGGTGCCAATTCAGTCATTGGCACTGATATGTTGTCATCAGATTGATTTTCAAATCTGACAAGAGTTATCCGTAACAAGTCCAACTCATGACTTCATTAAAAGATGACACAAGTTCTCCACATTAAGTTAATGCAGCGTTAATCTTTTTTTTGCCAAAATGCCTTCGTACGGTTGAGTATAAAGGATTGGTCCTCCAACTAGATGGAATTGACAGTCCCATGCCTGATTTGAATGTGCCCTTGCCCTGTTGTGTTATTCGGGTTATGTGAAAATTTTCAACAAATGTTAGTCACATGCTTATGAGAAAGAGAGTTTGTGAACTACTATTAAAATTTTGTAAGAAATTTTTTTCTGCTTTAAAATTTCTTAAAACAGTCACTGCTGAAACTTGTAATTAAAACTTCAAGAGTATTAGAGGTGAACGAGAACTGTTCAACTTGAAGAGGCATCGAAAACTGAAAGGGTAAAAATCTTGTTTGGACAAACTTTAAATCTTTGCTGAAACTTTTCCTTCGAAATCCATGGAAACCTTTTATTTCAAAAGATAAAGTTTTTCTTTAAACGTATATCCTTTAGGTTTATCATAAAACTTTCTTTGCCATTCTAAGCAATATTCGATGATTCATCTATATAAATATGTTATTCTATGAGAAAACTTAAATTTGTAACAAAATTTATGCATGAAACTTGTAGTGAATTTATTAGGCGGCTCTCAAGAAGTAAAACAAGCTTGAGAGAACAAATATTTAGGAAAAGAATCAAATCCTTTGTCTTATAATTTCCGTTTAAATCTTAAACTTTTATAAGTCTATCAAACCGTGAAATTGAGGTAAAACTTTGCTCTTTGAATCAACGTAGCAAAGTGTTAGAATTGCGGAATAAATACGTTGTTGTTGTACTTTTTTTTTAATTGTTCTATAATTCATTGGAAGATCAGCTAAAGAAAACTTTTGAGAGTTTTTCGATTTGTTTTAGAAATTAAGATTACCTACTAGCATTTTAAAATACTCTCAACTTTTTTTAATATATCATGATGTTGATTGCATATTCAAAACAAATTTAAAGTTGCATGATATTAAATTTTTGCTATAGTTTCTCTTTGAAACTTACAACAAATTTGCTCAACATTTATGTTTTAAAATGAAAAACTTTTTTAAAAGCATGTAAATTAGATTCTTCTTTTTACTCATGCAGATTCCATTTGTATTTTAGAAGGTAGATGGATCTTATTTATAAGGTTCATTTGTGTATACTTTTCTCATAATGAAAACTTCTTAAATCAATCTACAACTACTTGACACAAACTATCTTTTGAATAAATGGAAAATGTATGTTTAAAAGTCAGTGAATAAACACAGAAGTATGTATGCATAAATTTAGTGTATTTTTAATTATATTTTTAAGTTTTTGATGCTGCAAGCGACTGTCTCTTTCATAAATTTCTAAATAATTTATCAAACGAATTCTTCAGATTTTACCACAAACATGAATGATTTCTTCTTTCGTAAGCTTTTTTAAAGAAATCATGAAATATTTTTTCACAATAAGGAATTTCTATGTGAACAATCAAATCGATTGAGTTGAATTATTTATTTAAATCACATCTTTAAATAATAGTTCTTCATTCATAATTCTCTGAAATTTTCTCAAAACTTTGAAAGATGGAATATGCATGTTTGCGAATTCATTCGATTTGCCATAAAAATTGAATCTACATACGAAAATATGTAGTTGAATGATAGAAATTTTTCACATATTTCCAATGCGCTTGATTCAACATTCAGCCGAAACGCAAGCATAAAATTCTTTTTTAATTTGAACTAAAGTCAATAATAAAAGAAAACGTGATGTTTGATGATTTTGGTTATGTTCGTTCCTTCTCTGAAATGCATTTACAGAACGTTTCTTTCACGAAATACAAGAAATAAACAAGCTGAATTAAAGCTTACAGAAAACTCGTTCTACTCGACATAGTTTAATTGAATCAATCAAATTGCTTTTGATTTTCGAGTCGATTCAATTTATCGAAGATGCTTTTCTATTTTTACAATAATTGATACACATTCATAATAAGAATCCGGTCTTCTCCTGCTGTAACTCTGTATTATTTCTACCTAAGTACCTTCAAGTATATTTCTAATTTTTAATAATTCAATAAAAATGTCTAATAGAAAAAGAAATCACGGCAAAGTTTGTATTATACATAAACCCTTCTCAGATAACAAAGCATAACCGGAAGAAAAAATTCTTCCTAATAAAAAGAGGCTTTTGCAACTTGTTCATCATTAAATTTGATCCTATTATAAGTTAATCAACCGTTCTCGTTTCAGTCTTGGCCTTGCCGATGGCAAAACAAATCGGTACGTGGAAGAAGCAGAGAAAAAAATTATTTGGAAAACATTTTTTTGCTCATCGTTTCCACATCAAAAGCTGAATATTCTCGTTCTTTTTTCTCTTTATTATTCTTCTGATACTATAGTATCACTCAAATTGCGAACGAGAAACCGCAAAAAATAAATGAGAGGAAAAATTCGTCACAAATTGAAGAAAAATCGAAGAAACTGATGGAGGGCTTATTAATTATCATTTTTCTCCTCTCAATTCATTGTGATGTATCGACAGCGGTCGGAACCATAACAAATAAGAAAAGATAAAGAAATCAATCAGCAAATTAAGGCTTGCGAGACTGCTCATTATTTCGTCGCCTGTAACACGAAACCTAATAAGACTTCCCTTCACCAAATGACCCCAATTTATCACTTTAATGTTGCGACAAAAATCAAGAGTAATCTCTGACAAACTTTTTCTTCTTTTCAACGTCTATTCACTTGCTTTGTCTGATCGGCAGATTGCAAATTTTCCTTCGTTTTTTAATAATTTTTTGTCGCTTCTTTCTGACGACGACGATGAAAATGATTTTTTCCAGGAAAATAAATATTTACATATAAAAAAGGAGATTTTCCAGAAATCAGAAAGATTTGAAATCATTGTTTTCCTGTGTTCTCCACGGATGCCGGAATTGTCAATAAGAAAAATCAAAAAATAGAAGACATGTCGAGTAATACAAAAATCACGATGGCTCAATTATTGAGATATTTATTCCACAGATCGAAATATGATAATAAAGGAAGAAAAAAAACGGAGTTGGGAGAAATGGAAAATCTTGAGAAAAACAACAGTTGGTAAGGAACGATTTTCTGTTTTTCCGTTTGTTTGTTGAATAATATGCACATGTGTTCAATTTCTTCCAGAATTTGTTTTTATATTTTCTTATGTTTTATTTTCAGAATAATTTTTTCAAATGAGATTTGAAAATTCAACACCTATCCGAAAAGATTAAGTAATGCTCTGCTCCAACACATGCAATTTTTAATTAACCACACATTCATTAAATTAAATAAGACTAACCATATTGACACCAAGAATATATATTTTTATTAGTATCTCAAGATTTCTCAAAACATTCTTTCATAATATAAAAAAAAATTATCCATCGAAAAGTTTTTCTTAATTTTCTAACGAATCAGCAGTGAGATTAGAAATAATTCGCTAATGGAACATTCACAATTTCAAATTGTGACCTAAGTGGAATACATTTTTTTTTGTTGAATCAACAATTTAGATAAATAACTATAATTTAGTTAAGTTCAAATTTTGTATAAAAATTATTAAAAGAAGTCATAAAGTTTACGAATTTTTTGGGAATTATTTTAAGATTTTTTTTTCTTTTCGATACGCTTTCAAGTTCATCTCTCATGCAACCATCAAGTTCCATGCTATTGTAAACATCATCATTTTAAATTTTCTCTTTTCCCCTAGATATTGCACCTTCTTTTGGTGATTGTTAGAAAAGTCGTTTCTCGTAAGAAAACAAACTGTGAACGTTACCTTCTTGTTGCGCTGAATGCGTTCTCTTCATGAATCTCAGTTCGTTTTTGTAGATCATTTCCTTGAGATGTATCAGTGAACGAGCTCCAAGATCTTGACAGCTATGCTGTAAACCGCATTCTAAATACGGTAAAAAACGTAATACCGATCCTTTATCTACGATGTTGCCAGATACACCTTGTGCAACCCGCAATTTATCCATTTCGTTATGATAGTATCGTGACATAGCAGCTCCTTTCGCATCTTTTCTTTCCATTGCTTCAAGCGATCCCATACCACGATATTTCTTCAAACGGACACCATCAGAAAAGAAATAATCACCTGGCGCTTCATTTGTTCCAGCCAAAAGAGATCCCATCATAACTGTTGAAGCTCCAAGACTCAAAGCTTTTATAATGTGTCCGATATTCTGAATGCCACCATCAGCAATAATCGGTACACCAAATTGTCGAGCATACTTGGCAACTTGATAAACAGCTGTAGCTTGAGGACACCCGCATGCCATTACCTCTTGTGTGATGCAAATCGATCCACTTCCCATTCCAACACGTAAAGCATCACATCCAGCATCTATAAGATTTTTGGCTTGAGCTCGAGTTACAACATTTCCAGCAATCACTTGGAGATCTTTGTAAGTTCTTTTGATATATTTTATCATTTCAATTTGAAAGCTACTATTGCCTTGAGATGAGTCAAGTACAACGACATCCACTCCATTTTGAACAAGAAGGTCAAGACGGATTTTATCTTCATCTCTTGTTCCTAATGCTGCTCCAACGAGCAATTGTTTATTACTATCCTTTGATTGATTAGGATAAATCCTTGCTTTCTTCAAATCAGTTCGAGCGATGAGCGCAACAAGTTCACCAGAATTATTCACAATTGGCAACTTTCCTTTCTTACTTTTTTCGAGAATTTTATTTGCTTCCTCGAGTTTTATACCTTTGGGAGCAGTAACCATGTCTTCTAATTTAGTCATTACATCCTCTAATTTTAAATGCTGATCTTTTTCACGGAAATCAATGTCACGACTTGTGACAATACCAACCAATTTCCCACCAAGTTTGCCATTTTCAGTGATGGGATAGCCTGTAAAACCATTCTTCTTCTTTGCTTCAAGTACATCAGCCACAGTATCTTGAGGCGACATCACCATTGGATCGCGAATAAAACCATGCTTGTATTTTTTTACTTTATGAACTTCATTAGCTTGATATTCTGGTGTGCAGTTATGATGAATGATACCAATGCCACCACAGAGCTATTAGTAGGAAGAAAAATTAAAATAAAATTTTAAATCTGCTTTTGAACATCATATGATAATCAGAAAAGGTTAAAGTAAACAAATCATAAACTTACAGCCATTGCAATTGCCATGTCAGCTTCAGTAACTGTGTCCATTGGAGAAGAGACAAGAGGTGCTTTCAAAGTGATATTTCTGGTTAGTTGAGATGTTAAATTCACATCTTCAGCTGTAAAGTCGATAAAACCAGGAAGTAGAATAAAATCACTGAAATAAAAATATACTTTAATTTTTAAAACGCACTTTCATTAAAATGTTTTTATATTACTTATATGTCAATCCTTCTCCTTTTTCAAAGAGCTCACTAATGCCAAGTCCATCACTGAGGTTCTCTTCTGCATGACCATTCATTTCCATGTTGCCAAATTCAAAATTCAATGTGATATTAATAAAGGTTTATTCAAATTTCTTTTTCCTTCAGCTTCAGTAAGTTTATGAATGTAATTCAATATATTTTAATTTAATACCACTGTAATTTGAATCTTCAAATTCTTTTCTTCAACTTATGTTAGCTCGACTAATTCTTATACGATAATGACTGATGAATTTCAAGAAATATAAATGGATAAGCGTGTTGTACTGTTTTTACATAAATGTGAGCAAAGCAACAAAAAAATTGTTTGCTCAGTTGCTTATTTTTGAAATTGTTCAGTTTTTTTCCGTTAAAACTAGGTAAAAAAAATTTTTATACGAAAGTATAAAATGATAGGAAAAATTTTGTGACTTGAGATTTGTTTCTCATAACAAACAGATTAATAACAAGATTTTTATCTTCAGTGAACATTGACAATAAGAGTTACAATGTAACAAATTAGTTCAGAAAAATATTTATTTATTAGAATCATCTGTAAATATTACATTCTATCTACTAAAAAATAAAAGCCTGTGTTATTTTAAAAATTTAACGGTGAATTCAATTTTTTAACTTTGTACCTATTTCAGCGAGTTAATCATAAAAAATAATTTCACACATTGTCAAAATTATTATATAAATTGTTAAGAAAAATTTCTTCGATACGCTTCTAAGTTCATGTCGCATAAGTTCCAGTTATTGCACTTCTTTTCGGTGATTGTTAGAAAAGTCGTTTCTCGTAAGAAAACAAACCGTGAACGTTACCTTCTTGTTGCGCTGAATGCGTTCTCTTCATGAATCTCAATTTATTGCTGTAGATCATTTCCTTGAGATGTATCAGTGAACGAGCTCCAAGATCTTGACAGCTATGCTGTAAACCGCATTCTAAATACGGTAAAAAACGTAATACCGATCCTTTATCTACGATGTTGCCAGATACACCTTGTGCAACCCGCAATTTATCCATTTCGTTATGATAGTATCGTGACATAGCAGCTCCTTTCGCATCTTTTCTTTCCATTGCTTCAAGCGATCCCATACCACGATATTTCTTCAAACGGACACCATCAGAAAAGAAATAATCACCTGGCGCTTCACTTGTTCCAGCCAAAAGAGATCCCATCATAACTGTTGAAGCTCCAAGACTCAAAGCTTTTATAATGTGTCCGATATTCTGAATGCCACCATCAGCAATAATCGGTACACCAAATTGTCGAGCATACTTGGCAACTTGATAAACAGCTGTAGCTTGAGGACACCCGCATGCCATTACCTCTTGTGTGATGCAAATCGATCCACTTCCCATTCCAACACGTAAAGCATCACATCCAGCATCTATAAGATTTTTGGCTTGAGCTCGAGTTACAACATTTCCAGCAATCACTTGGAGATCTTTGTAAGTTCTTTTGATATATTTTATCATTTCAATTTGAAAGCTACTATTGCCTTGAGATGAGTCAAGTACAACGACATCCACTCCATTTTGAACAAGAAGGTCAAGACGGATTTTATCTTCATCTCTTGTTCCTAATGCTGCTCCAACGAGCAATTGTTTATTACTATCCTTTGATTGATTAGGATAAATCCTTGCTTTCTTCAAATCAGTTCGAGCGATGAGCGCAACAAGTTCACCAGAATTATTCACAATTGGCAACTTTCCTTTCTTACTTTTTTCGAGAATTTTATTTGCTTCCTCGAGTTTTATACCTTTGGGAGCAGTAACCATGTCTTCTAATTTAGTCATTACATCCTCTAATTTTAAATGCTGATCTTTTTCACGGAAATCAATGTCACGACTTGTGACAATACCAACCAATTTCCCACCAAGTTTGCCATTTTCAGTGATGGGATAGCCTGTAAAACCATTCTTCTTCTTTGCTTCAAGTACATCAGCCACAGTATCTTGAGGCGACATCACCATTGGATCGCGAATAAAACCATGCTTGTATTTTTTTACTTTATGAACTTCATTAGCTTGATATTCTGGTGTGCAGTTATGATGAATGATACCAATGCCACCACAGAGCTATTAGTAGGAAGAAAAATGTGAAAGAAAAATTAAAATAAAATTTTAAATCTGGTTTTGAACATCATATGATAATCAGAAAAGGTTAAAGTAAACAAATCATAAACTTACAGCCATTGCAATTGCCATGTCAGCTTCAGTAACTGTATCCATTGGTGAAGAGACAAGAGGTGCTTTCAAAGTGATATTTCTGGTCAGTTGAGATGTTAAATCCACATTTTCAGCTGTAAAGTCGATAAAACCAGGAAGTAGAATAAAATCACTGAAATAAAAAATACTTTAATTTTTAAAACGCACTTTCATTATGTTTTATTTTACCTGTAAGTTAGTCCTTCTCCTTTTTCAAAGAGCTCGGTAATGCCAAGTCCATCATTAAGGTTCTCTTCTGCATGACCATTCATTTCCATATCAATAATTATGAGTATATTGGTAGCTTCTTTTGAGTTTCTTCTTTTTAATTTCAGTAAATTTATCAATGTAATGTAATATAATTTTATTTTATTCGACTGTAATTTGATTCTTGAAACTTCTATTGTGACCAAACGTATGTTGGCTTTACTAAATCTTTAATTATAATGACTGAAGAATTTAAAAAAATGTGGATGAAAAAGTGAGTTTTATTGTTTTGACTTCTCCAGACATGTGAGCAAAGCAACAAAAAATTGTTTGCTCAGTTGCTTATTTTTGAAATTGCTCATTTTTGTTTCTCAGTTACATGTGTGTAAACACCGTTTCCAAATTTAAAAAGAATTAAAATATCTTATGTGAAGTGAGATTTCTTTTTCATAGCGATCTAAATATATACAAAAAAGTCGAAACAATTTAACAATAATCTTTACTTTCTCTTAGTGTTTCTTTAAAGCTTCCATGAAGCTTTATCATGATGCATTTTATTGCTCAAGAAAAAAATATCCTCTCATAAAACTACCTACATATTTACACTATAAAAAGATGATTTGGTTGACCTACCTACTTTAAGTTTATGAGAATTTTCTTTTTTTTTCGTAAATTGCTGGAAAAATTTTAAAACTGAAAATTTTAAGGTAAATATTTTCCCTCTTAAATCCAAAACCTTATATTCCTTTGGGAATATAGTATACGATCTTTTGATGTTCCAACCTTTTTCACAGTTATTTAAGCAATTTCAATACTCGTTAGATACATGAATAAATTTATTAGATGCTCTTTGAAGCTATGATTTGAAACTTTCTTTCGCTACATGATCTTTTGATTTTATTCAATGGAAGAGATTTAAGCGCGATTAAAGGTTGAGCCTACAAAGCAACAAACTTATCCATGCCTCTTCGTGGCTTATTAGTTAAATACTTTGGTCTTATTATATTTCTTGTTTATAGAAAAGCTAACAATATCTTTATTATAATAATGGTTATTATGAAGATTAGTTTTCATGAATTAAAGATTACATAACAGTCCTGACATAACAACCTAAATTTCAATTTCAAATGTTTAAACCCTTCAGAAGCTTTAATACCAAAAAATGCTTTAAGAACGAAAATACTTCTAAGTTAAATTTCAATGGTGATAAAGTTCATAATATTTGAAATTTTTCTTATTAGGTGAAATAAATTTTCAATACTCCAAAAGTTTTCTTCACATTTATTTTCATAGAGTGAATAGAGAAGATGGAAATGAAAACGAATTTCTTGGAAGCTTTAAAGATTTCCATTTTTTTATGAATCAACTATTGAGTCTCTTTGATCTATCAAAGTTAATTCTCTTCATTATATTTAGATTGAAAATGTGTACAAGATAAAATGAATGAGCACCTTTCTCAATGTCCAATTTACATCAGTGAAATTACACTCCTGAGGCAAACGGAATGTTCATCATTGAGCTTCATACAGTAATGGGTTTCACTTTATGAATCTTCTATCTTTCTATAGTAGACCATTTTAATGGAAAAATAATGAAAGAAATAGAAACTTAATCTACAAAACCCCTTAGCCTCGCCCTCGCTTCTTATCAACTGACAAAGAAAGCTTAAGTGTTTAGGGGGCGATGGAAAAGCGCATATGAGAGTCATTATCATAAGAATGAAATTATATTCTAAGCTGATTCTAAGCCCATTCGTTCAATGCTTTTCGCAACACACATAGCGAATGAATAATGATGTGTGATTATGTAAATAGCTTCAACTGAATATGATGATGAAAAAAAAGGAAAAGAAAACAACGCACACACATGATGTCAAAACTTATGATGATCTCAATAACTCAAAATCGCGAGACGAGATGGAAAAAGAAAAATGAATAGAAATTTATCAAAAACCTTTAATGATAAAACTTCTTGCCCTAAATTTGAAGATTTTCTAGGAGTTTAGGGATTTAATTCGAAATGAAAGATCATTTCAGAAATTTCGCAAAACATTTTGGCATGATGATAAATCATGATATTGAAACAACTTTTTACTCTCATTTTCATCCCATTCCATGTAACTTCATGATTTTTCCATCAGTTACATGTTTTTAGCTTCATCTTTACATCATTCTAACAAGTAACAACAACCATCAATGAAGAAGAAAGATCAGGAGCACAGATGATACAAGTAAAAGTAACTTTTCATCACCCACGTTGTGTTCATGTAACATAAAGAAAATCGAAAGCTATCTTCATACTGTGTTTAGTATGAAAATAAAAGAGAAAACTTTTTCTAAGAAAGAAAACTGATTTTTCAGAACGACTACTTACACAAATGTTGAAATTGTTTCATTTTTTGCTATCAGCGTTTTTCCAAAACGAAGAAAAGGCGTCAGAATTGCTACTTAATAAACACATCTCAATCTCGCTTTCGCTTTTATATTGATGTGATGAAATAATTGATGATCTCAAATATGAAGATGTGATAAATCTTTGAAGAGGCAAAAGAAAAAAATGGAAAAGAAAAATGTTTATTACACATGACGCCGACAGCGTGTCTAACTCCCGCTTCTAACAACATGTTTGTTGCTTACATGAAGAGGATGAGTTCAAAAGATAAATATTTTTACTTTATAAGACGATGGTGCGAATACGACAGTATGCTGCGCTCACCCGAGGAACTGAAACGACACAAGGAATTTTCAAAGTGTGAAAATATGTAAGGAATTCATCATCTTCATCATCATGTTGTCGTGCGCCATATATACATAGATTTTGACGGGAAGAGAAGCTAAAGCCCAAATTCTCACGCCTTTTATTGTTATTTTCCGCTTTGCATAACGATTCCTTGTTCCTCTCGTCTTTTTTTTCTTACTTTCCTCCAACACCCCTAAAAGAATATAAAAGCAAATTACATGTGATAAGGAGAAAAATTGCTGTATTCAGAAGGTGTTGATGGAATCTTTTCTTCTTTCATCTGATACCCTTAAAGTGAGAAGATACGTGAAAAAAGAAGGAAACGAATTTATAAACTTAAGATGCTGAGCTTATTTTCAGTTTTTCGGCAACTTTCATCTTTTCGCTTTGAGAATGGATGCGATTGAACCTTCGTACTTTTTCCCTCCTTCTTTTATAAATATTTAAGAATCTCTTTTTTGCGCTTGTTGATCGACATTATCCGTTCAAACAAAACCCTTTATTCAGGGTGCGTGTGGCGTAAAGAAAGTGAATAATGTTTTTCTTTCATTTTTCCTCCGATGAATGTTGTTGAGTCTTGAAGTTGTGCTAGTTGAAAAGTGCTGTTGAAAGCTTCTTTCGTCGGTTTTATGCTTAAATTAAATTTTTAAAAGTTTACGGGGAGATGTGCGAGTGATGTTTCCATTATTGAAGTTCAGTAAAACATAAATAAAGTTTTCGAAATTATTTACTTCTTTTATAATCTCCTTCAAGGTAAGGGGTTTGTTAAAGACTTAAATAAATAAACTGAAGTTTCCCCAAATGTGATAGAAAATGTCCGAAAACTTCCGAGAACAACCAGAAAGTCACTGGCTTAGGCCACTTAATCAGCTTTAACAGCTACAACGCCCAAGAAGAAAAATCTCCAAAGTGGAAAAACAAATCCATTAAGTGGACGAAATTTCCATCAATCTTGTAAAAGCAGTTAACAAATTCCCGTTTGGACTAAACTTATTCATCGCCTTATTGTGCTCTTACTAAAACTTTTTTCTTCTTCCTTTTTTATTTCTCGCTTCATTCAAAGCCCTTTATTTTGTTATTTGTTAGTTTAAGTCAATCGCTTCTCATCCCATTTGTTTACATAACAATTCGCTCGGTAACACATGATACGATTCGATAAATTCACCGATTTTTTCCCTTTCCTTTTTTTGCTCCTCGACTTTTCTAAAGTGGCTCTCGATAAGTGAAGAGAGTGAAAAAAATGGGGATGAAGTAGAAAACAAGAGTGTAAAAAATGGCACAAAAATGTACAATTTAAATAATGTGGAAATTGGGTGAATATGGTTCGTATGGTGAATGCCAATATTCAACACATTTTTCCATAAAGGCGTCAAATAGATGTCGATAGAAAAAAAGCTAAGTCAAGGCACATAGATATTCTTGAGGAAAAAAAGGGTCAGTAAACATATTTCTTTCTTTCTAACCCCATCATCACATTCGAATAATTTTCCTTCTTTTTTCTCATTTTCTTTAGAGTATCGACATCACACATGAAGGATATTTGAGAAAAGGACGATAGAAATGTGTGATCGGAATGGGAGCGGTTTTTTTTTTGTTACTTTCAGCCACAAAATCCATCATCTCAATGCCACTTTTGTTCTTTGGTTAAACTCCGATCAATTTCAAATTGGCAGCAAACACTTATTATAGGCCTGAAACTTTTAGATCGTTATCATAAAATAAGAAGGGGAAAGAATGGAATGGGAGATTAGGAGTGGGAAAATTCATTGTAAATGTAAGAGTTTGAAACGTTGACTGACAAACATTTGAAAAGTTTTAATCTTATTTTTCTTTGAGATTCTATTCTCTCGCTCTGATAATAAACTTCAAATCGGTTCTTGTCTATAAACCACAAGTTCCATCAAACTTCGCTGACAACAGAAAATATCGCGGGCAAGTAAGGAAAATTCATTTTCATTTTGATTATGTGCAGTGAGCGAAAAGGCATAAAAATTGAGAAGAAAGCATGAAAAATATGTTGCTACATTTATCCTTTGTGCAAAGTACTAAGGAATAAGAGAAAATCTGAAATTTAAATTCTTTTTTACAGCAATTTTATGCTCTTGAATAGGAAAAGTTTGTGAGTTTCGTCAGAAGAATTTTGAATGATTTTCAACATGTTGGGATATATAAAAGAAATCCAATTATCTAAGGTAATTTATGACGGAGATTCCTAATAAACCTAGACATTTGTTTAAAACTTTGGATCTTGATACAGCTTCTTTGCATTTGTGCCCATGTTTCTGCAGAAAAAAATTGCGGAAGAGTTTTTTCCTCTTTCTAAAAAGAATTATTTATTATGTTGAACATTTATCTACAATGCAAGGGATTATTTAACTTAGCAACAAATCTTATCAAGTTTTCATCTCATGCTAGTAATTTTCTTTCTCCCCAGAAATATTTGCGATATTCATCCATTTTTTTTTGATGACTATAAAAACAAACAATTTCATCAATTTTGTTCATAATGACAGAAAGTTGTCTTCATGTTGAGATTATGAAGCTTCTTAATGTGATCATGATCAAGTAAATTGCTTATTGTATATTTATTTCTATCCCGATGATTGCTTTCTTGTAATCCCAAATACCTTCACGACTTGAATGAAATGAGAAAATCTCGAAATCGTTGGTATCAATAGTTAAATCAAGAAAGGATTAACTACGTTTAAAAATTTCACTTCTGTTAATTTGACTTCCTATTCTTGCCTCATGCCTCACTGTCGGAATGTTTAAGTCGAAAGAATTTCTTCGTTCAGAGATTTGCATATTTTGTGATGGAAAAAAAGAGCATAAAATTCTTTGGAATGTTAATGAAAATCCTACGAAAGCAGACGAACGTAAGACAAGAAAACAGATGATTTCAGCAGAAAATCTCATGAATTATGAAAGCGTTAAAATAAAGCGTTAGATGTTGAGCTGCTGTTTACATATTTTTCGACGCATCCATTATTGAACATGTTTCATGTTTTATTCAATGCGGAAAGAAGAAATCTTGAGGTTTCCTGCAATGTCTTCTAAATTAAATTTCTTTTAATTCCATACCTGATAAAATATTTGCGAAAAAAGTGAAAAAAGTTGACTTTGATGAATGATGAAATGTGACGAGGGATATAAATATTAAAATGTGTTGACTTAAACAGTGAGAGTCCTTGAGATGTGCTCAATGTGTAAAGCGAGAGGACAAAATTATGTTTATTAGCTTAATTTACTTAAGAGCTAGTCAACAACTCTTTTTCAAAATGATAGTCAAATAAAAATGAAATCCAATCAGAAGCGAAATTAAATGAACTGAAATTTGTATCCATAAACTTTCGCTGTCATGTCAGGAAAAGTTTTAAAACATTTATGGAATTCATAGTGATGAAGTGTAAAGACTGACAACGTTGAGAGGCTAACAAAATTTGATGAATATTGTTTGTTCAACTCTTCGTTACATTTCACCGTTGAAGCTTTTTTTAATAACATGTTGAAAGTTTACATTCTAAATTATCAATCTAAATTTTTACCTTCACTCAATCACAATGTTAAAACAAACAAACAAGACGAGATGTTTTCAAGTTCTCAATTTTCAAACTCCCCATTTGACATAAAATTTTTTCATCATCTTTTTGTTTTTGAAAATTCAAAACAGATTCTCGTTTGCTGACAATATTTGGTTACATTTTTGTCGCGCTCATTAAATGTCATATACTTTCAAAGAGCTCGTAATCCTACACTTTCAGCCTTGAATCTGATGGAAAAAATGCTCATGTTGTGTCTTGTAATTTAATCATTGACTCGAGAACACGTTTTATTTCTGCGCAATGTTGTATAAAACGCTATGCTCTAGCAGAAATGACAGACGATGATTTTTTTTCCTGAGCCCATGAATTTTAAATGAGGTTGGAGCATCGTTCAGAACTCAAATCTCATCCTAATGGAATGGCGAGATTGCGGATTTACTTTGAAGGAATTTTCTCTTCTCGAATGTAATGAACACAAAAAAAAAATCTTTTACAATGAGAGTATTTCCTTTCATTTAACGTCAGTCATTTCAATCAGCTGCAGTTCCAATTAAGAGATGAATATTTTCGTGCTCAGAAGCATCAGTTTCATATTCAGAGCGAAATATTAATAATAATGGCGAGAATATTACTCAATCAACTATATCATGAGGATTCAACATTTTTTTATTATTTCGATTCATGTTTACCATTCGCATCACAATTTCGCAACTGATGACGGATGGAATGATTGAAAATTAATGGTTTTATGTATTGCTTAATCATCTGTTAATATATCGGTTTGTATGTTGTGCTGATGGTGTTAAAATTTAATTAAATAATCAACTAAGCAATTTGTATTCACTTCATTGAATTATTTCATATGAATATATAATGACACAATTTAAAAATGTATGAAAATCCAATTCAATCAAAAGTATGAATGAATGTGACGTAATTTATTAAATGTCCTTTGATTCTACATGGAATCGATTGACAAAAAATTGTTAAAATCTCTCTAGCAACATTCCACTTGATGAATCAATAATTTTTGACAACCTACCGGAGGCTACTACAATTTTTTCTCTTCAAGTTTTTACTTATCAACAAATAAATGTTCAATTAAGCGTTCAACAGTTTGTGTCATTGTTGTTCGATAAAATTCATCCGTTTCCATGAAGTGAAGTGCTGTTTCATCCCGATTTTTGAAGCATATATCCATGTACTTTTTGCAACACTGCATTGACGAGAGACACAAATTTGGAGGCGCAAAACTCATCAAAGAAGTGAGAAAGGTGACACAATTGGACGCCTGGGAGAGCCTGTTTATTCACAATGGAATAAACTTGGTCAACATTGACGAACCTTTGATAAGGTCAAACCTTTTTAAGTTCGCACTTAACAATTGACGAACACTGAACAATTGCTTCAGTGTAGATCGAATCGTTCTGAAGATGACAGCATCGCTGTCGAAAATAGCTATTTAAAGGTAAATTAAATGAAAAAGTGAAAAGTATAAAAGTGTTTCGTGTCTATATTCGTTTAGTTAGTTAACCATGTACTTTTGTTCATCATTTGTAAGCAGATTTGGGAGGAAATCCTCGGGTAAATTGGTTAAACTCCAGAATATCGCTTGTTGCACTAAAGGTACAAGTTTAAAGCGCATGCAACTCACTTCAAAATCACGCCATGACATGATGTCTTCAACCTTTACATCGTGTCGCATTAATTCTTCAGACAACTGCTCGTAATAGAATTTCAAACATTCATTAATGTTTGAGTGGTCTTGTGAAGGCAACAAAATGCAAATAATGACATCGAGAGTGAGTGGTAAATAGCGACAAATTTGAAAGTCAATCAAAATGCAGTTCGTTGGCTCGTTAAAGGAATCAATGTTCTCGAATTGATACATCAAATTATTTTTCCATAAATCACGATGACAACAAACTCTTGGAATACCAAAGTCGTTCTTTGACTCGAAGAGTTCAAATATTTCGCAGACTTTCTCCATAAATTTATTCTCAATATCTTTTTCGTAATTCGATCCAAATCCATATTTTGTTTTATGTAGAGCGACTGTTTTTAATGTTTTTATGCCGGTCATGCACCAAGGATTATCAGGAGCATAGGATGTTTCAAACAACACATCCTTGTACGCATCGCCGATTGTTCTTCCCTCTTTTCGTAACTCAAGACGTTCGTAAATAATGGCGGAAGCATGAAATGTCGCTAAAGAACGCAATGCTATTTTTATGTGATTGATGTTAAGTTCAATGTGCTTTGGGAGGGTTTGATAAGAAGACAATTGCAAATCTTCAAATACTAACAAATCATCACGCACTAAATAACAATTCGGATACCATTTTGTTTCACCTGGAAAATTCCAAGTTATTAATGTGAATAGCTATAGTGAGAATGATAACAACTTGCCCGAGTACCGTAAAAATTTTGGCAGTAAACTCTTAAAGAAATCAGTTTCTTTCTTAAAAACTCCATAATCTTTGATAATTTGACGTTTCTCAAGGTTGTCGACTGGCAGAGATTTAACAAAGAAACAAACTTGTTTCAACTCTTCGTTTGGCTGCTGCAATTTATTTTAAATAATTTCTTTTGTTATGAAATGTTTACTTATGAAAACTTACAAGATCATAAAATATCTTTAATGAAAAGTAATCTCCTAGAAATCCCGGATAGCCATCTGAATAATTTTTGATTTCAAATTTCTCAACTTTAACTTTCGTTTTATTAACTTTATGAAGACTACAAACAATATTTGAACATTCCTCCAATGAAATGAAATTTTTATTCTTATTCATGTTTATTTAGAATTTAAGTTGATAAGATTAGACTTCAACTTCTCTCACGAAATGACTAAATGTTACTGAACGCGAGAAATAAACCGAACAGAGAGATGAGATAAAAATTAATTAATGATGGCCTTGGAGTTTTTTATTCATGCAACATTTGTTTTGTCATGTACTGCGTGCTTGTCGCTCGCATAAAGCTTCTGTTTCTCACGTTTGAAACATTTAAACGTTTAATCGAGACGTCACTCGAGCGAGTGTTTAAAATAATCAAAGACTCTTCTCATTCTCCATTTCTTTTTCCAAAAAAAGTTGTGCAATGTAAAGTTCTTAATTAATTTAATTTAAATGCAAAATGCATTTCTACCTTTTTTTACCCATCCGATCTTCTAACTAACCCTTGGTATTCTGAACGTTAAAAATTCTGAGCTTTTATTTTATCCATTTGTGTATTCCGAACGTATTTCATCTTTCGTAAAATAATCCCTCGTGCCGTAATTATCTCTCATCTCCCACTTTCCCATCACATCCAATGTTGGCGGCTGATAAGTTGTCGGATTCCATTTACATTCGAAACTCTGCTCTTTTGGTGCCTCTAAAGCATAAAACGAAGTCCTTGCAGACGGAATGAAAAATGCTTTCAAACACTTTGAATATTCAATTGGAAATCGATCAGGGAATGCCCCAACTGTCGTGATGAATTTAATAAAATCCTTAATCCTCTAAATGGAACTTTGCAATACTTTTCAAGACATTACAATGTTATGCTGTGTGGAATTTTATTTTATATTTTTATAGAAAATAAAATTATGTTTTTCAACATAATTTAGCGATTTTAAAGAAGAATGAAAAACGCAAACATTTCTTAGAAAATATCCAAGGAAAATTCTTCTTTAAAGGAGACATGGAAAATACTTTTGTTCTTTGTTAATATTTCTATTGAGAATATTAAAAATACTTTTAAAGAGAAAGTCCAAAATAAAATAAGTGAAAGGAATTATTAACAAGAAATTCTTTTTAAGATCTGCTTGGCTATTTTCAGATAATTCTTAATGTCTAAATATAATTAAACTGAAAGCAGATTCAACAGCACTTTTCAAGTTAATTCATAATCAAATGGGTAATAAAATCTTATTCAAAGCTTAATTTAAATACATAAACAAGCAAATCCTTGAATTGTAGCATATTTTGTTCTATTTTAAACATTTCAATGTTCCAAACATCCATTATTTATATGTATGACGATCTAGTTAAGTCAAGTTAATATAATTTATTATGATATGAAAATGAAACAGCTTGTTGTTTGTATGTTCTATTAAATCTATGGAAATGTTTGCAATTTATTCCAATAAAATATATTTACAACTTAAAAGGGAGGAAATTACTATTGCAACTGTTGTCAGTTTAAGGGATGAGTGAAGGACTAACAAATATTTCTACTTAAGCAGGATGGAACTTAAGGAAGTGTGAAGTATCTTCGAGGACATTGACATTGTTTATTAAAAATATTGGATAGTAGAAATTACGTCATTCGGAATTAATATCCTTGGAAATTCGCTAGCGAAAAAAACTTCTATTTTTAAATAGATTTAAACATCATTTTTTTAAAATGAAATATTCCCATAGATACTTTAAATGGATCAATTTCAAGCTTTCTTAGCAACTGTTGGCAACTTCAGCATTTATTTTTCTGAGAAGATTCAAAATTGTTCAGCAACTTTAAAAGTTTATTCATGGTCGACGTCAGCAATCGTCCGAGAATTATTCTTTGTTTAAGTGTATGAGAATGTAGGAAATATATGAAATATAATTGAGACAGAAGCTTTTTAAGATAAATTAGTTGTATGAATTGAAGAGAAACACAATTTCCTTACAATCATGTTGAAGTATCTAAGACGTTTGCTAGCGCTTTTGTCTAACGAAATTCTTGATTACAATGTTCATCATGTGAGGTAGCGTTTTATAGTAACTACAGTGAGATAACATTTGTTAGTTTGTCAGTCGTTTAAGAATGAAATGTTTAATGTTCTCATATTCCATGAATGAAACATTCTGCGACACCAACAATTCTTCTCAGAAATTTCGCTTACTTTTACTTTACAACTGTAGAAATAAATAGAACAAAAGTAAAATGAATGTGAAAAATCTTTCATAACGCTTTGTCTCTGCACAATTGAGCAGCTCATGAGTGAACGAAACGAGTAAAGGTGAAAAGCTTTCATCATAACATTTTGTTATCTGTATTCATTCGCAACATTGAACGAAATAAGTCGAGTGGAAAAAGGAAAAGATTTCGTAATTATGAAAGTGGCAACAAGAATTTCTCACCTTTTCGTCATAACAAACATTAACGCAGGTAGAAGGTTGAAAATGAAATATCGTGTAAACAAGTATTGTTGCCGGAAAGTGTATGATCTAAAAACGAGAAGAGACAGGGGAAATTTACATAACGCCTTCCACCGATCCGTTGTTTTAATCATGCAAATGGATTCTTTTCAGTCAGCGCTTGTTTTGTTTTTTAAGATACGGATAGAAATTTTATTCAAGATTCCTTCCACTCAACTATCAAGAAGCGAGTGTTTTCAAGTCTCATTTAACTAAACAAGTTTTATCTGATAATGTTTGTGAATAAGTAAGTTGTAGCAACAACCGCAGAAGAGATGCTTCAAATTATAATAAAGCTCTTCAATCTTTCCTTTGATTCATTGCACCAGCAACATCTCGCATTTTGATACTTAATGTTTGTGTTTAAGACGACTGCACGCTGTAAGAAAATGCAGTGCAATTTGTAACGAGAACCACAAGTAGAAATTTCACCTCCTGCCAGTACGAAGCGACCCAGAAACTTAAAAATAATCAACTAACAAAACTTTTTCCTCTACAAAATGAATGCAACGAAAATTATTGAAAAACTTTACTTGGTAATAGAAAAAGAAAAAATCGTAAACATTCGAATTCTGCAATTATTTACATTTTATGCTGAAATGGACGAAAATGTTTAAGTTTAAGTGCAAACTTGTCGAAAGTCAAATATTCAACACAAGACGTCTAAAAGTTTGACTCAAGAATATTTACACAAGAAAAATATTAAATTGATTCAATACTCGTTAACAAAGTGATCGTCAATTCACGCTTAATGTTTCATCAACTTTTAAAATCATTGAAGCAGAATGAGCTTTTGACATCCGCAGTCAGAATGAATTCTTAGCGTGAATTGGATTTTAATAAACTTTCAAATGTAAAAGTTTTAAACGATTTTTTTTTGTTGATTCTTCCCTTTCTTCAATCTCTCTTCAATATTTCTTAAATGAAAGTAGAGTAACTTTCAATTTATCACTGAATGATTTTTCCAACTTTTTTTAAACCGCAAACTTATGAATTTCGATCTCTAACAAGAAAATAAAACTTTCTAATTATAAATTTGCGCTCGTTTCGACCCTCCTTTGGGACCATTTTGTAACTCTTTGAATATAATCAATTTCCTCTTAATTAGAAACTTTTCTTCTCAACTTTATCTGCTTTCCTCGACTTGAAATTAAATTATATTCTCGAATCAAAAGTTCACGAAGTCACGGAAAATTCTTCGTTGTTGTTATTTTTATTTCTTATTTAGTCATGGGGAACAAAAAGAAAAAAAAGAGTTGAAAAAGTTTTCCAAGATTGTTTTTAAATTTAACTTTGTGTTTGAGAAAATTTAATCAATTTAGATATTTTTCTTCTTTCATTCCCTGAATTCATTTAATAAAAGAAACTTTGCTAATAACTCGACGACAACTTTTAATTTCTTATCTGAATCACGAGGCTTCTTATAATAAATAATTTTTCAACTTTCCATGTTTGGTTGATTATCGATTTTTCACTTCACTTTTTATCTGCTTCAGCAACTTATATCTAAATAAATCGGTAAATTCTCTAAAGCACCAAAAGTTATCCCATCGATTCTGAACCAAATGCATCGTTACAAGACGAGATTGGGTTTTTCAGCACGAAATTCTTATAAATATAAAATTCACTTTTCACCAGCTTAAACTTTAAACTTATCTCCTTCTTCTGGTGTTTTTCTTCCCTAAAATTTGTGTTCATGGCTTGGTAAAACTGAAAAGAAAGTTAAGAAACTTTGAAAACTTTGTAGCAATATCTTCTCCATCTGCCTCGATGATGTGAACGAACACAAATCAGATACATTATAAAATAAATTAAATATTCACCTACTTTGTGACTTTACATGATTTCTTATGCAACAATTTGTAATGGAATTCAAAACATGTTTAATGGAAGATTTGAGACTTTCAAACCCTTGTGTTTCAACTTTAACTCTCATGCGAATTTCATTTCTTCTGTATGATTTTAATATTTTAATCAAAGTTTTATAAATTGATTTGGGGCTGAAGATTCAATAAGCAAAGTTATCAAATGACATTTTGGTAACAACTCAACCAAAATAAAATTATGAAGCATTAGAGTAATGAAAAAATCACGCAAGTTCACTCTTACTTCTGTCGAACTGATGAACAAAAAGCTTGAAAAAAATCTCATAAGCAATAACGACTCATCATCAATTATTTATCCAGAAATCCACACACGTTTCATCTTCAATATATCATTCAATCAGCTTTTGTTCAAAAAAAAAGAAGAAAAGAAGCTATCGGTATCTAATGTATTTTTTAATAATTTATCGATGTTTTCTACAGCAGAATAAACTCACTGATGATAATAAATCATGGAAAAAAATGAGAAATGATTGAATAACGTTCTATATGAGTTCAATCACGTTGTCACTTTTGTTACTAAAATTTAAATGAAAACAAATTGAAAAGCGATTTTAAGAAGAATTTTCTTGAACTTTTCTTCATGTGTTTAACGCTTGAAGAGCAGAATGAAATGAACTATCAACGCTCCATATACTTGACAATGGATGAAAAACTCGTTTTCCATTCAAGCTGCATTTTATTTTGTCACAGCATCCAAGGAAAACATTCTTGTCTTGTCGCTTTCATCTTAGAAAATTGACTTCGATAATGTCGCACATGTGAATTTAAATTCTAGAAATTGCAACTTTTTATCTTCATCCACTCTTAGGGGATTTTCCGACTTCCTGACAAATTGACGAAGATAATTTTAAAATTTTCTCCTTGATTTCAATGTTTCGCTTCACAAATGGAGATCTCTTAAATGAACTGCCTTGAGGCAACTTTGAAAGACTGGAAATAAAAGTTTTAGCTGCAGGAGAAAATTGAACTTATCCGAAACCGCAATTAAAACTTCTAAAATTTAAATTTTCTCCTTGCTCATGCTGAAGCTACTGCTAGGCACTTCAGTGTTATCTGTTAGCTTCTGCCAACGCTTAAACCTTCTTTATGGTTTTCTGTAAAGCAAAAGATTGTAAAAGACGTTGAGGTTTATTTAATTGAGCCAAAGAGAAAGTAATTCTAAGAAGAGAACATTTTTCTTCTTCCTAATTGCTAAGTAATGCAGAAAGAAAAAGAAAAATTTGTTAGAAAATAATCCTTCGTCGAACTTTCTTACGTGAAACCACTTTTGAAGAAGAAATTGAAATTTTCTAAAAATTAATAATGCATTTTTAATTTTAGAGACTCTTTTCATACCTTTCGCCAGTCGTAACATACAAATTTGACTCCCCCGCAAGAGATGAATGAGTTGAGATTCAGGTCAAAATGAAAAATAAATTCATTCCCGTTTGTTGAAACTGTTATCCAATTTTTCTTAATGGTTGAATTAATTTCAAAGTCTCTCAACATTATCGCCCATTTTTCACCTGTCTGAGACGAATTTACACACAAAAGATTGGAAATTTCCTTTTCTTTGAACTTTTTTTCTTCTCTTCTTTGCTTTCAATCACTATCCAAAGTAAATTGAATTCGAATGATAGCTCTCAGAATAATGAAAGGAAACTGTAAGCGACGAAGGATGGAAGGCGAGAAAATGTGTCGATTGAAAATAATAAAAGCTTAATATCCATTCTTAAATTGTTTTTTTCCTTTCTCTCTTCCTTCATTCACTTCCTATCAACCATTGAAAATCTCTTTTACATCATTGATTCCCCACTTACACTTCGAATGCGATAATAAATGATTAAACGTTCAGCAAGCATAATAAATTTCTTTTCGACCGTTCTTTCGTTCGCCAGGTGAAAGCCAGAAGAGAAATCTCGGCTAGATGATGTGATTCCGCTAGCTGCTTCAGAACAAGAAGATTGTAAATTGATTCATCATTCTTTACCCTTTTCCAAGTCATCACGACCTTCCCTCACTCACTCATTTCTTTTACTCACACTCTTGTCCCAAGGGACTTTCGTCTATCAATATTTATTTTCCCAGCAATTGATTTTTCATTCTCTTAAGACTTAAGATGACAGGCGAAAGGCTGAGATTCGCTAGAGAGGGAGGAAAAATAATCATAAAAACGAATAAATGCCAACTAATCAGAAAGTAATTGAGAAATAATCTCCTTAATTTATTTCACTCCACATTATTTGGTAGAACAGAAGCGCAATGAAAGTTCCGTTATTGAACTCAAATTTTATGGATCATGACTTACATAATGAAGTGAAGCATAACGTAATACGCTTTTGCACCCTACAATGTGAATCGAATCATAATAAATGAACTTTCTCATTTCATCCCATGATGTTGAATGGAGTGAATAAAAAGGGAAAAAATGATAATCATTAATTTTTGAACGGTCAATCGATAACCGCACATACCAAATGACAATTACAACAAATAAATCATCCATTTTCACCCCAATCAGCACGTTTGAAACGAGAAATGAGACTCATCAGAGGTAATCAATATAATTTATTCGGTTCTCGTAACGAAGAAATTACAACTTTTATCAATGACAGCCACTCACGATCAGATATTATTTCACCTTCGAGTCAATATCAATAAATTGGTTGTGAATAATTGCTTTTCACTCATTATGCTTAATCGTCAGAAATTTCCTTTAAATACCTTGAAAGTTTTTATTGATAACATGACAAGGTCGCACGAAAAACATTACTCAACTCACATCATTAGACAATAATGAAAAAAAACTTTCTCATTGACGTTGTGTGAGTCTAAAAGTGATTTATTTGATTTGTAAAACATTTCCATACTGATAACGATTGAAAATGAAATTTCACAGTAAATTTTACTAAACTAGCATTGAGCTAATTAATCGTGCAAATTATCTACTCATTGAACTACTTCTGAATCAAGTCTCAACAATAAATAAAAAATATAAACTCTCACGAGTAGCAAATGATCAGAAAGTTCTCGTCGAACAATTCAGGATTTTCGCATTTTAGTTCTTAATTAAACATAACGTCGAGAGGATTAAATTTTCATTAAACTCCGAATACGAACAATTTAAATAGAAAAGTTAATTTTTTGGGATCAGAAAATGTGGAAAATTGTTTTGTGAGTTTTATACAGAAATTTTAAAATAATTTCCATTGTATAGTTGTAAAAAATGGATTAAAATTTCCTCTGTGTGGTTTTGGCTTTCAGAGTGATGGAAATGACAGCTTAAAAGTTTAAATTGGTAAAAGCAAAAAATAAAAATGTTTTAATTTACATTGTTTTAGATTAACTACGCTAGGCTTTGTAATATTTGTTAATGGCTATGCATCCCACAATTACGATGTTTTAACATCCGATTGCATCGAACAAGCTAGAATGAGCTTCAAAGCTATGCCAAAGCAAAAGAAAATTATCATCAATGGGAAAACTATGGGATATTACGGCTTTAGTGACAGCTCAACTTCAGTGATAACGTTAAATATCTCGAGAAGCGATGTCAGAATTCCAACTGCTAACATGAGTTACATCAATATGATTGTGTTTGACGCATCCTACAACGGTATTGAGAATATTGATGACATTGGAAATGAAACATTTCCTTCATTGAAATCATTTAATCTTTCACATAATGCGTTGAAGAATGTGCATTCACATTTGTTTACACATTGTAAAGAAATAGAAATTCTCGATTTAAGTTACAACTGCTTCATCAAATTTCAACCGGGAGAAGTTTTCCTGCAACATGAGAATTTAAAGAAACTTTTATTAAACAACAATCGGTTACATTTTATTCTATTTACTCCTGGCTTACCTAAAGTTATGGTTTTGGAATATCTCGACATATCCAACAATTTTCTAACTGAGTTTTCAAACGATGAAGTACAAATCCATCGTCTGGAAATGAAAAATAACTCGTTAGCAAATGTTGTAATTTTTCACGCTGAAAATATGATTCTGAATGCACAGCATAATAAAATGCTTCATTTTATTGCACCTGGCGGAAACTTCAAATTATTAAATTTATCACACAATGATTTCTCTTATATATCATTTGTCGAAGTGAACGAAGCAAAAATTTTAGATGTTTCACATAACCGAATACAAAGCTGGACTTCTATAGAATCAAGTGAAGAAATGTATGAAGATTGGAAAGATTCTGAGGAAAACTTCGGGGTCGATTACATCGATGAAGACGCTTCAGTTTTTGACAAATCTGATGTTCAAAAAGTGCTGCACGAAAGAGTTGGAGTTAAATCAGGATTCTTGAATTTAGCATCGAACAATTTAAGCTCGATTCATGATTTACGTCATTTCAAGAATTGCATTGAAATGAATTTAGCCAGCAATAATTTAAGGAACATTGATTTGGAGAGTTTTCGAATCCTTTTCCCTATGCTGAAGAAAGTTAATTTGATAAACAATCCTTTGACATCTGTCGATGAAATTGAATTAAAATTCTTTAACTCCACTCGCTTTTTGAAGCTTCATTTTGAATATCACTCTTCAACAGAAGTTCCAAAAACATTCACCCTCGTCCCGCCAACAAAAATGTTGACACTTCCAATTACAACGTCAACAATAATTAGTCGAGTAGATGCGATGACAACACCACCAATGACAACAGTCAGCACTCAATCTATCAAAGTCACTTCGGAAAATCACAACACAGAAAGTTTTAATGATACAACAATTAAACCAGTGGAGAAAAATTCACTTAAGCTTTGGTTGTTGGCAATCAGTCTTTCAGCAATCATCGTGTCGACAGTCATTTACATAATTTATCGAAGACGTAATCAGAATGTGCAAATTTTGAGACGAACATATAACGAAGCGGAGAACTATTTGTAGATAACTTTTAATTTTGTGAATTTTAAATACTCATTTTTAAATGTCAATAAATAATTTGAAAAGAGTTAAACCGATTACTGATAATGATATGAAAACCGATAATAATTAGAAAAATATCGACAAGCATTAATCTCGTTGGTGCTTTCATGATTGCATAACTTTCAGGCGAAACCATAAACAACTTTATCGAGCAAACTCAACTTTCTGATGTCATACTTTTCAAATTATCTCATTTCTTCCTAACGAAACAAAAATTCCATATGTTTAATTATCTCTTTTCTTGTTGATACACGCTACAAATAATTACGGCGCTTTAAAAATAATGAATGGATGCCGCGAAAATATGTGCAAATGATAATTTCAAGATAATGGTTTGCAATTTTGTATTCTATTTGAGTTAGTATAACAATCAACGTCAACATTATTCATTCAGAATATTTCCCTTCGTCAGATTTATTCATTAAAAGCTTGATATACAAGAAACATTCAACGAGTATCTAATACTTATTTTAAAGTGTAATTAAAGCTGTAAGTTGCAATGTTTATTTAGCAATAAATTTGATTGTCGTCACTTTAAGCTGTACTTAATTCATCAGGAGTTATTGACGAAGTTTCATCTTGAACACATCTATAGATGAAAGCTTTCATTGATAAGCTATCTTCAGAAATTGAGCACTTTCTATCTTCTCCACAGACACAACTGAGAATTAAACAAATTGAAAGAAAGATTTTATTGATATAAATTTCAATAACAAACCTCGCAGTTTTGATATGATATTGAATGACTTTTCTCTCATTACTCCCATATACACCCCATTGACATGGACTAACGCTCGAACACAATTTCTCTTCTGACCTTTGATTTCGACTCAAAATATTCTGTTAACGAAAACAAAAATTTGTGTAAACTAATAATTGACAAAATTGCGTTGTTTATTTCACTGAACGGAATTCTCAAGGCATTCCGATGACACGCAAAACTAATGTTTCAATTTAACATTTAAAAAAAAAGTAAAGTTAATTGAAATCGTTGAAACGTGTGTGCCAAAAATAGAGTGAAATTTGATTAAATTATCTAACAATAAATTTATTTGTAAGAACATCTTATATTGTATTAAAAGCTTCGCGTCGGTAATCAAAGCATCTCAAATATGATTTCTAGGAAGTTGAGTATTTGGCGCCAATTTATATAATTCAGGCCATATTTTACTTGCGCATAAATTGCAATTTAAATCTTCATTCATCTCAATAAAATTTACTGACAATAAAAAAAAGTAACTCGACTCACATTTGATCCGATTTCGGCGCTTTCCGTGGGTAATATTAGAAAGATGACGGCGGTTAAACTGATGCAAATTACTCCTGTGTTCATCGTTATAATTTAGTTGATTTGTGGGAAAAGATTTTGATATTTTTTCTGCTTTTGCAATTTTCAAATTTTGGTTCTCAGCGATAACAAAATCTTGAAAGAATTAATAAATATTTTGCTGATCACAAAGAAGCCACTTGTTGATTCTCGCGCTACTGAAAAAGTAATGAAGTTTAAGACGAAAAAAAATATTAATAAAATAGAAGTCGTAGCTTTTTAGTCTGAGCTCATCAGCGAACGAGATCCAATCACTTACATGCGCTCGAAGTAAGGAGAGAGGACAATTAACTCCGAAATTGAAAAATATAAAAAAATATTTTTGTACATATTTATGATTGGATGAAAGAATTTCATATTTTCTTTGTTATCAACCGGATAGAAGCTTAATGAAAAAATAAGACTTACTATCTCATTTTACACACTTTTACATTCACAACTTTCCTATCATTTCATTCAAACAACGCCCAATGTCCTATCATTGAATGCAAATACGATTTCACGGTTTGAAACAGAGAATGAATTTATCAGCAAAAATTTGCACGTTTCATTGCAAATTTCTTTTAATGAATGTCTGAAAAGAATAACGTTTGCGTCACTTTTAACTGATAGCAATCAATATAAAAACTAAATTAATCAGATTAAAAGTTTTCCATTATTTTATTTTGCGAATGTTCAATGACAATTGATTTCCGCTATTAATCGAATTATTATACAAGAAATCAATTTTTATGTACATAAAAACATCATGTAAATAAATAAATATTATAAATAAATAAATTATTCAGATAAAACTCGCAATCAGCATAATAAAAGAAATCCATGTATTGGGTTAACAAGTCAAATAAATTACGATGAATTCCGCAAAAACATTTCATTCAACAATTTTTTTTCTAATTATTTTGTTTATGTTGTTTATGTTGTTTTCTCGTTCGCATTATTTTTTTCAAAAAATAAGAAGTTTTTTAAAAAAATGTAAAAGTTGACATTTATGAACTCTTTAATTAATTGTGACACGAATTACACAGAAGGTTGAAAATACAAATGACTTGAAAGTGAAAAATAAAATTGCCGATTTAACTTCTTGTTATTTCTAGATGACGTGATGATATTTAAAATAAAAAGAAATTTTAAATGAAGTGAGGATTTCTCTTATACAGTGCAGATTTATGCGCAAGCAATTTTAAAAATTCAGAGTTGCAGAGCAAAACTGATAAACAATATTTATGAATTTAAGGGCAATGACAGCGAAATGTTGGCGAAGCTTTAAGCGGTAAGGCTCGCGCTTTGTTTTCTTTAAAATACATAATTAAGTATTAATGCTAGCAAGAGTTATCAGTTCTTTTGAGATTAATTCATTTAAATCAAGCATTAAATACATAAAGACGATAAGCTTCTTCACAATTATTTAATTGCGCCTTAAACGCGGCTGATGATAAGTAGGAAAATTTTCATTGGCTACAATTACAACATGTAATGTTATTAAAGTGAAATCCGAACAGTAACTCGATGCTTTTTTTTCATAAAATGTCTAGCCTCAAAGGAAAAGTTGACTCATTATGTCTCGTTGGCTTAATTTGAGAAGAAAGTAATTGAGCGATCAGATTAAATTGATTTTTCCCAAGAAATACAAACATGGGATGTTTGCCAGAATGAAATCTGTCAATAAAGCGGAGACAAAAGAAAAAACTGGCAGAGACTTGTCTGATCAAGAGCGAACATGTTTAAATTCTTTTCCTCTTTCTTCCAATTGAGCATGACACAAAGAAGCTAACCAACCAGGTGCATTCTCTCTGATCACGTCATTTGGTGTGTGAATGTTCGATCACATCACATGATGAAGATTTTATTATAACGTCGTGACGACGAAAATAGGCTTTTCAGTGAATATCTAAAGAATTTCTTTTTCTTGCCTCGAAATTTTCACTTACAAACAAATTTATTTCGTACATGGGAAGAAAATTCTTTTTATTTTATTTCAAATATTCTCTACTGAAAATAGGCAACTTTTCGATTCATCAGACAGTGCAGTGAAATAACATTAAAAAAATTTGAATGTATCAGCTCAGTAGAATAAATGTGAATTGTAGATTTAGGAAGAAAGATTTCGCAAATATTTTTTATGACTTATGCCAAATAAACTTTCTTGTTTCCGTCTTACTGTTAACGTCACTACATTGTATGTAATAGCAGCTGTGTCACGCCAGAGAAATTTAAGAAATGCAGCATTTAAATTTAATTGGAGTTTTTAATGGTTATTACCCAAATCAATAGCGTTTGTAGTCACTTTTGTTCATAAGAAGCGTACACTAATTGCCATCTTATTTCTTTAATTGCTTTTACTTTAACTGAAGCTGAAATTTCGTTGAAAACAACCATTGTGGGATGGTGAAAATTCGTCTCAAATTCGTACAATGTATGTGGAGTATGTGACGGCGATGAGATATTTTTGCGAGCCAAAGAGTCTGCCGGGAGAAACATTAATTTTCTAGATTTCAGTCGGCTGAAAATAATAAAAAAGGAGACACCCAAACAAAATTATATCACGCAGCAATTACCGTTTGTTCAATGAATCATTTCCAATGCGCAATATTCAAACACGCTTGTATCGCACAACTAAATGTAAATTATTTTGGCAACTTCACAACAGAATAAATATGTAGACTTGACGTGAAAACAAGTCAATTAAAAAATTATTTTCTGAGAATTTTGTTTTGTCTTCAGCCAAAAAATTTTCCATCACCTTAATATAGGTCACAAGAAAATCACACGGAAAGCGAAAAGAAAATTTATTCACATTGATATCAGTAAAACAAAATGAATTAGAGGCTGACTTCGTTATCGATCTCCTTGCATTTTGCAACCATTCACTCAATCAACATGACTTTTATTGACTTATGGAATGTGAGCGGAGTGACTGCAAGTTTTTTGATCTCGCACATATGTTAAACTCCAATTAACAACGATGCAATAAATTAAAGGCTCTAATTATTCATTTGCATTCTTAATAGAAACATATTGACTTTAACTTGTCGTAATAAAAGCTCACAAATTGAAAAGTTCCATACATCATGACGATCTTCATATCAATCACCACATTAATTGATACTCTCAATAGACAAAATTTGATCATTTGTTAATATAAAAAGAAATAAATTCTATTATGCAATTCACTACTAGTGCCAATATGTCTGCCGTAAATTGTTGGCAAAGTTTAAAACTGTCTAAAATATTATTTTTCTTTTGTATTTAAAAAAATTAATGAGGTAAGAAACATTTCCCAAAAGGTTTACAACGAAATATGAACGCTAAAATGTCTGGATCGTCTTCACTTTGACTGCATTTATAATTCTTTGGACATCGGCAACTAAAGAAGAAGCAAAATTATTAAATTACAAAGCACTTCAATGTAAGAAAAAGAAAATAATTTTATTACTTGCTTAGCTTGTATTTGAAACTCTTTTAGATATTCCGTCATGAAATCCATAAGCACAAATTTCCAACTCTTGACAATCGTAAATGTCTTGATTTTTCATTGCAACGACAAACCTTCGGGTATCGTTGCTTTTCGAATTTTCAACAATGTTAACCGCTATTAAAATCAAGAAAATCTCGTGTAATTTCATTTCTACACTCGTTAAAAATCTAAGTGACTTTATTCAAATGATTTATTGAGGGAAATGATGTCACTATTCATTAAAGGCTGTGCTTAAAAAATCTTTCCACTCTCTCCGTCTGCATTATTCTCAAAATATGAATTGATAAGGTCGGGTACAAAAATTATGACAATTGTTGTAATTTTCCATTTAGTCGTACAACATAGTATGGCTTAACGATAAGAAGTAGAACCTCGAGAGAAACATTCCGTTCAATCAACTTCTGTTGAACATTCACATTCTTAAACTTAACATTTCTAACCTTGTGGAAAAACCCCGCAAAGTAGAAGTAAATGGAGACACATTGGAGACTTTAATTGCTCAATTACAAACCAGTCTATATCGATGATTGACCAATTGACAGCAATTAGTTGTTCAATTTTGTCTGCTAGTATTTGAAAATAAGTTTTTGCACGCTCCAATTCATCATAGATCGAGAGTACAGGAAGCCCTTAACCTTTTATGATTTATTAACCCGACATCGGCTGTTTGACGTCATTGCATGGAAATAACTGTATGTAAAGATGCTACTAAGAGCTTCACTACTACGCAGTTAACGTAGAAAGAATATACCGATGAAAAACAGCTACATACCTTCACTCATCAATCGTCACACAATGTCGATGACACACCCACAAAGTCATATGAGTCGTTGGAGAATTTCAACATTTTTTTTATTCGGATGCGTCGCGTGATCGCAAGATAAATGAAATCAGAACGATGACATATGATGATGATGTGCATCAGAATCGAATACTGAATTAAAGGAAAGAAAACATGAAAAGTTCTCTTCGGCCTGTCTTCTTCTTTTTTTATTATTTACAATTGATTTTAACAGTTCCTTGAGAAATACTTGACACTAATGACATTAAACACCACTTAAAGCTATAATTAGTCGAAAATAAATTAAAATTTAAATTTAAGGAATTTGTTAAGATTATTTACGAAAAAAATTCATTTTATACTATCGGTGATCAAAAAGCTTTAAGAAGATTTTTGTCAAGCATCGGGGATGGGATTTTTCACTTTACACCGATAAACATAAGCAGAAAGACTGAGGTCTTCGTTGGTACGTAAGCAAGAGTGTTCCTTTTTGCAGAGACATCTGTTTAAATTATGAACGTATGAAAACGATTAGAAATTATTTATTTGCTTATCCGACTCAGGGATTTATGTAACTTACGTATTTCTTATGTAATACTGAGTTTTCTTCGTTTTACTATTGCCGTAAACAGCCCAACCGCAAGGATTATTCAGCGAACATTGTGAGAACTTTGTGGTTGATTCTGTCACTTCAAGGGCACCTTCTGTTTCTGAGGATATCTAAACAAAATTTAAAAGTTTTTTTATTTATTTTCATTTATTATTTAACACTATCAAAGACTCACTTCCAAAGGAATCGCTTCGGTTTGCACAATAAATATGCTCAAGCACATTAAAGCTATCGCCGTCATGATGAAAATTTTTATTAATCTAGACATTTTTTCCCTGTTTCTTTGTTTTATAGTTTTAAAGCTTCAACTCTTATTTCAATTACTTATTCCGAATTATTTTTATAAAAAAATTACTCGTCAACACTTCTCCAAGCACTGAGGGTAATGGAAATATTTTCACTCACTTTATACGTCGATTGGAAAATGTCGGAATAAAAAACTTTTTTCTTCTTTGCGAAGTGATCGTCGTGTAAGACGTTTTATGAATGAACAAAAAAAATACTATGAGACAGAATGAGAGCTCACGTTGTGTTTTATAGAATGGTGAATATTGAGAGGTAAGTCGTTCAGCATCATCGTATTTATACTCTACTAAAGCATATCAAATACAACTAAACGAACGTAGATGAGACTTCAAAGCGAGAGACAAAATGAGAGGAACGAACGAATGTGAGATCAAAAGAAAGTTAAGGGAAAGAAGATCGTTGCTTGAACACGTGTAAAATCTTCTTATTCTTATTCTTCTCCATTAGTTATTTCAATGTAGTCAATCATGACTCATCTCTTTATAAGATATTATGCAATGTGTTACCTGATGTGGTTGATTGTTCATGATAGCGATGATGGAATGAAGTTTCATGTCGTTCTTTTCTAAGTCTTTTGTTGTGTTAGAGATAAACAGAAAATGTTAACCGACTGTGACATGACTTTCATCATGTTGCCTAAAACATTTATCATAGACAACATTCGGACGTTACAAATCTCACGTCTGCTTCTTTTTTTCTAATTTTTTCTCCATCATTGCTAGAAATTTCTGGAAGATTATTTCGAAGAAATTCACAATTATTTTAAAAGGAATTGGGGTCGATTCTGAAATCAGAGTTCTTTAAGCAGTTCTAGGAGTTTGAAGATGATTATTGTGAATATTTTTCAAGGAAGATGAATATTTCAGTTTAATGAATGATTGATTATAAGTTCAATGTCTAGAAGTAATTTTCATGCACACCATATTTAGTTATAATATCGAGTTGATGATTGAAAGTAACTGCTTTCACTATGTGTACAACATGTAAGTGTTGGTGTCAGAACTAGATACACATTTCTGATGAAATTCAAAGTGAAATTACGTCAAATAGAAGGAATGAACTTCAAAAACTTTTGTGTATTTAATTTCACAACACGAGGACTCACGTGCTTCGATTTTTTAATAATACTTGAAAATACTAGTTGAGAGATTTTGAGAGGGAAAAAATAAAAATTATTTCGAGAGAATTTTATGTTATCAAACGACAAATGGTAGAAGTAATCAAAGTTTAAGTACGCCTTAGGGCCGAATAAAATTTAAACGTCGTAATTTCAATTCAGCGTTACTTTGAAATATTCAAATCAGACTCTCAGAGTTCAACAAATATTTTTATTGATTCAGCATTAAATATTTGCTTATGTAAATAATTAAGTTTTCTAGCAATTCTCTTATTTCTAGTTTTGCCAGTCACGTTCGTAAAAAGTGATAAATTCATTCTTCTTGTTCCATGATAAATGTCGCTACATCAACGCAATACATAGATAAGAAATAAATAAATCAAGAGAAATATGTTTCTGAGGAAATAATAAAACAAAAAATCATATTGACATTAATTCAATTAAAATTGTTGCGTCGATCAGTCCGAGCCTCCTAAGGAAAGATAAATATGAGTACATGCTGACATAAAAAACATTAATCGGATGAAATATTTTCTTTTTATTGATATGCTCTCAATTTCTATCGACTTGATTGCCAGTCAATTTTAAGAGACATTCTCATGCCTGACTTTCGATTGAACTGATATGTCGTGTAAATACGCAACTGATTAGTCATCAAAATAAACACAACAATGTTGAAGCCGACTGAAAAAAATTTTTACGCATCACTGATGATGTTAAATATTTACAAAAACTTGAATATTTTTCGCAGAAAAAACATTCCTTCAAGCATTAAGTGGAAAAGAAACAAAACTTGCTTGACATTTTTTTCTCATTAAATATAAAACCACGTGGGTTTGATGCTTGCATGTGGCGGGAAAAAAAATTCCTCGAAATACAAAAGAAAAATGTTTGGTTCGTCATATCATCTACCTGATATTTTATATGTTGTGTAAGGATTGTTGTTCGTATAAAGAACAAATTAATAACATCAGACACACCCCCAGAAATGTGAAAGAAGAAGTAAAGTTGAATTATAACTGTAAAGAGATAAAATGCTCGTGTGACTGCTGCTCTCACATCAACTCAACTCAATACACTTGCACTAACATTCAATTTTCATTATGAATACTTCTATCTTAAGAATTATGAATGAAGAAAACTAAAAACGTGTGCAAGAGAAGAGAGTAAAACAAAAATTCCGAAAATCGTAAGCGTAACTTGGAAAATGTGAAGCAATAAAAGTTTCAATTGAAAATTGATTTACTATCGCAATGTCTTTATAGTTTTACTTTGATGTGACATCGACTCATTCATATCTCAAGAAAATAAATTATTGACATTCACTTCTCAGAACATCTTGACAGATAAGTCAAACGGACGAATGTTTTTATATTCCTGGAACTCTACCTACATCATTGACATGAGTATCGTGCGCATGAAACTTATATTTTAAAACATTTTCTTGTTTATTTATTTGTTTTTTGTCTCTTTGTGACAGCTTTATGTATCAAACAAAAGATTGTTCCATTGACGTCGAATGAAAGTGAATTTGTGACTCAACTTAACCCCGAACTTATATTGATAACCGATTTTTCCACTTCATAGATTTCTTTCTCTCTCTTTTCCATTGACTCATTTGAAGTATCGAAAGACGAAAGAAAAAAGTCAAAAACACGCTTTAAAAATGAGAGCCAACACGTGTTGACATAATGTAATGTTTCACTCGTATAAGTAGCTGAAAATTCTTATCACTTAATAAATAGTTTTTTTGTTCATTTTCAACTTTTGATTAAATGGAATAAAGAAATATTACTTTAGAGGGAAAAAACAGACTGTAAACGTGACTCTGCGATTGGAATATTAAATAAAGAAATATTTACTAATGATCGAAAAATGTGACGGAGAACTTTTTTTTTCCACTCGTTCATAATTTTTATAGTTGGTGCTTTAAACATTTCAAAAATTGCAAGACTTTGAGTTGGCATTGCGACTTTTTAAATTTCTCGTAAATATTCGAAATCAAAGTATAAGAAATGGTGAATCAAGAAGATTCATTTCATGAAATTCAAAGACCGACACACAGAGATTCATTTGCTTTCCCAATAGTTATCCGAAATTCATCATCAAGAGAGAACATTCCCTGGGAATTAAATTCAAGGCACATTCTTGGCCCTGTGAGTGTTTTTGGCCCAATACGATGGCCTCCATTGTTAGAACCATCTCCAAATACTCCACAAAATTCCATTCCAAAGGAAACAACCAAAAAAGCCCATGAAAAGGACGAAACCGATGGACACAAGTTTCTAATGCACAATTTGAAAATTGAAAATGACGAGCATTCCCTTGAGAATATTGAGATAGAAAGATCAGTAAGGTCGGCATTCTTGCAAATGATGGCTATAGCAACAATTCAGGACGAAAACTTCCAACTTCCATAATTTGACTTTTATTTTTTTATTTTAATTTTTCTTCTTTTTACCCTCCCGTTTTCTACCGTTCACACAACGTCAACTGTAAAAAAAGTTTTTCAATAAAAATGTTATTTTTCTCATTAGGCAAACCAGAAACTTTCTCTTGACCGGAAATTTTCTTCACAAAGTCTGTGAAAGTTATTAAAATATTTTTTGTCCCAGAGGAAAGTCGTTGTCGAAATATGTTCCTGAAGAAAAGCCCAAAGAAAACATTTTTTAGCATAAATTTTCTATGCGGTGAAGTGAAAAGGTGAAATAATGCTGCTTTTAGAATGGGCCACATACAGCTTCGACCTTTCTTTTACCAACTCTTAAGCCTGAAGAAATTTAAAGTAAGCATCATTTGTGTCGTTGCTGTTTAGAGAGAAGGCGGAAAAGAAAAAAAGCATTAAATTAATCCCAGACTGAAGATTCACGAACACCCTGCAAATAAATTTGTTCATTAATGCTGCAATTTGAAAACGGCGTTCTTGCTTCTTCCTCTTCTATTCGAGATGGTGCTGAAATCAACCTTTATAGAAGCAAGAAAAAGGAAAGCAAAAACAATATAATTTGTCACCCTAACTTTATTTATAACCAGGTGACTTTAAATGAATTCCCATTTCTTTCTTTTCGGTTTCTTGCCGAAACCATATGCCACACCACAAAAACTTAATTCATTTTAATTCCCTATGTTTGGTTTGCTTTAAGATCAGAAATGTAAGCTAATTTATGTTTGTTTATCTGTTACAATATCTCATAATTTTTTTTACGAAGTTGATAACTTTAAGCCACCACATAATATTATTTTGTTGCCTTCTACATAATAACAAAAACTTTTCAATTGTTTTTCTCTGAAACTTTCCATCTGAAAGATAACAGAAATAAATTTATTTCTTTTCTTCTTTAGAAGTTTGCAATGGTTCAGTTAGAATAAGTTTTGCTATTGATTGAGAACAGATTTGATTGATTTCTTTTGAAATGAAATTGATTTGTTCGGATAAAATCAACGAGATGCGTCTAGGTGGTGGTGAAATTTCACGAAATTGATTTTTGATGTCATCTCCAGATAACGCTTTTTGACCTTGTGCGACACGTGCACTGTTTTCAAGAGATAAATAATTCAATTGTCTTTGTTTTTCATGTTCTTGTCGAACACATGAATATTGATATCTGTTAAACTTGACAGTTTCTTGAATGAGATCGTCAGTTCGACTCATCATTCCACGAATTTGCTTTTCCAACACCCCCACAGTGCCAAGATCAAGATATTGAGAACCTTTTTCTTGTGGAAGAGTTTCATACATATCAAGAAGTAAGATGTTTGTGAGTGATGAGCTTTTAATGTGAATTGGAATTTCCACGACAAGCTTTTCAAATCCAACTCCAAGTTCTTGTAATGCTTTAAAAGTTTGAGCACCTTCTTTATACATTTTGATAGCTTGTTCAGACAATCTATAAGCTTTTAAGGGCATAACACCTCGAATTGATCTGTCGGAATCGTAAACAATAACAACAGATTCAGAAATGCATGTTTGATAATTAAATTGCGATTCAAGAAGAGTTTCGGTCAAAAATTTCGTGTTGCTTGCTGATTGATACCAGCCAACATGAAACATGTCAACATTAACAACGCGCAATCGTCTCATCATCGCCCATTGATATTCTTCATCGTCAGAAGACTCAGTCATGTTGTTTGGATATGGAAAACAGTGCGTTATTTCTAACCTAGTTCCATCCAGCATACCAAGAATAGCACCTTGTGGAAGGTCTAATGAAGTTTGAGACTCTTCATGACAATGTTTCGCCATTTTCAGAAAAACCTATGAGATAGAAAAATCTATGATGCTTACTCGTGAACAATAAATTAATTGAACAATTTAAGGAAGCCATGATTGAAGTTTTTAATAATGTAAAATTTGCCTTTTTTATGAAAGTTAAGACTTAATATATTTACCGAAGCGTCACATTGAATATGATTTATTTGTAGTTTATCCATTTTATCAATTCGCAGCTCTAAGAAATTTGCTCAAAGCTCGCTTTATTATGAACGAAGATTTTATAATAAAGTCTTGAGAGTGATTGCGAAATTAAAATCTTCGCACCCCGTTGAAAATTGGAATAGCTTCGTATGAGGTACCAGATTGCATAAAAGCGGGAACCGAGACGCTTAACAAAGTTCTACTTAAAACTCGGTAATAAAATAGAAATTAATATGGCTGGTTCAAATAATCAAATCAAGATCATTAAAATTGAAAGCGCTTCATGTTTTCACTTTATATATCTGAATGAAACGAAAAACTTGAAAGGTGCTGCTTTCAAAGAAGGGAACATGAAGCTAACAAACACCAATGTAAGTAGATTCATGCGTTTATTTAAGAAACAATAACAGCGTTCCACAATAATATTACACTTTTGTTTTCATTTTCATTTCAGAATGACAAGGATGTGATTTATCAAGGTTCACTATTTGTTCAACCGACTGAAGAAACTTTCGACTATAAGGAATGCAAAATTCTCAGAAAATGGTCGTTAGAAGCTCTTGAAGTCACCAAAAATTTCGTGAAGTTTGCAAAACAATTACGTTTTTTTAAAAGACATGTGATTGACAATATAATTATTGGTGACATTGAAGCTACAAATGAACAGGGAGAGATATTTAGTTTGTCAGAAATTTTGATTAGACTTGGTCATGCAAAAATACCAGAAGATAATCAACATAATAAAGCGCTCCATCAATCATTTGATCCAAAACAGGAAGATGAAATTGTTTCGGATCCTTACAAAACAGAAGTGCCAAAAAATGTACCAAAAGAGTCTTCACTTGAAAAAGCATTAAATTCCTGTTTTCAAGACACTATTCAAGGACGGGAAACTGCAGAATCTTTGAACACAAAATCTTCTGATAATAAATCCAATATTAAAATGGTAACAGTCACCGACTTCTTCAAAAATGAGTATTCCAATGCTATTTGCATGCAAGGAATGAAAAAGGACAACGATGTCACTTCAAGAACAACAAGTCACGAAGGATCTTTCGGTTCTTCCGAAATTTCTCTGAAAGAAACCGAAATCAAGTCGCAAATCATGAGACAAAATATTTCCATAATTGATTCGCCTACATTTTCGGAAAAAAATACATGTAATGATTTGACTCGGATTATAAAAGAAGAACGCAAAATTATTGGAAGTGAAGATGTTGCGAAGATCTTCGTACACGGCAAAAATTTACAAAAACCTTTGGAAAACTTAACAAGCGCTTACTTCCATAAAGAAATTCATGAAAATATGCGAAAAATGAAATTCTGTTCATTATATCGTACACAATCTTACAGCATACCAAATATTCTAGAGGGAAGATCAGCATTCATTATCAATGCAAACCGATCGGGCAAAACTTTTTCTTATCTTCCAGCACTTCTCAGCTTAATTTGGAACGATCATGAGGATGAAATTGAAACAAATGGAATTGGACCAGTCGCTGTGATTATTGCAAGATCATCACGAGAAGTTGACATTATTTATGATTACTGCAAGAAACTTGCACCGGGGAAGAACGTTGAAATCATAAAAGCGTCTGGAATTTGGAATTTTGAAGATAAGAAGATTGAATTATTGAATGGATGCGAATTGCTGATCACAACACCGCCTTGTTTCAAACGTTTATCGTCAGGAAAAGTAATTCGTGCATTTAACAAAAATCGAATCAATCATTTGATTTTTGATGGAATTCATTCAATGTTTAATATTTTTCCTGATGAAATCAATGAAATTATTAAGGTTTGCACTCACGGTACAAAATATCCTGAGAAAAATCCTCAATTGATTATGACATCGTCAAGTTGGGATGAATATCTTCAAAGTTTTATGAAATTAACATGTGATCCTATGATAATCTTTGGAAGTTACATAGAAGCAGCACTATTTGCAAAATGTTACTTTAAAATTACAAAGAAAACTATCATATCGAAGTTCGAAATTTTACAAAACATTTTAATGAACGAAGAATGGCGAATGGAACGAACATTGATCGTGTTTAATTCACAAACTGAAATCAATCAGTTCAAGGATTTTATTTCCAAATCCAGTCACTCATACAAGGTCATTGATTCACGTATTCAAAGCGATGATATCAAAATAATTATTGAAAATTGGATGAATGAAGAATTTGGAGATTTTTCAATTCTTTTAGCAACGGATGAAAGTTTACTTAATTCGTCGTTCAACAACATTCAAGTTTTAATACATTTTTCACTTCCTGATACGTGGACAAGTTTCTCACGTCGTTTTGTGACAATGTTCGGATACTTTAAGAAACACTTGAATGAAGAATTGGATGAGCGAGCATCGACAGTAATTTTGTTAGATGATGAAAATGTCGAAGAACTTCCACACTTGATAGATTTCGTTCAAAAGCGACACATTTTGAATCACATTCCAAGTGAAATCAATGAAATCGTTCAGGTAAGTTTTACTTTATTTCTTAAAAGTAAATAAAACAAATTAATTCAAATTCCTTTAGCGTATAATTGACGAGCGAGAAAAACAAAAGCATGATCCAATGTATGAGAATATTATGCCGATTTGCCAAAATATTCTTCAATTCGGTTCATGTATCAATTCAACAATATGCAAACGTCGTCACATCTTCATTGATAACGATCGATCAATAAACATTCCATGTGATGGCTTGGTGAAGTTTGATATTGTTGGTATTTACAATCCATCTCATTACACGATAAAAATTCGTGAATATTTACCAGCAAATGCTAAGAAATGGATTTCCTGTGAAACAAAATTAAGAACCATTGAAGATTCACTTGAAGCTCTTCAAATCATCATGAATAAAGAAAATATCGTTCAAGTTAATGCAAAAACGAATGATATTTGTGCTGTTTTCTGTCCCCAAAGAATCAAATGGCTTCGTTGTAAAGTTCTTGAGATTCAGTAAGCATTGATTTAAAAAGAAATTTTCTAACTTTAATTCTGTTTCTTTATCATTAGATATCCAGGAAAAGCAATATCGCAAGTTCACGTTTATCTTCTTGATTATGGACGAAAAATTAATGTTAAAACAACAGATTTGAAAGTTTTATCCGAGGAATATAAATTGTTGGATCCTTTGGTCACAGATTTAAGAGTCGTTAATCTCATTCCATATGATAATGATTTGACATTTGACGTTGACACATCAAGTCATTTAGCGAAATTCTTCGATTCAATCTCTAAAGTTGGCGATTACATGATTTGTAAAGTTGAAATGTCACTTCATAATGTCATTTTTACTGAAACATTTGAGATTCGTAAATGTTTAAAAGGTTGTCGGGTTGATGTGACGAAATATTGGATGAAAAAAGATATGCTTGAAAAGAAACTTTGTTCGTATGATGAAAATGTCATGGAGAAGCTTACGAATCTTGCTAAACGTTCAGGTTTATATGTTCCATCAGATGAACATCCAGTTAAAGATCCTGAAATTGAAAAGGAAATAAAATCAATAGAAGAAGCTCAACCTCGTTGGAAAGATTTGAAAATTGGAAGCACACACGAAGTTAAATTGAAGCATTTTGAAAGTGAAAAATCTTTCTACGTTCTTAAAGATGATTCGGAAAATTCAATTCTTCGTAACTTTTACAAAACTCTCAACGAACTTGATGAAGAATTAATTCCTTTGCATCCAATAAACTGCAATGATTTTTGCATTATCAAATGGAGAAAGCGAAACTTTCGTGGAATTATTTATAAAATAATCAACATGGAGATGATTATTGTCCATTTGCTTGACTGTAGTCATTTAATCAAATGTTCGGAATCTTTCATTTACAAACTTCCAACTGATTTCATCAACAAAATGCCTTTTCAATCAATTCATTGTCAATTTTCATTAATAAAGCCGAAAATTGCAATCAAACAGTCACAACAAGAACAATCAAATGAAAATTTTCGAGACTTCTTTTTGAAATCTTGTCGTGAAAAGTTGGTGAAAATTTTGATTTATGAGAAAAGTTCAAGTGAAAATATTTACGGCGTTCTTATTTACGATGTCGTGAGTGAGAAACTTTTGGATTTAGATGCTGTCGAAAAAGGAGTCGCTGATTGTGATGAGAAACTTAAAGATTTTGCATCGGAAAATGTGATGAGAGTCGAAGAGAAATCAAATGAAGAACGTTTCATGAAGTTGCTTTTTGATGCTGACAATGATGTTGATTTTAATATAAAGCTTGAAGATTTAGGTCTGAAAACTCCAGATCCGATTGCAAAAGTTTTGTCTCAAGAAAAGGTGAAGCCGATTGAGTTGAAGAAGCCAACAAATGTCGAAAACAAGAAGGAAAAATCGGAGAGTCGCTTATATTACATTGAAAAGCATCCGAAGATTGAATATCGACAGAATAAAATGATGCTTCAATTGATAGTGACTGCTGTTGACAGCAAAGATTATTCTTTAGAGGTCACTGATTCAAGCTTCACCATTGGAATCGTCTACGAAGGCTACAAGGAATTTACATCGTTTCGCTTTTACGGGATAGTCAAAACTGAGTTCACTTCACATGAGAAGGTTGGACAAACAATTGCTATTCGATTATTGAAAGCTATCGTAGGATCGTGGCCACGTTTAACATATCATAACGAACCAAATCGATTCATTCGATACAATGCTGAAGAAATTACTTTCAAATTCGAATGCAATAAAAAGTCAATTGCTGGTCTTCCTGCTGGAATGTCTGATGAAGATGATGATGAAGTGATTGACGTTCAAGATAAATACATGACTGAGGAAGATGAACTCGAACCAATTTAATTCTTGTACCTTAACTTTTCATCTGACAAATAAAGAAAATCTGAATTTAACTGAATTAAGAAAATGTAAAATTCTCAGATTTTTAGGGTTTCAGAGACGGTTTTGGTTCAAATATTTTGATCATCAGAGTTTTGCTTTCTCACGGTCTTCACCCTATTTAATTAAGAATATGAAAAACCAGTTTGGTAGAAATTAACAGAAGAAATATTTGTGAGGATTGACAAGAAAAAAAAAGGTTTCGAACTCAATACTTTTCATTTTATGTTCAGCTGGTCAAAACCATTTCAATTGTGAAAAAAATATTTTTAGATTCTTCACCGTTTTCTACCTCTAAGAAAGATTAAGAGCCAAACTTAGAAATCAAAAGGGAATCTACCCTAACAAGAACTTCGGTAAGAATAAGAAGAAACTTCTCAAATGAAATTAATTTCTGAAATCATTCAGAAGAAAATATTTTCCAACTTTCTTGATGTTGGTTTAAAAGTAAGATTATTAAATTTCATTTCTCCGGTTTTCAATCGATTCATTAACGCAAGAAAATAATTTCTGAAGAGAAACAAGAAATTTGTTTTAACTAAATATTTCGCATAGAAGAAGAAAAAGAGACTTGAATAAAACTCATTTCTTATTCTAACATAATTTCAAGCCACAATTAATCCGTTTAATTGTAATTAAATATTTAAATTGGCGTTAAAAATATTCAAATTTCATTTTCCAACTTTCTGTTTCGTACGAGCCTCGTAAAAAATTATTCTTGGAGCGAAATGAAATCTTCTTTCCTGCTTTATGTGTTTTTAGTTGAGCAAGATTTTTCATGTTTAAGCTGTAGTTAGACGTCTGTTGATAAGCATAGCAGAAGACGCAAATGAAATGAGAATGAAGGCAAACAAGCAATAATCCAAATGACAAACAATTAAACTTTTTATGACTTCTTATAATTACCATTTGAAAGACGGAAAAAGGATTTTTTCCATCTTTTATTCAATTGTTTTCCTGCTTATTCAAATCTCAATTCTTTTTTGATAAAGCTTCTTTGATAGTCAAATTTGAGTTCCAGTTGCCAATTTTCGAAGAGAAGTTAAAACTTTTTTTGCTTTTTGTTACTTCTTCTTATGCAATGCTTTCATCTCCCTGATTTTGTATGCAGGGAACATAAAATAACTCACACGCTCGAGAGGAAGAAAAAAATTAGTTTAATTAGTTTCCAAGCGAGTAAAGAATCAAGTTGTGGTAGAAAGACGGTAAAGAGATGAATGTCATGTAAGGGTTAAATAAAGTTGAACGCCTTAAAGTTAGGCAACTTCAATCACGTCGCTTTGCGATACTAAAACGTGACGTTTTTGTGATAAAACATTGCGTCGCTTTGGAACATTCAGTCAATCCCATCATTTCTTATCAACATAATGTTATCTTATCAGAATAAAGAGCGAAAAAGTGCATAAGCGACCAACTTTTTAGTATTATACTTCCATTTAAAAAAGAAACATTATAAAAGTAAAAATCTAATTCTTTTTGCTGAAGAATATCAAACATTGAAATGTTTTTGAAAGTTCTGTCAACTCTAACTTTTATGCAACTGTGAGTAGCTGAATTGTATTTTAATTCTACTCAATTTTCAGTTCTATATTTCCCCTTCAATCCTTACCAAAATATCATAAAAACTTTTTCGTTTCTGATTCACTGACAATTTGATATTTTTTTTATTCTCATTTTAGTTTCTGTAACACGACGTCACAAATGTTGGATAAAAAGTTCAGTAATTTGAGTAGTATTAAAATTAAAGAGTTTGAGGCGAATGACAATTGGCAGATAATTGATCTCAGCCACAATTCAATTACTTCTTTCGACTTTCCGGAATTGCTTGAAAAGCAAACTCAATTAGACACATTACGATTGAATAATAACTTAAAATTCATCGTACAAGACAATGAAAAGATTCTCGAACAAAGTGCATTGGGAAACTTTGAATGTAAAATGTGTGGATTTGTGAATATTCAAAGTCAGCATTTTACTGGTTTCAGCAATTTAACAAAACTTTATCTCAACGATAACAGAATAAGTCGAATTAGCGAGAGCGCATTTGCATCAAATGAAAACCTCAAGCTGTTGGATCTGTCAGGAAACGACTTAAAGGATGTGCCACAAATTTTGTTCGTTGGATTGAAAAGTTTTGAGACTTTAAATTTAGCATCGAATCCAATTTTGATTCCAAAAAATCGACCTTTTCTAAAAAGCAATTCATTGAAGTATTTAAAAATGAACCATTGCAACGTATCGACGATCTATTTGGAAACATTCAGTGAACTTTCAAACATTGAAACACTCAACCTAAATGAAAATAGAATTGGATTTCTTCCGGTGAACTCATTCAAATACAATAAGAAGTTGAAAAGTTTACTCATCGAAAGCAATCAAATAAGGTCGTTCCCAGTGGTCATGCTGGACACATTGCCACAATTGGTCGAACTTTGCATTGACAAAAATATTTTAGTTGAAAGTCCGGAGTTGGGAAATTTTTTGCAAAGATACGACGAGAGACGCTTGAGAACTGACAATTGTAATGATAATGTGAAATATTTCATTGAAAATCTCTCGAGGATTGATGTCAAGACCAGTACTTTTGATGAAACCTCACAAAACACGAACACGAGTGAAAAGTCATCAAAGTTTGTGACCAAATTCATTAACCAAGGGATTTCTGATTTTTTCATTGGCAGTTACATAATGCTCATCATTATCGTACAAGCAGCAGCAATCGTACTTCTTACCATTTATCTCATCAAAATCACCAAATACGAAAAGCTTGAAGGCGATGTAAATTATGCAAACACAATTTTAAATGACAATGAGATTTACAAAGTCTACAAATCAAGTGGATAAAAAGGTTGTGAATATTCTTCGTGTTGTGTGGGCTCTCAAAAAAAAAATCAATTGTTTGATCGAAGAAGGGAAATCTCTGCTTTCGCCAACACGTACGAAAACTATAGAAAAATGAAAATAAATAAATTAAACTCTTGCAGAAGCGATGAGCATCGATGTGGAATCGAAAGAACATCCGCAATTACATTCTCGTCGGCTGTGGGGCAAGGAAATCCTTTTGTTTCTTTGCTTTTGTTTTTGTAATTACAGTGAAAACTTTAACATGCCTGAACTTGAAAGAAAACATCAAAGAAAAACTTAAAATCTTCTACAGAACATTTACGGTTTGTTTTAATGGAAACGATGCTTGAATGGTCTTTCATCTTCTTCTTCATTCCAATGATAAAATCAATTATTTAATTGTAATCGGTTTATTCTGCAATTTTAAACACATCCTCTGCACAAAACATTTCACAACTGCTGCCTTCTTTTCCTTCTTTTATTGAATTAAATTAATTTATTGCACTGCAATGTGAAATCAGTTTTAAGAATGCTTTTCCATGTGTTGGAAAATTATTTTCCTTTTCATGTTATTTAGTGTGTATGGAGTTAAAGTTTTATTGACCTTACTAAAGATATTTGGAAATTCTTTTAAAGCTTTCCTGTTGTCTTCCATATGCAAATGAAATAATAATAAAAAGAAAAACAAATTCTTTTATTAAAAAAAATGTTGGAACATTACACTCGTTCAAACTGGTTTGTATGTTTATAATAATCATTAAACTTTAATAACCCTCCATGAACCGTAATCTTAATTCTATTATGAAAATTTTACTGCAAAGACGAAAGTCCATAAAAAGATCATCCCAAAAAAAAGGCATCGACATGATGAATATTAAACACAATATCCATCAAGAAGCTTTCAAAGAAAAGCATGCCAGAGAAACATGCAAAATAAAATAAATCAGTCAAATGGCATCCACATTTCTTTTTCTGCCTTCTTTTCGAAAGATGGGCACATCAAAATATATTATGATACTTTGTCGAATAAATTCATAAATTCTATTCCAATTACACTTTATCATTCACCCTCATTCAGGCTCAGAAAAGTTTTCTGTATGTAAGTAACCCAGAGGGAGGAAAACTGCTGCCATCATTTTTCCCCGGATATATCTTACATTTCCTTGGCGCATTTGTCATGCTACCGCTTGATATACATACATTCATTTCAGCTTTTTGGAGTCATAAAAAGGAAAATATTTATATTAGGTTTCTCTTCCTTCTAAGAATTTTTTTCTTACCATATTAAATTTATGCATGGTAATGTCAAGGAAAAGAAACGCGAAAAGAAACAGTGTAAAAGCACCTTGTAAATGAATCTAACGTCTTTTAGCTGCTACTTTTTGCGACAACCGAAACGGCACATGACTAAATGGATTTTTTTTACTGTCGTTTTGCAGCGAGCGCTTCTCCATGAAAAACTTGTTAAAGCCTAACACCTGCAGCATTACGAATGACGATGTTTCAATAAATTTTCAATAATCGTAAAAGCAGAAAGAGAGGAGAGAGAGAGGGACAGAGAAGGAAAATAAAAAAGAAGTCATTTAACAATTTTCTTTTTACACACCAGCACCAACATATGCAGAATTCTATGTAGAAATGTGATTAACTCGTTTTATCAACGAAAGTCAAGTTTTTGAGCTTTCGAATGCTAAAAGTTCATTAGCGTCACGAAGATCGATAATAAAAATTTCCCAGTATTCAAATGAATACGAAAGCATTGCGTAGAATTACTTGAATTTCCACCAGAAATATTTTTTTCGATTTTCAATGTTCGATTGTCAAACATTGAACGATTAATTACTTGAACTTGTGTGAGATAAAAAGAAAATTTTATTTCTACCTTTGCCAATGTTTTAAAACGATGTCAGTTAAAAGTTGCAGTCATTCGAGTTGAACATGAGAGAAAATAAAGTTAGAAAGTTGTAATCTATGAACCGAGAAGCCATAATTTAGGATTGCGAGTGGGAAGTAAAGTAAGCATTTTCTGCACGTTACTTTTAATCTTCCTTCTTCAAAAAGTCGTTGCAATCAGCTTTTAATATGTTTTCGAAAAGAAATGTCAAATTTCTTTTCTTGTTAAACTGAATTGATGGCTTTACCTGTCAATAATGTGTATCAGAGGAGCGAACATATTTTTCATACATAAAACATAACTTTTGTAAGTCGAAAACATGCAGAAGGAAGAAATATTTGAAAACTAAATTTCTAATATAAATTTTCCTGAATATCATGAAAATCGAACAAACATTTCACATTTCCTCTGTCCGAGACAGAAAAATCTTTAAGCTCCACTCATCATCGTAGCCATTGCTGGCAAGAGGTGATAAGGATTTTGCTTTCACCCTTGCTTGAGGGAAAAGTGAGATGAAAAAGACAAATTGCAGTATACCGTCTTTGCAGGAATTGTCAGATATACAGGAATTCAATTTAAATGGAAGGAAAAGTTAGTCTTAGCTGTAACAATGCGCGTATATGCTTAACATGTAAGCTAAAGTCAAAACAAACTTGTTGAAAAACTTGAAAACTGTCAAGAAATATCTAAAAGAATATTATAAGCTCTTAAGAATGTTTCTAAATGAATTTTAAATATTTATTCACACTGCATGTAAATTGCTTTCCTTCCTGAAAGTTTTTGAATAGTTAAATGAGAATCTCAATTCTCAAGAAATTCAATGTCCAAATAAATATTAAACTTTGGAATTAGAGAATTGGAGAAAATTCTTTCAAAGATATTCTAAAATGAAATTTAATGTCTGATCAAGAACAATTCCTAACATCTCTTGGAAAATACGTCAACAACATACTAAATGAATGAATTACTTCCAAAAGTATTAAACATAAACGTCTCGTTGTTAGTCTCATGAATTTTTATTTTTAATTTTTCGTCATTAAAAATTTTCTCGATAAAAACTTTGTTTGTCTTCAAACTAAGTATTTTTCAGCTTTTTTTTATGCGGCATAAGTCAGTGAATGAAAGAAAACAAACTTCGGTTGTTCCCTTAAAGAAACAAAGGACTTCATGTAAAAACAAAATAATAAACAGACAAGGAATAAAAACTATAAAGTGAAAAGTTTTCTTCCGCACAATTTTTATGAGTGAAAAATTTTCATGGCTAATTTATCAAAATATAAATAACAATTGTTCCGCAGACATTTTTTTAGTTACACTGAGTTCTTACAAAAGTTTCTCCATTGAGTCAACTATAATTATTTATTATCACTTTTACAGGCTTCAACAATTAAATATATTACAGAACTTTCGGTATCAACAAGAATCACATATTACAAAAAGGAAAGAAAGGAAAAAAATGAAAAGGCATAAGTAGAGGCAAGGAAAACTTAGTGAACGGAAAATTCTTTCTAAAGAGAAAGGTCAAATGAGTTTCACGGAAATTTATGGATCTGGAAACTTTAGCCTTTCAATAAAAGTTTTTCCTTGCTTTTCTAATGCTCAAAGTTCCTTTTGGAGTAAAGCCAATAACCTTTGATCTGATTGAATAAATTGAAATTACAAATTGGGTCGTAATAAAAATCTTTTAAAGTTTTCAAACGTTTGAGGAAAAGTCGAAATGTTAGATGATATACTTGAAACGGAAGTTAAGATGTATCTGAAGAATCAAATGAAGCTTCAAACAAACTCGTTCATTATTTATTCAGTAACTTGTCAAGATTTCTGTGTTGAAAATTGACTGGGGTGCACATCCATGTTGATAAAAGGTATGATTTTATTCTGAAGAAAACATAATGTGGGAATGATGAAGAATGAGAAGCACATAATTCTTGTCTTTCTTTTCAAGATTTGTTAAAAGTAGTTTACATCCTTCGTTCTTTACATCTTTCTGATTATAACAAATAAACTTACATCGATAACAACATCAAATTGATAGATCAACAAATGTTTCCTTGAAAACATCTTTAATGATTATGCATCATTCGCGATTATTTTTTGTTCGATAATCAAAGAAGCAAAAGATGTTTTTAATGTCAATTTGTTTATACAAGAATAATAACGAAGCTGATGCAAAATTTCTCGTTTTTTTTTATTTATACTGCTTTGCAAATTATCTCTTTTGCATTTCTATACAGAAATATTATCATTCAATAAATTTCCACCCACTCCTATTTATTGCTGCTCTCTCGTGAGTTGTTATGTGGAGAGATGTCAATTTAAAGTTTCCAACTTGAATAGGTTTTTATGACCCGTTTCTCTTTTCCACTTCCCTAAATTAAAACTTTTGCGATAAAAATAATTCTTTTTCTCGTCTTCTCGATACAGCATAAATTTCGTTTCAAAGACGATAAATTTTCTTACGAATAACGAAAGCGAGAATGTGCGACATATAAATAAAATTCGAATTTTCTTGTTTATGTATTCATAAAAGTGCTCCACTTGTGCATACATAATTATAGTTCTTCAATTGCAAAAGTTTTTATGTTTTTTTATTTCTCAAGTAAATATAAAAATTTACAAGCATTTGGATCAAAGCTTGATTCGAATTAAAGGTGAATAAATGCAAGCTAAAGGAAGGGAATTCGTTTTTATGCAATTTGAGATAAACATCAATTCAACTACAAAGTTGTTAAGGATAGGAAAAGAATTTATTCGCCATCGCAAGGTTTCTTTCTAAATTCCTTTTTTTTTTCAGCTATTATTTACATAGAATTCAATCACGATTCAAAGAGAAAAAGAAAACGCCAACGCGATGCGCGATTACAACTCAAAGAGACGAAGGAAAAGAAGGAAATATGATAAAACTTTGAATTAAAGTTAATGGTTTGGAAAATTTTATAATCGTGACTTTTGTAATTTTCAATTTTGTAGCAAAAAGTGAAAAAAACTTTTTTTTTCCTATCCTCGACGGTAGCTAGAAGTTTGAATCGTCTTATCGGTTTTAAAATTAATTTTCTTCATCTTACCCACGTTTTTCATTCCATCATTGAGTAGGATCGGATTTTACCCTCAAGTTCAATGAGCGGAAGACAAAACGAACTTTGCTTCAAATCACAAACATCACCCTACAATTCTCAATTGCTGAAGATGGGGATAGGAGAAATTTTATTTATTTTCCATACCTTTTCGTTTTCGACCTGCCATCATCTTACGATCCATAAATTTCGTCTTCATTTAACATTGTTCGATGAGAACTCAGTACAAAAATGGCATTTTTTACATTTCTTTCCGTTCACAAAATTCAATTTCAGATTAAATTTAAATATAATCGAAAAATTTTCCGATGCTTTGTTTTGTTTTATCTTCGTTTCAGAGCAAAATGAACATTTAAGCCACGAAACGGGAAAATAAACCAACGAAACTCATTGAAAGTTCAGTAAAAGAGAACGAAACAACCTTTCAAATGCAAAGCACTCTCGAAATGCTGCCCTTTATTTCATGAATCGGACGTAGAAATGAATAAATTAAATAATCGAACTTTAGATGACACAGCTGTTCTTCTTCTTCTTTTTCTTAGCTGTATTAAATTCACAAAAAAAAAGAAACGTCTTCGAAGTGGATTATTGTCAAGAGAAAAGACAAATAACGAACTCAATCTACCGTTGCAAAGCAGAAACTAAAGAAAGTATCAGAGTCGAGCGAAATAGAATAATGTTAATGCTTGATAATGGATTTTAATTCATCTCATTTGCCAATCTCAATTTTGTGATTGATGAAGGAAAATGATATCGTTGAATCTCGATCTAACTTTGTAATTCATATTCATTTTCACAAATTGATTTTAACCGAAGAAACAAAATCCATTTGCTGAAAATTAATTTTTATTTTTTTATCTTTCGCTATCTTTCTGCTTCACACATTTACTAACTCTATCACATCGTAACCAGTCTCCTCTCAAAAGCAGAATATCCGATGTTTATTGCTCAACACAGCGTAGGGAGAATTACTAATGAAAAGCTCAATGAACAGGAAAAAATACGAGAAAAACTGTACGAATGAAACTCAATTAAAATTCAACGTGGTAAATCGAAACGAGTTGGAAAAATAACCATCCGAAGTTGAGGAAAAATTAATAAATATTTTTATTTCAAACGTTTATTTTCCGTGCGGCTAATCGTTTAGCTGTCATCGAAAATTCTTTAGACAAACATTCACATGATTTTATCGACTGCTTTCAATTTAATGCTTTCTAACAGAATTTTAAGTGTTGATATTATAAACCATGATTTAATTGCTTCTGTAGTTCAGATAAATAAGATGATGAAATTACTTCCATATCTTAATCAGAATTATCATATCAAAATTTTAAGATCTCACTTAAATCAAATAAGTGGCAAATAAATATTTACGACATTTTCTTAATAACTCTTGAAGAACTCTGTGGAATGTTCAAGTGAATTATTAAAAATTTAAGAGAGTAGAAAGCAACACCTCGTCCAACTAAAAACAGATTTTCCTTGTTCTCGTCCTCAACAAAAGGAAAGTTGTGTAAAGGAAAAGTAAGCGAAAAAAAAAGTTAGAGTGCTTCAATAATTTCACATTGTCGATGTAACTTAAAAATTCAAATCACGTCCTTGTAACCGAGATGGGATTTCCTGGTTTATACTCATAGCTTTCTTTTCTTTTTCCTTCTCTCTCTTGCTTTTTTTTTCCTCGCTACTTTCTATCATTATAAGAATTTGTTGTTATAAGGCGTATCATTGGCAGGGATAGAATCTTCAAGATGTTATTACAGGCTTGAGATAGCGCTTAACTGCCTTTTGTTGTGTGTTTCATGAGACGTAATAGTAAAAAGGAAAATTGCGATTAGAGCTTTCAATAAAATTTTATTCAATTTAACAGTATGTATAGAAATTACTTTTCAGGTGTATCAGTAGGGAAAACATTCAATTCACAGTTGTTTGTTCAGTCAACCTTTATCAAAGAAGATTTTATAATTGAAATTTTCGCCTTCAGGACTCCTGAAAGAATTTTTTTTTATTTAATGTCATTTTGAAACTCGCTAAGGCTTCCTTCTTGTCACTGCAATGAACAAAGCAATTATAATACGCGAGAAAGATCTAAACAACAAAAGAAAACGATTGCAGAAATCCTGTTGCGGACATTTAAACTTTTTTCCCGTTTTCATCCAGCCTTTTTACTTTTCATTTTCAATTTTGCAAAAAAAAAAACAGCAATCAAAAAGAATTTTTTCACCCTCGTCTTTGAAAAGAAATAAAAGATGAGCTCGTTAAAATTAAATTGATGCTTTTGTTTGAATTTGGTTAGCTTTTATGAAACAAAGAAGAATAAACGTCTGAATAAAAACAATGGGATTGTCACAGTCTCCATTTAAATATTAAAATATTAAATAATTTAAAAACACAAATTGACAATCGCATCATTGTTAGGGTGGAGGGGAAAACAAGAAAACAAGAGAATAAAAGAGAAAGAAAAAGAAAAGGCGACCATCAGCATAAATGAAATTAAATCATAATTGTGTAATGTCCCCATAATTATCTTAATTTCATGTAATGATGATGGCAGCGATGATAATTTTTTTCTCCACTTTGGCTTTCAGTCTCAGCCCCAAATTAGGAATTTTCTTTTGTTTCATTTATGATTCAGAGACATCTGACAACATTTGTTGCAATATAACAATGTAAAGGCGCTCTAATCACATAACTTAATTGGCATAATTAGGAACGATTCGTTTATGATGATGATTCAATTCTCATCTCAGTATAATGGCCAGTTACGTAGTGATTGTCACTCTGAGATGGGAAAGGAAATAGCGAAGGAAAATGTTGTTCGATTAAAATTTAATGAAATTATGTTTCATCTCTCTTGTTTTGTATCGTTAAAGAACTTGAGACAAGTGACTTTCAACTTGAATAAAATATATCATTGTCCTTTTAAATCCATGGCCTTCTGTCATCAGCTTATAATCTCAGAAAACAAAAGAATTTTTCTTCTTTTTTCCCCTGCGTGCCCCCTAATTGGATGTTAATTTCTTCCTTCTGTTGTTTTTTCCTTCGTTTACGCTTTCGAACATAAAAGTGAAAGAGAAGAATGTCCAGTAATTAGTGGCAAGGGCAATAAAAATGAAACATCGTTGTTACTTTTTTATCAATTTATTCATTTATATAGAAGAAACTTTTACAAGCAACCCTCCCACTTCCATTTCCGAATCTGTTAATGTTACAATATTATTTTTAATGACCATTAACGGGATGAATTATCATGCTGTTCGCTTACACTTCCCAAATAAATTCCATTTGACTCTTGAGCCTTAACTAAATGCGTGAATGGGGATGATGAATGGAGCCTGAAAGTCTAACATTCATTTATTTGTTGGAAATAGAAATTGAACGAAGCCGAGGGCAAAGCAAATGTCAATAAGAAAATAGTTCATTTTACCATTCTTCCCTACACAATGTCAAACTTCTAAATAAAATATCACTTTCAATTGAATTATTTATGTTTTCCTCCTACATTTGGCTGTCAATGGAAGTGCTTCGATACTTAACTATTTCATTAATTTCTGTCTCTTTTAGCATCAATGGCCTCATGAAGATATTTGATTTTGCTATAGAAAAAAGAATGCAAAATCGGTGGAAGTATGTTGGAAAAAGGCGAGTGGAGAATGAAAAGTATCATTTTTCAATTGCTTCTAGCGTTTTTCGATTAAAGTTTTTTTTTCCTTCCCGATTGAATATTAATGAAGTGAAATTGATAGAACAAAATGAAACAGGTCACTAGGAGAAAGGATACGATGGAAATTGATATCTTTCACTTAATGGAATGGAATTTTTACACACAATAAATTTAGAAATTAGAACTAAGGTGCAGATCAATTTTCAAAACACTCAATGTGGATGCTTTTGGGTTATGCTGATACATTTCGAGGAAATCTGAGATTAAAGCCGGTATCAAAAAACAAAAAGAAAAATAAGTATCCAAGTATCAAATGAACTTTTTCTTAAATGAGATGTTCCACTTAAAGATGTTTAATTCTTTTGTGTCACTTGAACGTCGAAAACTTTTTTTATAGTTTTATCGCTTCGAAAACTTTTTTGTCACTCTTCTACTTAAGGAGAAGAATGATACAAGAAGCAGAGAACATAAATATTGAAAAGAGTTTTAAAGTTTTTTGAAGTTTTTCACCTGCTTAATAAAATGAAAACACTTGAAAGCACTTTAAACAACATGCAGTTAAGCAGTTAAAAGTTTTCCCAGCAGGTTATTTTGCTTGCGTTTCATTTTCACAGCTTTAAAAAAGAAATCCTAAAATTTATTGAATTATTTAAGTGACCATTTATTTGAAATTTTTCACGAATTCGAAACTCTTTACTTTTCATGTTTCTAACGTTTTCATAGATAGCTAAAACTTTTCTTCTGTCTTCCACAACAATTTCTTTCCTTGGTTTTGTTTCGCTGATAGTATTTGGATTAAGAAACATTGTTTAAATAAAGTGTTTTACAAAACTTTCTTTTAAAGATCCTTTGGAATAGAGTCTAGGAGAGATTTTCCACTTTTTAACAGTTTCAAAAGTAAAATAGATTTTTAAATATATTTAAGGTGTCGTTAAATATTTAGGAGTTTTTAGAAAAACTTTTCTACCTTAACTCGAGCATTGTCGCTTCTCCTGAGATTGCTTCGCAGGTGTTCAATTTACTTTTCACTTCATGTTAAGAACGTCACAATCTATCGTGAATTTTGATGAAAGTGTCAATGTAAAAAGCATTTCTCTAAGCGATACTTTTCTAAGTTTCAATTGTGTCATTATGCTGCATTTCAAAGTGGTTTTGTAAAAGCTTTTTTTCTTCTTTGTTTCAGTCAACGCATACGGCAACTGCCAAACTGTTGTGTTAAATCAAATTTCCTACACCAAAAAATTACATTTACTTGAACATTTATGTTTCGTGCAGTAAGTGAGAGTATTTCAAAAAATAAACCATAACGAAATTGTAATTAATGATGTCAAAAAAACCTCGAAATTAATAAAATGGCTTGGAAATTGAGTAATTAATTTAATAATTGATCAGAAAATGTTGCGCTCTCTCTAGATAACTACTTGCTAATGGAAAGCTTCTGTCTTCGTATTAACTTCAAAGTGAAATTCAGTATTTTGAAAGTTTAAACTATTAAATAATTCTTGAAATCTTATCACAATTCAAAGCTCTTTAACCCAAAGCTCCAAGTTGAGATCTTACTGTCGCTCAAGGGATTTTCTCATAAAATAAGCAATGCCATAACATTGTACGAATCGTCGACAATTCCACTTGAAAACGATATCGTCATAAAACGGTTTTATATGTTTCGCCATATTATGTACTTTGCACGATATTTTTTCTTTCTTTCTCTGCTTCTCTGTGGTGTGGAAATGCTGAAAGCATAAATTGTATAATTCGCTATTATTGGCACAATAAACAACAGAAATTGAATTAAAATTACGATAATTTCATATGTGATTTTCACACCTATCGATCCATTCGTTCTTCCGGATACAAATCGTAATGCGATAATCATAAAAATCAAATCAACTTGGGGATAAATGATGAAGATATCTAAAATGTTTCGATTCTCTGAAATATGTCGAAAATTGTCACAAAAATTAGATTTCATAAACCTAAGGCATAAAGAAGTGGGAGAAAGGTCAATTTAATGGACATGGATTGATAACGATACAAATATTTACCGAAGATATTGAACATTAACTCTCCGAGTTTGTTATGCTTCTTAATGTGAACAGGTTTTCATAGAATAATTCGGACTTCGAATATAAATTTTCCTTCACATTCCCCCTCAAGCTGATAGTAAAAGCATTTTGTTACATCTAACATCCAGATTTTCATGGTAATTCGCAATGAAAATGATGTAATAAATAGTTCCTTGATTAATGTCTCACACTTCTTCTTTCTTCATTCTACTTTCTTCTATCCACCCACCCACGCTCACCTATCTATGTATATAAAGCCTCTCAAATCCTTAACCTGCAATAAATTGAAAAGGATTTTTATTTTCGTCTACGGGTCGCGTTCATAAATCCCAATTACACTTTTTCCACTCATAAATTATCATTATCTATCTCTTTTTCTTTTCCACTTTCTCGTTCTGATGCTCAATTATGCAGAGAAAATCCAATAAATTACGATTTATGTTATTTTAAAATTATTCAAATCGAATAAATATTTTTTTTCTGTTCTGTTTTGCGGCATATCGCAAAAGAACCTAAATAAAAAAAAGAAGTTAACAGAATGTCTTTAAAGAAAGATGGAATTGAAAGTGACAATATGCCAGTTTTTATTCCTTTTTTTTCTGTTCGATACAAAACCATATAGAAAACAAAGAAAGGAGATAAAAGAGAATTTAGATTTAGAAGGAAAATTGTTTTTTTATTTGATCTTATTTATAGAGAAATTGATTTGAGGAATGTTTTTCACGCTTGATTGGAGACGAAAACGAAGAAGAAGAAGAATAAGAAGAAGCTTAGGTTTGTTGCTGTCTTGCCATAAATGTTTTATGCTTCTTACCAACATAAAAGAAGATGGCAAACGCTTTTGAAGACGACAAACAGTGAAATCAGAATTGCTGTTTCACTTTTATGTGGATGGGCTTTAAAGAACAAGAAAAAATCAAAAGAATCATCTAAGAGCTCAAGTTATACGAAATAAGAATTGATTTGGTAAACATTGTCGGCGTACATATATTCGTTTGTATGTAATACACGAGAAAAATCGTATTTTCCGTTGATGACGCTGTAAAATTTTTAACAATGTTTGCTCAACTCTTTGCTGCTTTCTCCGAATAAATATGTTTGTTTTATTTCCGTCATAAATGTTTAAATAATATTTTAAACGTCTTTGATATCAAATGTCGTCTTCTTCTTGTTGATGAGAGAAAGAAAGAAAAAAGAATTTTCACTATATTTTCAACAATCTCATAATTTTGCTCTTCTGATTCTGTCAATTCTTTTCCAATGTTTTTTTTCCCGCAGAGAATTTTCCTCACTTTATGAAACACTTTCATAAGAAATCTTTATCCAATATTACCCGAATAAATCATGTATGAGCACACAAAAGATAAATAACAAATTTTCACTTTACTGCCGCATTTCTCGATGATGGCATTGGAATCGGGAAAGGCTCACGCACAACCTACAAATCCAAATTGAATTGACATTTCGATTGTTTCATTCGATTTTCCCTTCCAACCCACAGCATGAATGCTGCCAGTCATAATTTTACACAATCGTACCCTTCCATTATATGAGCTTCGCTAAAAGAATCTAACGAAAAGAATGTAGAATTTTTTTTGTAAGTTTCCTTCTTTTTTATTTTTTATAGGCTCGCATGTCACGACAGAAATGCGAGTTTGTATGTTGAACAACAACATACTGTAAATATTTATGATGTTTGCCGCTGAAAGAATTTCAAAAGAAAATGTAGGCAGTGAAATTGTTTAATCTAAGTAATTCTTTTATGAGATATACAGCCTTTTTTTATTTCATAAAGCTGTTTAGCCAACGATTATGCACGTAATCTTGATATGCTTCTAAATATGATAAGAGCTGACCATGAGATTTATTATTATTATTCTCTTTCTCAACGTCATTCAGTCTTGTTAATATTTAATTAAAAAATATTACAATTCTAGAAATTTCAAAAAAGTAAATATCATGTTGAGAAACTTCCCTCCTTACCGCTTGTTTACATAATTTATTATTTATGCAGTCACAGATTGAAATTTTTATTTGAAAATATGCAACGAGATTAACTGCCATTGAACTTCATATCAAAAAAGAAAGAAAAAATATAACACAAACTTTTTTCCCAATCACTCAACTGAACGAACCTGTTCGAACGAAAAGAAATGTTGCAAATCTTATGTTCCAAGTCGGTGTTATGACTGATCGGAGAATGGTATAAAAAGCCAAAGTATTTGACTAATCTACATCAGTTCCATTTGATATTTCTAATTGAACATTTCAATCAATACTTAAAAGTATCTTAAAAATTTAAATCAAAATGAACAATCTTACAATTATCTTGGGATTAGCTTTGATTGCTGTCGTTGCAGCTCATGGCGGAGAGAGCTATGTGAAAAGATCAGATCATCATGGACATCATTCAGTTGTGAGTCATCATGAAGGTAAAGATGGCGGACATGGGGATGAAGGTCATGATGGAGGTCATCATGATTATTACCATCACCCAGCATACAAATTCGAATATGGAGTGAAAGATCCCCACACCAAGGATCACCACAGCCAATGGGAGCACAGAGATGGTGATGTCGTCAAGGGTGAATACACTTTGGATGAAGCTGATGGCACCAAACGTGTTGTCAAATACACTTCAGATAAGAAGTCTGGTTTCAATGCTGTCGTTGAGAAAATTGGACACGCTCAACATCCACATCATGAACACCATTAAAATTTATTTCAATTTATTGTGATACCAAAAAGTTGCCACATTTCCTTAAAACGTTAAATCGTTAATAAAAAAAATTCAATCGAATTGATTTAAAGTATTTGAAGTTTTTCTTTATGCCAATCTAATTTCACAATGCTTTGCGCAATCTGGAAATAATTTTTTAAAATAAAAAGAAATAAAAGAAATTAAGTAAGAGGAATTTTATCTACGCTTGCATGTTTCAAATGACTGTGAAGTGATGTGATGAAAGTATGAATGTGAGGCTTGTTCGATATAAATTTTTATCTCATTTTCATTACCAATATTCAGACGTAATGCTCTGGTTTTAAATATTTTGAGCTGAAAATATCATTAAAGTCAATATAATTGAGTGATCAACATGTTCATGAAATTATTTATTCTTTTGTGTCTTGTTTCTAACAAAGCTTTTTTGTGTGGTAAGTCTTGAAATAATTGCTATAAAAATTGTTTCTCTCAACATTATTTTGTTTATTTAAAGAGCCAATCGACTGTTCATCACTTGATTCAAATGATGCCAACATTCAACTTCGAAAAAAACTTTTATGTCATTATGAAAGCACCACAAGGCCAGGAGACCGCAAAGACCCACTCGAAGTTCAATTTGATATCATCTTGAAGAGTTTTTCATATGTAAATTTATGTCATTGATTCATTCAAAGCTCAATCTTATACCTAATAATTAACTTTCCTAGGATGACGATTCTTACAAATTGACTCTTAAGACGTACATCCAAATGACATGGAATGATAACAGACTTTCCTGGAAACCAGAAAATCATGGCGGTATCCTTGAAACTTACGCTCATGTTCATGATCTTTGGATTCCTGATGTAACAATTCACCATTCGTGAGTTTGACGATATCGAAATTGATTAATTATAATTCAGAATTTATAAAAGTTTTCAACTCTTGTTAGTGTATCGTTAGAGGGAATTGATTCCTGTGTCGAAACTGATTGTTTCATCCGATTTGATGGAGAAGTTCGATGCATGCATCCTTGTGAACATTCAACTTTATGTTTTCTTCCTGATTACTCTACATGGCCTGTTGATAATCATGTTTGTGTCATGATTTACTCAAGCATGTCCAAAAATGAAGAAAATCTGAAATATTCAAAACATTCAATAATCGTGGACGAAGAAATAATAAAAAGAAGTAGCGACTGGTTGTTACTGGAAGCATCAATTTATGAAGATGTCGATAGGGATTCAAAATCGATAATTGATAGACGTTCGTTTCTAAATGATTCCCGTTTAGCATTGTCAGCTTATATTTGGATCAAACGCAACAATGGAGACAAAATATTTCAAATTCTGATACCAGCAATTGTATTGATGATTGTCAATGCTTGTGTTGTAATCATACATCCGAAACATATTGAACGACTTATGCTGCTAATGATCAATTTGCTTTCACACCGAATTCTCCTTGAACAGTTGAGATGGATGTGAGTTAATCGAAAGATATTAATTAACATGAACTAAATTTGATACTTTCAGGCTTCCCCAATATGGTTATAGACCTCCAGCTGTTCTCATGTTTTTCATCTATTCAAAGTTTGTTACACTCTTCTTGATTTTTCAAACAATTTTCATGAAAATATTCCTCGAAAGTCAAGACAATCCAAATATTCTTATTAAAGATCTTGTACTGAAAATTAATTCAAAACTTTATAGAAAACCAACTCAAGAAAGCTCGGAACTGGAAGAAGAATCTCAAAAGGAAGAAAAGAACGAAGCTTTGGATAAATTAAAGGAAAATCATTTAATTCGTGAAAGTTTCCGATCCATCTCAGATACTTTTCTGTTTATCGGTTTGGTCATATTGTTCTTTTATATGCACGATAAATTTATTCCCCGTGGAATATATAAAATGAAAACGCCCCACAATACTGTGTTCGAAACTCTCTATTAATGTTATTATCACAACAGACTGCATGTCTTTATAGTTCAGTCTTAATTCGTTTTTCTAGGCGTAACATGTCTAACATAACAAGTATTCAGCTGATTTTATTATTCAATTTAATATTTCTTTCATCTACTTATGGTGAGATCATTAAATAAGAGATCAATTAAAATCTAGAAAACTTTACAATATTTTAATTATAATAATTAAATTTTCTTCTATTAATAAAAGCTTATTGCAATAAAGATACGAAAAATTTGGATTTAAAGCTCAAAAGTACTCTTCTCTGCGATTACGAAAAGGAATTACGCCCTCCATCAAACACAACATCGGTGGCATTGAAGTATATTCTTCGAAATTTCGATTATGTAAGCAGCACAAGATTTATTTTCTCTTCAATTCCTACTAATCTTATTGAATTTCCAAGGATGATATGTCTTACGTTTTAAACCTTCAATCAAGGATCATCCACAAGTGGAATGACACTCGACTCAAATGGGATCCCAAAGATCATGATGGAATCAATAAACTTTTAGTTTCTCCCGAGTATTTGTGGACACCGAAGCTCTTCTTAAATGACTCTCATTATCATTATGGACTTGGATCTTGTTATCCAATTGATTGTGTTGTGAGAAATGAAGGCCAAGTTTCGTGTATTTATCCATGTCATCAAACTGCCGATTGTTATGGAGATTTTGCCAATTGGCCTTATGATACTCATACTTGTTTTGTTGCTTTTAAAACATTTCTTTCTTATGAAGATGTAACTTTTGATTCAGAAAATCTTGGAGCAGTCATCTTCACTGATTTGAACAAGAAATGGGATATCATTGAAGCGAAAGCAGACATGAACGACACAAACAGAAAAAATATTAAATTTAAGTTTGTTATTCGACGTTTTAGTCAAACATATTTTCAACATGTATTAACTCCAGCCTACATTTTGGTAGCATTGACACTTTTCATATTTTTTATGCAGCCGGGTAGCTATTTAAGGACAATTATTTGTGGTGTAGATATTCATCTTCACCTAAGTTTGATGGACCGTGTTTGGTGGCAGTAAGTTTGATGAAAGAAATTTTAAAATATTTTGAAGTTACTTAAAACAATTTTTTAGAATCCCAACTCAAGGCGTCAACGTTCCACGGATTTTGAAGTACATGGCTTTCATGTTAATTCTGACAACTTTTGCTTTTATAGAGACGATTATAATAAAAGTTATTCTAGACATCTTTCCATCGCCTCCACAATGGATAAACAATTTTTCTAATTTTCTCGAGTCAAACATTTTAACGAAATACTTTGTAATGACATTTTTTGATGAAACAATCAAAACAACTGTAAAGGATTTAGAGGAAGAAATTGGCGACGTCACTCCTGATGAAATTAAAAGCAATAACTGGGCAACATTTTTCCATTTCATCGACAGAATTTGCTTCATTGCATGTTGCTTAGGTTATTGGTTTTATAGTTTATAGGAATTGTAATTGAAAACATAAATAATTATTAATTATACTTATAACTTAATGTTGGTAACTTCAAACATCAATACATTCGAAAATTATTTCTTGCAATCCTAAATATCTGCATAAACATTATAAGTTTAGATATGACAAACTGTAAACACGTTTGTTTAAATACATGCCAAATTATTTAATACAAACACTTTTGGTTCTAAAAACTGTTTCAAAAAACCTCGGAACTGGAAGAAGGATCTCAAAAAGAAGAAAAGAGCGAAGCTTTGGATAAATTAAAGGAAAATCATTTAATTCGTGAAAGTTTTCGATCCATCTCTGATACTTTTCTGTTTATCGGTTTGGTCATATTGTTCTTTTATTATTTTGAAATATATTACGTAGAAACGCCCCGCAATACTGTGTTCGAATCTCTCTATTAAAGTTATTATCACAACAGACTGCATGCCTTCATACATCAGTCTTCACTTGTCCTTTTTAATCTCGTTATTATCTTTTTTGGCAATCTTTTAGATGATGTTGTCCATTTTGCCAGCAACTACCCTCGTCTCAACTATGAGATCAATGTTTGAAAGTCATTATTCCTTAATTAGGATATGACGCAAAAATAAAGTAATGATTGATTCATCTGTATACAAAAACTTATTGGATAATTATTTTGAATATGGACAAAAATCAAGAAGCTTTCTGATCCTTCATAATTTACTTTTCATCAATTTCATTGTTGACATTATTATAATTTTTTGCTATCATATTGAAGAATAACCCGAAACCGATAAAATGTGGTGGAAAATAAAAAACTAAAAAACATTTTTCTTTTCTTTAAAAATATTTTCTTATTTATTTTCTTAATCAATAACGAGCCTCAGGGTTTAAGAGTCATTGCAACTGTTGATGGGTTTAGTGATGTCCATGATGTTCTTGATGTCCGTAATGTGCTGGATGATGAGCATGTCCAATTTTCTCAACGATAGCATTGAAACCAGATTTCTTATCTGAAGTGTATTTGACAACACGTTTGGTGCCATCAGCTTCATCCAAAGTGTATTCACCCTTGACGACATCACCATCTCTGTGCTCCCATTGGCTGTGGTGATCCTTGGTGTGGGGATCTTTCACTCCATATTCGAATTTGTATGCTGGGTGATGATAATAATCATGATGACCTCCATCATGACCTCCATCATGTCCACCATGGCCTCCATGGCCTCCATGACCGCCATCGTCACCTCCATGTCCACCATGGTGACTCACAACTGAATGATATCCATGATGATCTGATCTTTTCACATAGCTCTCTCCACCATGAGCTGCAGCGATTGTGACCAACGCTAATCCGAATGCAATAATTAAAATGTTCATAATGAAATTATTTACGTAAGTTGCTTAGAGCTGATGAAAATCAAAATATAGACTGTTATAAATATCGAATAGGGAACCGCTTTTTATACTTTAAAATTTGTGAATGCTTACTTTTGAATGTTTACTTTTTTATATATTTTCTACATTTTCTTAAATACATTTTCTTAAATGCGGTCGTTTGAGTAAAGCTTATTATGAAACATTTTATTTGAAGTTCATTGGCAATATTTTAAATTAATTAGTTAGAGTTGACTTTTACGACTGTCATGCATATGTCAAAACTGAATCAAAATCATTAAAATTGTAATAAAAATATCCTTAATTAAAATCAAGTTGTATTGGCAATCGATTTATATCGCAAGTTCTTCAAATATTATTGACTTGTTATTAACATAAAATTGTACACCTGGTCGAATGTTATCGTCATCGATATTTCCTTATTGACTTTCTTGACTCTCAATATGAATATTGTCAAAAGATCTTTAATAATTTCTTTAGTGAATTATTTTACTAACAATGCAATACTTTATGAGAGTCTACATCAATCGTAATTGACATAAATCTGAATTAACATAAATCTGAAAATTTCATGAAATTTTTTGATAATTCAAAAGTCACTTTCATGCATTTTAGATTAAACAGATAGATAACATATTTTTGAATACAGAATGGACGAAAAAAATGAAGGTGAACCATATAAATTTCTAATCGTGTGAAGTTCAGCTCACTAATTAGTTTAATTCGTTTTTTAAGTTTCCAAACTTATCTGGGAGAAAACTTGAATAAAGTTTCATAAACCAACAAAATAAAATTATGAGTTGCGACAGCTTTTAAAAATGAATGAAAAATTGTTCGATTACATACCGCAAACAAGTTTCCAATTGTCGTTCATGGTATAAAAGCTGCGTGAAATTATTCGGTGGATCAGTTATATTTTTGTGATTCATACGAAAGCATACGAAAAAAAGTAAAAAATGAAAACTTTAACAATTTTCTTGGGATTAGCGTTGATCGCTGCTGTGTATGCTGGTCATGCATCAAGCTACGTTTCCCATCATGACAGCTCAATTGGTGGATACTCTCATGGAGGTCATGATGGTGGTCATGACGACCATAAGGATTATTACCATCACCCATCATACAAATTCGAATATGGAGTTAAAGATGCAAAAACTGGTGACCACAAAAGCCAATGGGAGCACAGAGATGGCGATCACGTTAAAGGAGAATACACTTTGGATGAAGCTGATGGCACCAAACGTGTCGTCAAATATCATTCTGATGGAAAATCAGGTTTCCATGCTGAAGTTGAAAGAATCGGACACGCTCACCATCCAGCACATTACGGACATCATGAATCTCATCACCATTATTAAATAGAAAATTGTTGAATATTGAAGTCGTAGACAAATAAATAAACTTATGTTCTGTTGAAATCTGAAAAGTCTTGTTATTAATTATCTAAAAATTTACTTTTAATTTCAATAATTTAATCATTTAAAATGCTTTTTGGTGTTATGCAATTAATATTATTTCTATTAAAAGCTTTATTGATGAAAAAGTGAGATTTTCTGCACCTTCACTGAATTCATTCATTAATTTAACACCAAATTTAATTTTCCCTTTTCAATATCACTATAATTATAGATATAATTATAAAATACTGTTTGTGGATTCTTTTATTACAAATTAATTGAAACATTATACTTCCCATAGACATCGAACAATATTTTATTACTCATTTTTATGTTTTTTCATCATTTCACATTTTTGTTCATTAACCAAATCGAATTCGAAACAACTAAAAATATTTAAAATTGATGTCCATGATGTTCATAATGTTGTGGGTGATGGGCATGGCCAATCTTTTCTTCGACCGCATTGAATCCTGATTTATCGTCAGCATGATACTTAACAACGCGTTTGGTTCCATCGGCTTCGTCCAAAGTGTATTCCCCTTTAACGACATCACCGTCTCTATGTTCCCATTGGCTTTTGTGGTCACCAGTTTTTGAATCTTTTACACCGTATTCAAATTTGTATGATGGATGATGGTAATAGTCGTTATGTTCACCTCCATTATTTTCGTAGCCACCAGCTAAACCCCCACCGCTGCTGCTTAAATGTTGTACTGTTTGTAACACTATCGGTGCCGATTGATGATAAACTTGACCTTCTCCATGAGCCGTGGGATAATGTTGATGTTGAACATGATAACCTGTCGGAACTACACCAGCTGAACACAAAGCAATCAATGCAAAACAGAAAAATATCTGAAAGGATTTAAAAAGTTTTCTTATGACGGTTTTGTTCTAAGAAGAATTGTTCTTTATTTGTCTTACATTATAATTGTTCATTGTTACGTTATGTTCAAGCTGGAATACTCTTAAGAACTGATCTCTGAAGATACTTCTGTTTACTATTTATAGTGATCAAGTTTTCCATCCTCAAGTATCAAGTGTCTAAGTGCTGAAAATTACATCATACATACGCATGAAAACCATTGTAGCACAAGTAGAAGGAAATATTTTTAACGTGTTAAACATTTATTCGAATCTATTTGCATGTTGCGTCACACCTAAAAAAGTTTCTTCTTTCGTAGCTTTTTTCGACTCATGTTCTCTTTAAGCTAATGCAATACATTTTATAATTCAAATAATCTGTTCACACACTTTATGTTTGTATGCTTTAAATTGGTAAAAAAAAATAAATTACGCAAGCCAAACGGCCTTGAAAAAATGCAATTTTACAGTCGGTTGGAGAAAAGTGGTCTTAAAATTATTGGTTAAAATCAACGAATTCACGGCCATTGAAATCAATTAGATATAATGGTTTTTATGTCGATTAATTTCGCAAATATTTAATTGATGGTTGAATGAAATAAATCTTTGTTGATTTATGAACTGAAAGGAAATTACTCTGACTAATTGCTTAGAATGTTACATACTTTCAAATTATCTAAATATATTAAAATCTTCTTCACGTCTAGTGAAATATTGAGATGATCAACGTGATTAATTGGTACGTAAGCAGACGCTGTTTCGTAATTGTTAATGAAAAATTATTAAATTGTTTCACGCTTAATTACTTATCTAATGTTGTTTATCGGAAAACGCTGTCCTTGAGATTATGTGTGTGTGATATCTAAAGTTTATGCTGTCAACTTTTCAAACAGCTTTTTGTTCAGCACTATAAAAGAAGTAACTTTTTGTGTATTGATCATCAGTATTCTAACGATAGAACTCCATAATAGTTTAATCAGTTGAAATGAAAATATTAGCTGTCAGTTGGTTGTTCATTAAAATTAAAATTTATTTAATCGCAAATTTTTATTGACAGATTGTTTTTGCTATATCATGCACCTCTGCTGCTCAAAGTATTTTTTCACATGCTGGACTTAAGGCTAAAATTCAACATCTTTTGCATCATCATCACGATGACAACCATCAAAATCCTATAATTTCTCATAAATTTAATAAACATCAAGAACCCGAAAAGCCTGTTGATGAACATCATTACGATGATTATTATTCTTATCCTAAATACAAGTTCGAATATGGAGTGGAAGATCCACATACTGGTGACCATAAAAGTCATTGGGAAGTTCGTGATGGTGATGTAGTGAGAGGTGAATACTCTTTAGACGAACCTGATGGCACAATAAGAATTGTTCAATACACATCCGACAAGCATAATGGATTCAATGCGGTAGTAAAGAAAATCGGAAAAGCTTATCATCCTCATGCTTACTAGGCAAAATATTTTCGCCTTAAGTTTATGAAGTGAACAAATTTTGCAAAGAAAATTCATCAAGTTTCCATGTCTCTTAAATAACTTTCGTCTTGAATTTTAAATAATAAAAATTATAATCAGAATGAAATAATAAATCAAAAATCAAATTAAACCAATTTTGCATTTCGATGAAAATTTTATTCAAAAATAAATTTACGCAGCAATTAAAGCCAAGCGACTTATAAAATATGTAAGAAATTTAGTTATATGGCTTGGAATTTCAAAAGTAAAAAATAAATCATGTTAAATAGAGAGAAATGTTGTAAGATTAAACAAAGCATTTTCCAAAATAGCATTAAATATTTCTCACCAGAAATATTGTATAAATAGTTAAACGTTTGAAGAATTGACATCAGTTTAAATTTAGATTTCCAATTCAAAACATAGTAGAAAAAAATAATTTCTTAAAATGAACAATCTCACAATTATCTTGGGATTAGCATTGATTGCCTTCGCTGCAGCTCATGGTGGAGAGAGCTATGTGAAAAGATCAGATCATCATGGATATCATTCAGTTGTGAGTCACCATGGTGGACATGGAGGTGACGATGGCGGTCATGGAGGCCATGGTGGACATGATGGAGGTCATGATGGAGGTCATCATGATTATTACCATCACCCATCATACAAATTCGAATATGGAGTGAAAGATCCACACACCAAGGACCACCCGTCGGTTACCCTCGTGTCTCTACCACTACAGCAGTTCCCACTTATCACTTTGGATGAAGCTGATGGCACCAAACGTGTTGTCAAATACACTTCAGATAAGAAATCTGGTTTCAATGCTGTCGTTGAGAAAATTGGACACGCTCAGCATCCAGCACACTATGGACATCAAGAACATCATGGACATTACTAAAAACTAAGCCATCATTGTCTGAGTCAAAATACGATAAGCTTTGTGATATAAATTCATGGAAACGTTCCTTAAATGTTATTGTTGCTTATAATAATAAAAACAAATTCAAGAAATCATTTTATAATCAAATTTAATCTCAAGTGTACAAATTATTTATTATGAAATAGAAGTTTAGCTTCATTCAAACTGAGTCTTGCAGTGTCGGGAATAAAAAATATTAAAAGAAGAGTCGTAAGTATCAGATGTATCGACATTAGGATTAAAATCCAAAAGAAAGATATTAATGGATAAAAGAAGTATAAAACCAGAAGCACTTGGACTGACAATTCAATAAGAAACGTATGAGCCATTAACAAAGGTTTCTTAGTTAGAGAAAAACATTCGGTTGAGTAAATATCAGCATGAATACCAACACCAAGTGCACTAAGGAATTGAAACAAAAATGCCAGTGTGATCATGAGTGTTTCATTTGACGTCATTTCATTCAGAATATCAAAGACTGTCAGTGTTACTAATGTAAGAAATGAAAAGCTAATCGAAACAAAAGCTAAAGTTTTTCGAAAACAGTCGAAGAAAATCGAAATTACGAGCAAAGTTGAAAGTCTTACAGCAATAAGTGATACTGCTGATGGGTCAATCTCACCCGAATCTATTGTTGTAAAGATCGAACTTAACCAGACTAAGTTTAATGGCATATTGAAACTGCATACAAAAGCTACACGTAAAATTATCATCCATGTCAATGATTGAATATTTTTCTTCTCAAACATCTCATCCCTTGTTGTAAAATCTTCTCCGAACATTTTGTGAATATCTTCAAGGTCATTTCTAGTTTCATCGCTTAATTCATCTTCATTTCTTAGTTTCATCATTATTGTTTGAGCTTTTTGGCTTTGCTGTTTTCTTATGAAATAAACTGGCGATTCTATGTGAAGGAAATACAACAAAATTAATCCACCAAGAGTCAGTACAATTCCAATTATTCCAGTAATTAAGTTGAAATTAATTTGATAAGTTCCAACAGCAAATCTTTGCATATTCGATAGCGAAGCTATGAAGACGCCAATGAAAATACTGATTTGAATTGAAGACACGATCATTCCTCTTAATTTTGGTGTACAAATTTCTCCAGCATGAACAAGAACTGATATAAAGCTAATTCCATGAGATATTCCAGCTATGATGCGTGCAACGAGAATCATTGTAGCCCAGTTTGAGAAAATTATAAAGAAACAACTGCTGATCATCATTAGAGAGTAGCCAATGATCTTGAAAGAGAAATAAAAAGAAAATGGCAAAGAAAATTTAAAAATAGAACTTACATAAATTTTGATCTTTCTGATATTTTCGACCAGTTTAGCTCCAAGATAGGCAGCTACGGCTGCAGCAATGAACCATGAAGCGACCAACCAGAATAACCAGAGTCTTGAAAGTGTCGGCATAAATGCATTGGAAAATTCATCTTCATATTGAATATTATAATTGAAGATTCCCCAAGCTAACATCTGACCACTATATATCATAATGACAAGACCACCACTCAATGCGCTTGCTTGCTGTTTGTTCCTTAGCATGTAATGAAACCAGTCTGAAAAAGTTTCCGGATTTGTATTTGCATTCATAATAATTATTTACTTCACTTTGAATCTCTGTAAAGATTGAAAGAAGCTGAACAACTAAAAATTTGTAGTGAATGAAATTTTTATTTTCTTTATCTTATCAGAAATCTAGAAAATACATGAATGATGATGACACATATCGATACACTTAAAAAACCTTATCGCATTCTGCAATGATTTTATTGGAACTGTTATCTTCATAAATTAAGATTAGTCGATATGCAGAATGATATAAAATGTTAGTGAACTCAAACTTATGACGTAACTAAAAACAGTTACATAAACACTTTCATTATTTCCTAGTAATGATGATGAGATTCTTGTTTGTAGTGTTCTGGGTGGTGGGCGTGACCGATTCTTTCAACCTCAGCGTGGAAACCTGATTTTCCATCAGCGTGATATTTGACGAGACGTTTGGTGCCATCAGCTTCATCCAAGCTGTATTCTCCTTTAACGTGATCGCCATCTCTGTGCTCCCATTGGCTGGGGGGGGCTTTAGTGTGTGGATCTTTAACTCCATATTCGAATTTGTATGATGGGTGATGGTAATAATCCTTATGATCATCATGACCGCCATCATGACCGCCATGAGAGTATCCACCTACTGAACTATCATGTTGAGAAACGTAGCTTGATGCATGACCAGCATATACAGCAGCGATCAATGCTAATCCCAAGAAAATTGTTAAAGTTTTCATTTTCTGAACTTTTTCTGAACTTTTTTTTACTATGCTTTCGTATGAATCTCAAAACTGCAACTGATTCACCGAATAATTTCTCGCAGCTTTTATACCATGAACGACAATTGGAAACTTGTTTGCGGTATGTAATCGAACAATTTTTCATTCACTAATAAAAGCTGTCGCAACTCATAATTTTGTTTTGTTGGTTTATGAAACTATATTCAAGTTTTCTCCCAGATAAGTTTGGAAACTTCAAATACAAACTAAACTAATTAACTGTCAACATCACACGTTTGGAAAATTTATATGGTTCATTTTAATGCGAGCCAATAAATTTTCTAATCCAAAGTTCCAAAATATGTTTTCAATAAATGCATGCTGCAGTGTGACACTTCGACACTAAATGTTCTTCTTTGATGTGATATTTTATATTCTGAAATTAAATTCACCAAACACTGCTAGTGAAGAGGTCTCAAATTCACACATCATATCACTATTGTTTCATTAAAAGCAGTCACTCATTGTAATGTTGAAATGAAAATGGTAAAGAAAGTGAAAAATCGATTTTGAAGTCAAGGTGGATACGGTAATGAACATGCTGGCGGTTATGTTGATAGCCAAAGGAATTACTAAATACTTCTTAAATACAAACTTGAAAATTACTTCAATATCACAATTAATGATGCTCGCAAGATTATTTGATGACGAGAGCTTAGAAATTTCAATCTTAAAAGATGCATTAGAACATTTGAGTTGAAAAATTATCTGACTAATAAGATTGTTCATGTACATAAACTTTCATTTCATTCATTCTTTCAAACAACTATTTACACATTTTTCGATTTAAATTAAATTGTAATTGAAACTCACATAAAAAATCAACGATTATTTTTTTATTCAATAAAGCGTGAACATAAATCAATTCGTTTCATGTATTTATTTTCTTTGAAACAAATTTTATTAAGACACATGATTTAGAAATTGTTTGCATAAAACATGAATTTGCCATTGAACTTCAAACAAAAACTTGACTAAAATTGTTTTAAAATATATTTTTAAAGTATGTTCAAAAGTGTCCAATGAAGCATATCGAGAAGACATGTTGCAATGTTATGCAAAGATACTTCAACGAAGAGAAAAACTAAATAAATGAAGTATAAATAGTGAAACGATTGGATAACAAACATCAGTATCGATTTACATTTTCAATATAACACTTAAGTGAAATTATAAATTGTCGTCAACATGAACAACCTTACAATTATCTTGGGATTTGCTTTGATTGCTGCTGCTGCAGCTCATGGTGCAGAAAGTTATGTCAAAAGAACAGATCATCATGGACATCACTCAGTTGTCAGTCATCATGGAGCTGGTCATGGAGGTTACGGTGGTCATGATGGAGGTCATGGAGGTCATCATGATTATTACCATCACCCATCATACAAATTCGAATATGGAGTGAAAGATCCACACACCAAGGATCACCACAGCCAATGGGAGCACAGAGATGGTGATGTCGTCAAGGGTGAATACACTTTGGATGAAGCTGATGGCACCAAACGTGTTGTCAAATACACTTCAGATAAGAAAACAGGTTTCCACGCAATTGTTGAAAGAATCGGACACGCTCATCACCCTGAACACTACGGACATCATGGACATCATTAAAAACTATATAAAAGCTGTGATACGAGAATTGCCAAATGTTATGAAGTTTAATATAATAAAAGTTGTTGATTTTTGATAAAATTTTACTGTCATATTTATACTCCACTACATTTGACCATCCATCAATCTATAATTAGTAAATCCGCTTTATGTCTTAAATTTGAATATTTAATGGGAAAATTTTTCAATCAATCACATTGCACATTAATGAATGAAATAGGAAAAAAAGTGATAAATAATTCCATTTAATCCCAATAAGAAAACTATGTGAATGTTAATATGCTCTTTCAATTTATGTTTTCAAAACATGACTCAAAAAAGTTACAAATTAAATCAAACATTCAGAAGAATCAGTTCAAATTATGTGCAAGAAGATGCAGGAAGAATTTGTTTATGGCTTCATGGAGATGTTGAATAATATTAATAAATTATTTAATTCCGGTATTGCCATTTCTATAAAGTTAACAAGATTAAATCTATTGATTTGATAAATATTATTATCACACAATTCAGTGTCAGTGCAATTAAAGCGTTTATTGCCATTAGACGTCTGACGATGATGACGATGGAAGAAATTCTTCAACAGATTTCAATCATTTTCCATAATTTAAGAATAAATTTCACTTCAATTCTCAAATTGCGTAATTGTTTTTTAAGAAAGAAATTAAAGTTTCACAAAATCAAACTTAAAACAAAAGAAGAAATTGTAGCAATTGAGGAAATTGAAGAAAATTATAAAAAACTAAAGATGACTTGAGATACTCAACATTTCTTTGTTATGTAAATGAGTTTAAATATAAAAGTATGTTGTAATATGATACATTTTGTTGTTGTTTAGATTTTATTAATAGTAAGCCGACAAAATGTTTTCCAGTTTTTCAATAAAAGAAATTCCCACGTAAACATTACACAAGCGTGTGTCGAGTGCATCATTAGTATTGAAGTATGCAATTGCAATTATAACGTTGTTGCAAAGAAAGAGAATCAAAACAAAGTGGGAAAGTTAAAAACAAAACAAAAACCGGTATATAAAGTGGTGCGATTCAATTTATGACCATAATCAACTATAAAACGTCTAAGTAGATTCGAATAAACACAACATATTAGCTTTCTTCGCAATGAATACGCTCAAAGTAGGAAGTTAAGTTTAAACTAAGAAATTAAATTATTCACGATAAAATATTTCCTTTCAGATCTCTATTGGCTTTGCTTTAGTTGCTCTCGCATCAGCCGGTGCTCAAAGTTATGTGAAAAGATCGGAAAGTAATGATGGATATGTGATAAGTGCCGGTGAGGGCGATCATCATGATGAACATAATGATTATTATCACCACCCATCATACAAGTTCGAATATGGAGTGCATGATCCACATACTGGTGATCACAAAAGTCATTGGGAACATCGTGAAGGCGATCATGTCACAGGAGAATACAGTTTAGATGAAGCTGATGGCACAAAGCGCGTCGTTGAGTACCATGCTGATGGGAAGACGGGATTCCATGCAAATGTTAAACGAATTGGTCACGCACATCACACTGGTTATGAACATGGAGGTTTCGAATAAAAATGAACAAATCAAACATTGTGATATTGAATAACCAAAAAAATTAAAGAAACTACGACTGCAATAAAACAACGCACTTATTTCAAAAGCTTTAAACATAACTCTTTTCATTATCTTATTGTATCCATCTCGACACGATATTGAAACTTGAAATTTCAAAAGTGTATCAATGTCGCAGGAGGTAATAATTTAATTGCATTGAGAAACATAAATATTTCAATTGATTACCGGTTTTATTTTTCATTTTCGTATGCGGTCATTATCAAAACATAATAAGTTCATTTAACATAGTTGTCAGTTCAATTTCGATCAATCTAATAAAGGTGTTGGCCAGTAGCATAAATTTGATTGTATCCATTGGCGTAACCTTGATGGTATGGTTGTTGGTGATAGACTTGTGGATGATGAGCATGTCCAATCTTCTTAACGACTGCATTGAATCCATTATGCTTGTCGGATGTGTATTGAACAACTCGTTTTGTTCCGTCAGCTTCATCTAAAGAGTATTCACCTTTCACTACATCTCCATCACGAACTTCCCATTGACTTTTATGGTCACCAGTATGTGGATCTTTCACTCCATATTCGAACTTGTATTTGGGATAAGAATAATAATCTTGATATCCACCAGCATATCCACCACCATAACCGCCTTGACTTCCATATCCAGAATATCCAGAGTGCCCTGATTGAATTGGTACATAACTTTGTTGAATTGGAACAGCTTGATGATGATGAATTAAAGGTTGAATGGGTTGAGAAATCAGAAGAGGTGCTTGATGATAATTGCTTTGCACATTGTCGTATCTCTTTACATAACTAGTAGCTGCATATGCGCTTGCAGCAGCGATGAAAGTAAAGGTGAAAATAATCTAAGTAGGAAATTAAATTTATTTATCGTAATTATAAAATCGCAATGAAATTAGTTTATCAAATTGCTTACGCTTTTGAAATTCATATTTTTGGTTGTTGTTACTTAATTGCAGTCGAAAAGCTAACTGATGGATGTTGACTGGAATTTGCTATTTATACAGATAAATCATTAACAGTTTAGGTCAATGAAGCCCCCAAAATGTGTTCGCATTCTTCATTAAACTTATAATCCAATACATATCTGACATTGAAAATACTTGAAATTTTCACTTTTCTGCGTGAAAATCATTTCAATGAAGCTGTTAACACGCTCTTGAAGTTAATACGCGTTGGTCGTGAAAACTTCGGAACGATCATAAAAGGTTTAACTCGCTCATAAACTGAGAAAACTTTGCTTTGGATACTCAATGAAGCTTTTAATGAATACCAGCCAAAAGTTTTTTCTTTCAAAGTTATCTTACCGAAGCCATTCAATGCTTTTTCATTGACAAAATAAAGACATAAAAAATATGAAAAACTTCGTTTAAACAAAAACGTTATTGTTGCTCATAATAAATAATTGGATAATAAAATTATTGATAGTTTTTTTACTTAAAACTTTTAAGTTAAAGTGTTTCAAATCATTCAATATCATTATTAATCCAATACGTATAAACATCGTGGTTATAACATTGTTAAGCAACACGGCATGTAATCACTGACCTAGTGCAATGTAAATTATGTCTACACCTGTTTTTTTCTCATGGGAATCAATTTTTAATCATCATTTTCTCATCTTGTTTTCTTTCTTCTCTTCCTTTGTATTGGACAATTAAAGTCGCTTAGAGAACTCGGTATTTGAATTATAAAACTCTTCGAGAAGTCACGTAAATGAATATTTCTAATGTGTATTTAGTTATTTACGTGCATACGCGCATATCTTATGCAGTTTACTTTCTTTTCCCGATTAATTTTTTAATTATTTCATATTTACGCTTCAATTACATAGCATTTCTCACAATGTTGTCAATACAACATTTTTCCTAGTACGTGAACAATTTTTTTTCTAAATTCTATACGTGGACATGTCAATTCTCTTATCTTACCTAGATATCAATTAAAAGTAGACAAATGAAAACACAATAAAACATTTGACATACATTTACGAATGTCTAAATTTATTATAAGAACATTGTCACGGAAGTCTCAGTCGTTTTAAAAAATTGATAAAGTGAAGAGTGGTCAATATTTCATAATGCAAATAAAACGTCCAACAATTAGAAGTTATAAAAAAATCATACATTCTGTGTCATTAGTTGCAATTTGTTTAGTGTTGTTCCTAAAAACACGTGACGCTATATTTTCAGATAATTTGACTGAAGACAATTCGCATTCGAAAGCAAGTGAGATGTTTAATGAAATTGTGGCAAATACCTATTTCTTCAAGTTTTCATTTAAATGTTTATAAACTTCTAGAATCGTCTATTGAATGTGAAATCTTTCCTGAAAGTCTCACAATACATTATGAAAATGATTTTTGGCAACACTATATGACTTCTGATGGAAACATTAAATTATTCAAAGCATATTACGATGAGAGAAGCTACACAAAATATTCACCAAAAATTCGAATTATTGCAATGATAAATCGCATCAAACCTTCAATGAAAATATTTTGTCAATTATTTTATGAAGGAATGAAAAGTCCCATTGTGACTGATGTTAAAGAATATCGAATGATGTGGGATAGTCATTGGGAAAATAACACAATTGGATATGTTCCATATCTGATATCTTGTGATAATCAAATTCATTATAAAGTTCCGGTTTCTGTTTCTCTTGTGGAAAATCGCTGTGATAATCCAAACAATAACTTAGATGTAATAAACAGAAAGCTTTCCAACGAATTCAAAGAACCTTTTGCTGTTTGTGTTAAACCATTAGATTTCGAAGAAGATAATTCATCACAGCTTATTGAATGGATTGAAATTCTATCGATTCTTGGAGCAAGTAAAATTTTTGTTTATGTTGTTCAGATTCATCCTGCAATGATGAAAGTATTGAAATTTTATGAGAAGTTGGATAAAGTTAAAATAGAAATGACAGGAGATCCTGAAGGTTTACCTGACAAGAACACAAGCTTGACGCAATGGCTGCAGAACCAAATGATATCAATTAATGATTGTTTATATCAGCACATGAATGAATTCGACTTTTTGACGCCATTAGATTTAGACGAAATCATTATGCCTGTGAGAAGCAATGATTACACTTGGAGGGAGATGCTGATTCACATTAATGACGATGCTGCTGAACAATCTATAGATCTTGTAGAGTTCCCTCCCACTTATTTATTTGACAACGTTTTCTTTCTCACTGACAATATTCGGGCTCATGAGATTCAACACGATGTTCCACAAGAATTCTTTTTCCTTCAACTCGTTTATCGTGCTAGAAATTTCTCTAAATTTGGACATGGTACAAAAAGTTTTCACAACACAGATGAAGTCATCATAATTCACAATCATTTACCCATCAGTTGTGTCAATGAAGATTTTTGTAAACATTTTAAAGTGTCAGTAAATGATGGACGTGTTCAACATTATCGCACTGATTGTGAAAATTATCCAAAATCAGAATGTGAGAGTTTCAAGAATGAAGTTGTCAAAGATTTAACATTGTGGAAGTATAAAAATCAAATTATCTACCGTGTAAAAAAAATTAAAGAAGAAATTGGATATTTTGAGTAAATAAATGAAACTGAATTTAAAAAGGTATCAATGTTCATGGAGTTAAAGTTCTTTAAATGAATTTATTCTTGTCGTATTCATCCAAAAGTTAAAATATATTCCACACGCACACAGATATTATCCATTGTTCAAAGCTCTAGTGACTTAAAGAAAGAACAGAAAAACTTTTCTTCTCAAAGTTCATGTTCACATGAGAGCAAAAAATGATGAACTTGAATGGTTGTTTCTAAACTTTGTTTTATTATTCACTCAAGCGAGAGTGTTCTTTGTGGTGTTGTATTTTGATTTTCTAAATCACTGAAAGAAAAGTTGGCGAAGGAAAAGCGAAACATTTCTGGAATTATGCGGAGAAGTTTTTGAAAAGTTTTGTTTTCTTTATTAAGTCACAAATCACAACTTGAAATGAGTTTGAAGCTGAGATAAGTAGAAAGGAAAGTTATTAATCAACAACAATGTTGTAGGGATAGAGTTGTGTGTTTTGATTGCTTAAATTAATGCGGAAGATGAAGAATTACAGTAATATCATCAATTGTTCAGCACGCATGAAATATCGTAATATGTTATCAGCTTCAGCATACTGCAAGGCAAAATAAATTGATAACAGTTTCGCAACGAACGTGACAAAATATTATTATTGTTTGACATAATTGTTGTTCCGAGTACGCTTGGATGTTAGATATCAAATACAATTTGTTGTTTCGATTGCGGTTTCCGTCTAAGCATTGATTCTATGAAAACCACACATGCAAATCTGCTCGCTGCTTTTCACATTTAAGGCTTATCTTGAAATTGCTGACTAATCCGATTAAGAGATTTCTGATAAAAGTGAACTCAATTTGGCATATATTTTATGATGATAAAACTTTTTTTTCTCTCTCTCTCTTCCCGTTCGCATCATCCACCGAAAAGTTTCAACATGCATGAGAATTTTTAAGGTTTTAGTGAAAAATGGATTGTGATGACAACAAGAAAAAAGCTTTTGAGTGTTATCTGAAAAATGATTTGAATTTTTTTTTGTTCCTTCCTTTGTTCCGTTGCTGTATACGAAAAGAGAGAAAGGATCTTGTGATGACGATGATGTATAACTTTTTTTGACATGCTCATGATTCATTTTTTTGACCTTTTACTTTCGACTTTTTCGATAACTTGTGGAGGTGCGCAATGACATTGAATAAACAAATCAATTTGAAATTCATTTTTCATCCTCGTGTAATTTGAATTTCACTTGAATTATGTAAGGAAAAAGAATAATGCTTTGATTAAAATTTGATTGTGTTTGATAATAAAAGTTATACATTGTGGAAAACAATTCTTTTCGAATCCATGTAGAATTAGATTATATCATATCGTATTTGTTTTCGTCGAAAGCACACTGCACGCCTTTCCAATTAGTACAATGTACATATGCTATGTTGTTAATGTTTGTCAAGACTTTTATAACAGAGTAAAAAGAGAGATAAGAGGTGCATATTTGGCAAATTTTTAAGATAAATCATGGAAATATGATGAATTAATACTAAACGTATGAAAATAACAAAGCATTGGAGTTCAAAGATAAGCAAGAAATTGAAGTAAAAGTAAAACCGGTGATATTTTGGAGAAAATTTGCATTTTAAAAATTCAATATGGCAGTAAAATGTAAAAAATGTGAGAAGTTCTACAAAAACAAAGAAGGAGCCAATTGTTTCATTTGTGGAGTAAATAAGCACATGGAATGTGACGTCATGTTTCATAGTAGCAAAGCAAAACATCCTTTCACTTGCGATATGACTTTGTTGGCAATTCAGAATAATCATCTGTTTTTCATTTGCGAATCATGTCAAGATGCTAAGACTAATCCTAAGTCAAATAGTGTGGAGTATGTTAATAACGAATTAACACAAAAATTAAATGAGATTTTAAAAAAAGTTTTACAACTTGAAGAAAAAATTGAAGAGAAAGGAGTCAACACAAAAGGAGAAAAAATCGAGTCAACACAAATGTCGTACGCGAAGGTCGTCAAAATTGATTTAAAAAACGGAAGATCTAGTAAAAATATAAATGCGATGGAAAAAGTAAGAAATTCAATTGATCCTCAAAAACTGCAAGCATCAGATATGCGATCAACACCTAATGGCGGAGTAACATTCAAGTGTCAGGTAGAAAAAGAACAAGACATAGAAGCCGAAATCAAAAAGAAGCTAGGAAGTAATTTCGACGTTAAAATAAATGAACAAAGAAAACCGTCTTTGAGAATTTATGGATTATATGACGATAAAAACCTCAGCTCTCAAACATTAGAAGATATGATACGCACTCAAAATTCTTCATTAATTCAAAAAACTAATTCTTTGTATGTGAAAAAAGTTACTGGAAGGAAGAATAATACAAACGTGAAGACAATATGGATTGATTGTGATGTAGATGTCTATAGGAACCTTACGCAAGCAAAAGCAATTAATATTGGTTGGAGTCGATGTAACGTTGTGGATGGAATAAATCCTATGAGATGCTATAAATGCAGCAGATACGCACATAATTAAGAAATGTACAATTAATGTACAAATTAAGAAATAAAACTTAAACAAACAAACAAACAAACATAAGGGGTCTGTTTGCAATAAACCTGAAGAATGCTGCCCGAAGTGTTCTAAAAATCATCTTTTAACAAATCATAATGATGAAATTCATGGAGAGGAGAAGAAATGTATAAATTGTCTGGATGCAAACGAGAAGTTTAATTTAAAAATGGACACAAACCATGCTGTGTGGGATAAAACCTGCAAAATCTATCAACTGAAACATAGAAAACTTATGAATTCTATTATTCCAGAAAATTAATTTCTTTGATTTTGTTATATAAAGAGTTTTTTCAAACTTAAATTGTTTGTAAATCAATGAAAACCGAAACCAATTAATAATTGGTAAATAAAACATTACATTACATTAAAAATGAGATTTCGCTCGAATTAGCAGAAAATGTTGAATTTTTAATTCAATTATTAAATATGCAATTTTGAGAAAAGGNGTGGATACATTTTCAAAGGAAAAATTTAACAAATTATTGTTATTAGACTTGTAAGAAAAGTCGTTTGATGTTTGTGGAGAAAAAGCTTTCGTGTAATAATCGTTAAAAACTTCAGATGGAAAACTTGCAGGTAAGTTCATTTTACTTTTTGTTACGCCATGGTTTTTTAGATTTGTCCATAAAGATTTTGATGGTAATTCCAAAGAAAATTTATTTCGGTAGAAGTTTGTTTTTAATTTCCTTTTCATCGTTGTAACTTTATTTCTAAACTTACAATAATTCGAGCGATAGAAAAGCTTTCGTTCTCTATCTAATTCATGATTGCTTAAATGATGATAATAATTTCGGCAGTTGATTAAGTTTATCAAACTATGATTATGTAAGATAGAGTCATAATTTTTGAAAAAGGAAATTTTTTTAACAGGTACTACTTGTGACATTAATTCATTTATAAAATTATTTATTAATTTAATTTGGTCATCAATCGCAGAAAGCTTATATAATTCATCCCAATTTTGTAACGATATTGCTTGTAGCAAGAGATTTTCATCTACATTTTTGTAGTCAAGATAAGTTTTGACAATATCGTTGTTGCATGTTTCTAAAGAGAAATTATAAGATCCGATAAGCAGGTCATGGGTTGTGTAACTGCCAGGAGACATTTGCGTGAAACGATTTAATAAGTTTTGGTTACAAAATATTAAGTCAATTAAACTTGGGTTTGCTATATTTGAAAAATTCGTTGGTTCCGATTGATGACATTCTAAACCAAACATAGAAAACTCGTGAAGCAGTCGCTTTGTTGAAGGTGATTGATTTAACATGTTAGAGTTGAAATCACCAACGATTAAAATATCAGACCTAGTTGACATTAAATTGTTTATTGAATTGAGAAGGGGTTGAAAATTTGATGTGTTTGGTGGATTATACACAACACCAAAGATGAGTTTTTGATTATTCATTCCACTCAGTTCAAGGAACATAAACTCAGTTAAACCGTTATGTCTGCTTTTTGATACAACTTTTGCCTTAATGTTGTCTTTTACATAAAACGCAATTCCACCCCCACGACAGCGAGATAAATTATTTCGATCATGACGATACAATGAGAAGCCTGGAATATTTAACGCATTGGAGTTGTGATGTGGTTTGAACCAGGTTTCAGACACAGCAATTATGTGAACGTTCACGTTTTTTATAAGTATTCGAAAATCATCCAAATTCTTTTTCATACTACCCGGATTAAGATGTATGAAATTTAAATTAGAGAAAGTAGAAAATGCTGATTTTAAAACAATGTTTCTTATGTTCAGGGAGTCACCTTTTGAACCTAGAGAGTTAAATGTTAACAATCAACATGACCCTTGCGATATCAACATATCTTATGTTATCAAATCTCGCAAACAGACCAGCATAAATAGTTGCATAAGGTTTAGATAGGGAAGGGATAAGAGAAAGAAAGCAGATTAAAGTACTCACCACTAAGAATCCATTAATACATTTAAATAAACATTGGGTTGTAATATTTTGTTTTTGCAGAAACTCGATTTTATGAATTACAATCCAAACTAAAAATAAAATATAAGCCTCAATGAAAAAATAATTCAAGAAAAGGAAAAGAAAAAATTTATTTGTAGGTTGACTTTCCGTTGTTGTCGTTGCTACTTTCAAGCTTCCATGGTTTGCTTTGTGTTACTTCCAAACTCTTTCTGTAGGGCCGCCAAAGAATCGAACGCTCGAAATGGTGACGCATCATCTTTCTTGATCATAACGAAGCCGTGCGATACTCGAATTTTTGAGATTGAACCATCCTTCTTAAATTTGATTGCCGCTTTGTGAATGTCATAAAAGGTTTTGCACAAATCGTTTGAGAGAAAACAGCGAGCTGTGGAGTCACCATTTTTAAGCAGTGTTTTAACTGTAACTGCTTTGGGGTTGGCTAAGTATCGGTTCAAGAATTCTTCCTTATAGTAGTAGGTTGGAAAACGAATTATTATAGTGGAATTCGTTTCTTTCTTCATCCGATAGGCGAGAAATTCAGGTGAGTCTCGATATCCAATTGCACTCGACAAGGAATTGATGACATTTTTGACATTCTCTCCTTTGACAAAAGGCAGACCATCCAAACGCAGATTACAAATTCTTTTGTTCGTTTCGATGATGTCATCAATTCTTTTCTCTCCACTCTCAACACGTGAATTCATTCTTTTGACTTTGGTATCCATCAACTTCAATTGGGGCTGGAAAAGATCTGTCAGTTCCCTTGATAATTTAATCATTGCTATATCTATTGAAGCAGTGAAACTTTCTTGAAGGATTTTAGTGATTTCCAAAATCAAAGCCTTTCTCTCTGCCGCATTCATGTTAACACAATGGTGGCGCTTATTAACTTAAATTTCAGTGTTTGCAGGCAGAAATTGGAGAAACCTTTTAAGTATCTGTAGAGTGGTGCTGATGTTCGACAGAAACAGGCAATTTTAAAGTCTGGCCTTACTTAAATTACTTTTAAATTCACAAAAATTCACGGAGCTCAAAAATTTTGCGTCTATTCGCTACTCATTCTCTCAGAGAGATTTCATGTTACATGTATACGATACAACAATTACAAACAGTTCTGAAAATATTGTTTATTTAAATGAGATTTCGCTCGAATTAGCAGAAAATGTTGAATTTTTAATTCAATTATTAAATATGCAATTTTGAGAAAAGGGCAGCGTAATGGAAGTTTGCAAAGCCAACATACAATAATCGGATGAAACATAAAAAGGATGAATGAAAGCTTTTAATCTTAAAAGTCAGAAGCAAAAAGTTAATTGGTTTATCAATTAAAAAAAATCCATTTCCGCTTGATTCTCTCGCTATTTTCTATGCAAATATCAAACACAAAATAATTTAACATAAAACACATAAATAAAACAATAAAAAGCTTGATGCTAATAATTTGTGAAGTTCCACCATCAGTAAACAACGAAAATATTTCATTCAGCTGAGCTTCAAAAGTCGTTTCTTTGTTTTTGTCTTTTTCTTTTTGTTTCCGAAATGGAAATTACGAAATCCGATTACATTCAGAGCCCTTAAGAAAATAAAAACCGGGAAGAAAAGTTGAAACTCACTCAGTTGGTGCAAAAGTGAAAAGAAGAAGGAGAAAAGCGAAGCATCATCACGGAAGAGCGACATCATTCGGTTTCACCGTACGCTTTTATGCCTTCTCGTTTTCCATCGTTTTAAATACGGTCCCACAAACAGAATCGCATTATATGTAGTAGAAATATGAATCAGGGTTTAGATTACTTCAACGATAATCATGTCAACTTTGCTTGATATTTCCAAAAGCTTTCTTTAAACCTTTTGTTTTATACTTCCAAATTTCATATGATTTTCGATGGTAAACTGCATTCATTATTTTTCCAAGTAAATCATCATCCTATCCCTGCTAAAATGTACATGAAAAGATATTTTTACTAAATACAATATTTTGTTTCTTACATCCGTCGTACCTTTGTTCAGTGTAAGCTTAAAGTGAAAGGCATTTCCAAGCGTGAAACATGGAAAATTACAAATATCTTTATACGAGCGTGGAAGATTTATTAAAACAAATTTATTATGTCAGACATCGTTCTTTATTTCTCGCTTTTGCTTACCTTCCCTCAGGTAGTTTCATTAGTTTTTTTTTCTCTTTTCCTTCTCTCATTTCCTTCATCGGCGTGTAAACTTTTTCTCGTTGTTTTTATTCGTCTTCTACTGTTTTTGTGTGCTTTACTATGTTTTGTTTATAGAATTATGTCGTGTAAGGTAAAAAGCGAAATCTTTGTATCTCTTTCCTTTTATTTGCTTGCCTTCAGCTTTGCTAAAATATTTACAAGACATATTGAATGGCTTTGTATTTGTGTCCCTTTGCTTGCTATCCTTACACAAACGTGTTGAGAATCTTCTTTCATTTGATCCTTAAAAGAATCTAAAGTATATTCATTCACAAATGTTTCATTTTTCCTCGTCTTCTTCTCATCCTTAACAGTGTTTCAAACAACCAAATAAATAGAAGCAATAAGAGGCAGATTCCCAAAAAAAGGTAAATGATGTTTGTCCACCCAAATTAAACTTTTTGCAGACTATTCAACATTCCGTTGTTGGTTCAACTAAAAGCTTAAATCGAATGTGAGCATACCGGAAGCAGTAGCGTCATGATGACAATAGTAAATTCCTTTTAGTCAGAAGTTGACATTGACTAGTGTATGCTTTAACTTTAATGGAAGCTACCACTGACCGATAAAAACAAAAAAAAAGAAGAAAAAGAAACAATACAAAAAAAAGTCATAAAATATAAATTATTGTTGTTGAGCATTAGGTATTCGTTGTGCGACATAAAAAGTATATGTAATGCCAATGTTTTTATGTTTACTTTTTATGTTTTGCTATTTAATACAAACTACATATAATCCCTGTTCGTTTGCCACTCATCATACACACAATCGCTCGCTTGTGTGTATCATTATAAAGAGGGAGAAAATACATATCATCGTAAAGCTTATTATTTTCCTTTCTACTGTGACGCTCTTGTAGCCTGGAGCGCTGGAATAAAATTGCAATGTGCGAGAAATTATTTTTTTCTCCCTTTTCTCCTTCTAACTTTTTTTTTTCTAAATAGTTTATTCTTATGATAAAAAAGAAGCAAAATAATAATAATAAGCAATTTTACATTGCATCTAGTACACTCATCGTGTTTATAGAAACACATTTTTCAATAAGTGTGCACATGATTTTCCTTCTTGACGTCAAAGGATTTAAAGTTTGCGATGACATTGTGAACGACATTTAGCCAACTGCTTAAAATTAATTGGATTTTGCAACATTGCAATTTATGCTCTATATGGTATAAACATAAACATGTATGTTCAAACATATATGCATAAAGAGATTTTGCCAACAACGATAAACAACGTGACGGTTTAATAAACATTATGAAATCATTACATGTTGCTTGCCTGAAGTTAACTTTAATATACTCGTGGCTGACTCGTACAAAACAACATTTTCCTTTTATCTGAGGATAAACTGGAATCAAGAGCTCGAAAAAAGTGTTGGCAAGGTTAGCATGTCATGGCGGAGCTTCGCTTTTAAAAGAACTAACAAAGTTAATTTTTAGACATTGTTTGAGCTTATTGCATGTCAAACCGTCATAATATTTTCACATTCAATAAACTATAATTTTTGTTCTAAATAAGGTCACTGTTTTTACTTTTATCGCTTATCATTTATCATCAATTATTTTTATAGTAATTATAAATGTTTGATGAGTTGCTAAATTGATAATATTTACCTTACATTCTTGAAATTCTTTTCACTCCTTTAAAATCAGTTTTGTCACTCTTTGTAATATTTTTCTTTTTATATTTTTTTACCCTCAACATTCATTCAAGATTTTCTTCAATTATTCTTAAATTGATTTTGACGCCGTCAAAAAGGGTTCTCAACTTATCATCTTATCATGGAAACACGAAACCCTTCAACCCACCCGCAAACATAACACGATTTAAATGGCAATTTTCTTGTGTGAACTTTCGAGTACACTCAGAAAGCTCAAGAGGTCTTTTTAAACGGAATATATCGAATGAGAAAAATGTATTTGTCGACGACAAAATAAATGAATTGTATGGAAATTATTCTGCCTGCCTCACTTCTTGTCGTCATCGTCATCTTGCTTTGTGTAAACATGGAACAATCATTTTGATTTCCGGACTCGTACTTAGAACTGATGCGACGACATTTTAGGGATTTTCCCCGCCACACATCACATCACAAGTTAGTCAATATTACTTGCTACAATCTGCCTTATATTGAGTGTCAAACATAGCCGGAAACCACATGAAATGAAATGAATGATAATCTGCCAACGAGATGAAAAACAATTAATTTTGGGTTAAGCATACGACAAGGGGTGAAAATCAGAGATCGTGTCGGTTGACGGAAAGCAGTAAGGCAAAAGCAGAAGAGAAGAGGGAAAAGTTTCTGAAATGGTTTAATAATCGGGGAATTAACACATTTCATCGAGTGAAAAATTGGAGCAAACAGTAAAATCCCTTGAAACTGTCAAAAGCGCGTAGTTGTTGTTTAAAAAGAAAAAAAAACGCAAAACAAAGTTTTTTCCTAAAAAGCACACAAAAAATCCAGTATCGTGCCATTGCCTTTATAGCCATCAATTATCAACATTTCAGCTCAACAACTGTTGCAAATCACACGGATGGAAATGTATACAGGCAACTACCATTTTTATTTTCCAACATTAACAAATTGTTGATCCATAAATAAATTCATAAGTGATTTACTTCCAATTTTTTCCCTTTTCTGTTGGTCTACAGCCGGTTTGTTGTTTTTTTTTTATTTAACACAAAACATGAACGCAATCTTTAATATTATGTGAGAAAAACCATGTAGGGTGAAAGGCAAAGTCCATAAATTTCGTCATGAAAGCTTTTATAGGTTTTAAGTTAATGGCCTGTTTTATAGGATTTTGATTTCTATCGTAACAAATTCGACACGCTTTAAGAATTGTTCCATATGACATCATCTTCCAAATGTCTTCCATTTGTAAATTGGCACAGATGAATTCTTGTTAAACGCTATGTACATAGAATCACATCATTACACTCTGCTTCACCCAAATGTCCTTTGAGTCTCATTCTCATTCTCATTCTAAGCTTTTACTGCGACAAAGAAGTAAGAATAATTTTCACTCTCTACCAATTAGACTTTAACAATGAGTTTTACAACAAAAAGAAGCATCATAATTTCGTATTTAACCATTTTGGCCTCTACGGAAGAAGAAAAGTCATCTGGATGGTGAAGAGAAATGAAAGAAAAACCAGACACAAAAGACGAGGGGAATTATTTGAAGAATTCTTCTCTTTATTTTTCGGGTGAAGTGGTGGGTAGAAGGTTGAAGAGCCATCTCATTGTTGCTGAACCATAATAATATTTTCCAGTCTATTTTTCCTTCCTTTTATAGTTTCCCCAGCCTGAGTTTGTTTTCAACCCCATTCAGAAATGAATAAAGAAATGAAAAATAATGCAATTTGGAAGCTCAAAGACGCGGAAAAGTAGATATTATGAATTAAATTTTTGTGATCTATTCTTTGTTTTTCTTCAGCGAGCTTTTTTCACTTCAGCCATGAGTTAAAAGTTTCTCTCGTTTCTGTAACAAACGCCAACATTACTTTTATTCTCATCTCGCTTCGAAGCTTGCCTGCCGGTTGTGGTAGAAAGGAAACTTATAAGAGAACGAAAAGAATTTTTTTCTTTCCATTTCTTTTCAAATTTTCAACAACAATAATTAAAAATTAATGGATGGGAAAAAATGAGAAAACTTTCGTGCAAACTTTAAGAATATTCTCAATATTTATGTTTCAATATGGAAAGGAAATGAGAGAAAAGTTTTGCTTTAGTTGTTATAAGAAATTGAATGCATAATATTTTTGGATATAATGAGAATTAAATTTCAGACAATTATTTCAGCAATGCTTCATTGGCGACCAACATAATCCAATTGTTAAACCAGTCAATTATTGTTGCTCGGTCTCCCAACCCACAAAGTACTTAAAAAGAATGTTCCCTTGAGATCGTTTATGCATGATATCTGCTAGCATGAATGAGTAGCCTATGCCTATGTAAACAACGACAATATCCCTAATCAAATTCGAAACAATTTCTTCTGTTAAACCCACATTCCATTTATTCTTCCGAAAATAAGAATGAAAAGCTTTAATGCGTAATCGATTCGTCACAAACTTGAGCAAAATAAATAAATATACAAATGAAGTAAACAAAAAAGAAATGCCCTTTCGTGCGTATAACGTGGAATATTATTTAAGCTTAGACGTCTAAACGTTCTTCATGCGTGCGCTTGTGGAATATTAAAAGGAAAGATCCACTGGAGATTTCATCTCTTACTTCATCTCAATTTCAAGAAAAGCCTATCACGAATAATAAGAAGATGAGGTCGTCTTCTTTGCATTCATTTGAGTATTTGAGAGACTTCTAGAGTGGATTTGTGTATCTTTTTCAATTTTCCTTGTTTTCTTCATCCGGTCGTGTGTAGGACTTCCCTTGACTAAGGGAATAAAATGAGAGCTTTTATAAAGCATTGAAGCATCCTATCAAGTTAGGACTGCCCTCATAAAAAAGAGATAATTATTAATTTAGATATTTATCTACATGCTTAAGTGATGGTAGGGAAAGATTTCTTCTTCTTCCTTTTCTTCGTCTCCTTGTTTATTTTGGAATAACAGCACAAATGTTTAGAGGCTAAAGGAGGAATGGGAAGGAAGAAAGTTAGAAAGGGTTCCAAGTGGAGATAAAAGAAGGCAAAGCTACATTACATTGAGTCTTTCTGAAGAAGCAGAAAAAAAACTCTCATCAATTTAAGGGTGAATGAGCCATATGTGCTTTAATGTTATTGTCGTAGAAGGGGAGAAAAAAATTGCCAAAGCGCTTTTAGGAAAAACAGCATACAAAAAAAATCTATTGTTTATTTCAATTTGATGATTTCTCATCACATGAGACTCCACTCCCACGCATCAGACGAAATTACTAAGAGAAATTTTCCTTCAAGTCATCTTCATTTGGTAAGTGAAATGAATGTAAATTTTCATGGAAATTTGTCAAGATGCGGAGACAACCATTGAAAGAGAAACGAAAGTGAACATCAAGAGATCCTCTTCAGCCTCCAATGCTTAGTAATCTTAGATAATTATCGTCATTATACGGAGATCATATCAATTAGAAGCATGTTGGGTCTGATATTCAATTAATTGTTGCGAAAAGTTTACTTTACGCGTCGTCACTCCAGATGCTGATAGCAATTAAGAATCATTATGTAATTGCCATGTGAGAAAGTGGAAAATTGTATTTGAATGACAGACTCGTTCAAAGAAACATCAAAGACAAGTAAAGTTTAAATGGAACGAGCATCGCAGCTTCTGCATCAAAAACTATGCCAAGAGTTTTCGCTTCCCACAGACTTTGCAGCAGACAACAATGCTTTCGTCGTAAAAGGAGCAACGACAATGTCAATTTTGAGAACTTAATTAAATTTATTCACATTCAAAAGCTTCATGATGATAAAGAATTAAATTTTCTTTTAGAGGGAAGAAAAGAAGTAAAAACATAATTTTTCTTCCAACCCAACCCTCGACCTCAGTGCTTGAACAATCATTTCATAATTTTCATACATGGCATGCTCTGCGTTGTCGGATGTGCAGTGATAAAAAACCATCGCTATTTAAAAGCGACATTTTCCAGCATAAAAAATTTGTGAGAATGAAAGAAAATTTTCTGTTCATTTGGAAAGTTTTTAGTTAGTGAACAAAAAAAACTCGTAACACAAAAACGAGACAAGCAAGTTGAAATGGTGGCACAAATATGTGATGTGGGGCATAAAAAGACGGGAATAAAGTGCAATAAAATGTAAACCTTTCGAAATTTCATCGTGTCTGTGCTCAGACGATTACTTCACGTACATAAAAGTTTTTAATTTTTTTATGATTCAGGTTTTGTTATTTTTCTCCTTTCAAACATTGTCTTCGATACAAAAAATAATTTTCAAATATTTTTTTACGTAAAATATGAAAAGAAAAGTGTGAAAGAGAACTCTCCTATCCTGATGAAGAAGTCGAACTAGAAATGAACGACGATGAAAAATAAAAGAATAAAAACTTAACGATTGAGAGAGAAAATTTTTGTCGGAACAATTTTCCAAACTTTCTCTCACTGGAAAATGTCGAAAAGTGAACTTCTCGTGAGATTTAATAAGGTAAAGAAGGCGAGTGAAAGGAAATGAAATTGCATTTGCACGAACTAGCCCTGAAGCTAAAAAATAATGTACATACTGCACTTAACGACTACCAAACGCGGAAACGATGCAATTCGATGTGCAGACGACTGTTTAACTTTTTTTTCTTCATTCTTGTGAACAACTATGAAAAGAATGTTTTAATTGTTATTTGTTTCATAACTGTTTGTGAAGAGGTAAGCTCATGTAAATGTTTGTCGTTTGCGACTGTTTACGCTTTGCTAAACTAACACGATTATGGTCAATGTAAAATTTGCTTTAAACCTTATGTGAACCTACAGATTGTCCATTTATTTATCAATTTGGATGGATAAGTGTTTGCTTGAATAATTTAAAGTTAGAATATGTCTGTGAAAGTCCCATTCCATTGAAGTTTGACAAAAAAAGAAACTTTTTGATGTGAAAAACAAAAGTTTTGTATTGGAAAATGTCACTTATCCCTAGTCATCCCACAATTTACACCATAAACCGACATGTAGAATCGCAATTAAAGTTTCAATACCGCACTTTTTACGATTTATCGGAACAGTTGAACAAACAGTGATAATAATTTTAAAGCTGTCTCGGTTTCTATGCTTGCTTTCCACTCTTACACAAACTTTATTTTATGATTGTCTCTTGTAAATCTAGTGGTTTGTTTTATTGTTTGACGACACTTTTTCAAGCGGATAAATGTTGAAGAAGAAACATTTTATTTGCTGTAACTTGTAGCTTTCGTGCTTCACACATAAATAATGGTGTTGTTTACAGTGAAATGAGAATTTTCCAAATAAGGAAACTACCACCTTTGTTACCGTGAAGAAAATGTTAAATAGAAACCATAAAGTCCTCGAACACAAACTTTCATTTACCACACTATTTTTAAAACTGTAAAAGCGTATAAAAGTTGAAATAAACGGAGGCGGTAAAGAAGTGAAAATGATTTTTTTTCCTTTTTCTTTAGTCAGAACCATAACAATATAAATGGAAAATTATGCACGAGAATTTTTCATGTTTCAATGTACTGAAAAAGCTTATGCTAACTACTGAGTTTTAATCCTTACTTTCAGCTTTAACATTGTAATTAATAAAATGAGTTCCTTTGCCAATCCACTTAATCTTCAATTAATTATGAGTCTGAGTCTGAGTCTTTGCTACTCTTTCAGCAGATTTTACTTTGTTATTTAATTTTTGTTTCCTTCTTTTCCTCTAAGCAATTTATAATTTAAATTATAATCTCTTGCAAGCAGAAGAATTTTTTCTCCAAACCAAAGCTTTTGATTTAAGACTGAACATCTTTAATTTTATTTCATGGTTAGCTTTCTACCGTCGGTTTAATGTTGATTTTACTACTTGACCGTAAAAAAAAGTTGCAACACATTATCAGCTGTTAAACTTCAGCTGCGTCTCTTTTTTTGGAAAAAGAAGCCCCGTGATTATGGATAAGCACGAAAGTTTTTATTGAATGCGTAAAAAACTTTTCCTGATGGGTCAATCAGGAATGTTAAAGAGAACAAAGAATGTAGGATCGAGATAACAAAACTCACCTTTATTTTCGGTAATTTCGGATTTTTTAGGAAGCATAAAAATGTGTGGGCTTCGGAGAATCTTCTCAGACGACTTAAGATGATAGCATTAGCACAAAATAGAATGACAGAGATTTATAGGATGTTTTCAGAATTCTTCAGACATTTGTAAATACTTAAAGTGGCCAATTGTGTCCCAATCGTAATGTCAAAAAGGACAAAACCAAAGCAGATTTAATGCTTTCTTGCGCATTTTCACACTCCATCTATCAACGTATATTTATGTACATAGTATGACTTTCAATCTGTTGTGGATAATGATTTAAGCTTTCGCAATATTGAAATGATACAATTTTCAATTATATGTTCAACTTTGTTTTACATCATCATCATCACACGAGCATATCAACTGCAGAAAATGCTTTCATCATGCAGATCGATCGATTACTCTGATTGTTGCAAGCTTAATTGTCGATATGGTCAATTGAGCATTGAAAGTGAAAACGATTTTACAACATAATTTGTTAGGCATTATATAATAAGATTTTTACCCAGTAACACACTTTCAGCGGTCAATTGTAAGTAGCCATGGGAAGTCGTTACCAACATGAACAATAAAAAGCACGAGCCACCAAAACTATTGAAGTTTTTTTTCTTCATTCTCAATTAATTTCGCTTTCAAAACTTTGGTTGAAAATTGAATTAAAAAAAACGAAATAAAATGAGTAAAATAATATTCGGGCGATTCAATTTCAATGCTATGCTTAATGCAACGTTAACAATAAAAAAATAAAAAAGAAACATTAAACCAAGTTGATTTTTAATTGGACAGCATATAATTAAAAAGAAAAAAAATGCTTAAAAACCGAAGATTTTTAAATATACAATCCAGTTTTATAATTGCAGAGAATGCATTAAGCTTCTGTTTCCTGGTGAAAAGAAAATCTGACTCTAGATATTTATTCAATTATGTTGTTAGCAACATTATGTTAAAGCAAAAAAAGAGAATCGGATATGAAACTAAACACAATCAAAAATACCTAACAGCATAAAAATTGATGTAAACCTACCTAGTTGTCGTCATGATGACACAAAACTAGAGAAACATAACAAGAAAGGAATTAAAAGTCTATCAATGTCTTTTTTCTGAGATATCCTTGTGGATTGTTCATTTCCATCAAAGTATTTCCTTTCAAATAATATTTTTATTATTTCTTCTTCATGTAATATATATAAATTGCATTTCGGCTAATGAATTACACCATCTCGAACTCAAATGAATTCAAAATTTTGTCATCTTTCCTTTTCTTAACATGGGAGACTTGTTGTATAAAAAATTGTTATTCCTATTTTGAAGAAAATGAGTTCATTGATGATATCGCCCGTTTGATTTAATTATCATTTAAATTATTGAAAAATTTTACAATAAAAAGAATAATTGAGCTTGAACAAGTAGTTTTATTAGAAGTTTCATCACTATACGAAAGATTCTTCTCATTATCATTTTTGCGATGATATCAATCAACTCAAAATCATCATCATCATCATGATGAACAGAAATCCCATGAACATAGCGAGAATTTTCACTTTCTGATAATTTTCTCTTCTTTTTTTTGTTTTCTTATAAATATCTAATAAACAGGAGTAAAATTTGAAATTTCTTTCAGCTTCACTCTCATCGCGAAATTAAAAAAGGCGCCTCATAGAATGAGCTTTTCTTTTATGTTCATATATTAATAAACACTCTTGGCTTATTCGTGTTGATTGAAAATGAGAGAAGAAATTTCTTTTATACATAAAAAAAATCAATCAATTGTTTAATTCAACTAGATTAACGTGGTATCAAGTTTTTTCCCCTTTAAGGTTGTGATAATTGTGTTTGTGTTGTTTACATGTTTTTTTCCTCTTTTAATTATTTTAATTATTATTATTATTTTTTGTGTGGGAGTAAGAAAAGTTTTCTTTGTATTTTTTCTCGAACTTTCACTCGGGTTAATTCAGTTTTTTCTTTCTTTTTCTTTTAGTTTAAGTTCATAATTCTTTTAAGGACTTTTCTTCTCTTCTTCATTTCATCTTTTTTTATATTAAAAAAATCCTTTCAATGTTAATGCACTTTTGCCAGTGAAACTGTCAAGTTATGATGCTGGCTTTTGTCATTTAATAGTACGCTCGTCTTGGATTATTCTGTGGGTTTCATAGAATGAATAAATTTTTCATTAACAATAAAATGAAAATGTTTACTCACCAGTGGATTGGGTCTGAAACGATAAGCCAACATCATCCTTTTTCTATACGCATCGTATTCATTGTCATTCTCATTTGGTGCTTCAACTTCATTGGCACCAAGTCCTTGATGGTTTTCACGTTGTGGAGCTCTTGATTGATAAAAAAAAGAAGTAAAAGGTCAATAATGAAGTAAAGACAAAAGTTGATGAGAAAAGTTGAACTAACTTGTTAATTGGCTCAGTAATTCCACTTCCACTCGCACCAAGTGACGTTCCCTCACCTTTCCAACCCAGCTTCTGAAGCATCTGATATCCTATATTGTCCTCTTTTAATTTAAATTCCTTATAGTCTGACACGTCCGGTTGTGTTTTATTTTTTTGCGTTTGATATTTCTCCATGAACTTTTTAAGCTCTTCGGGTGGTAAAAAGTCACCGATATGATGTTTCCCCTCACATTGAGCATTTAAAGCTTCCGCCCATTTTAACGTTGCTTCCATCTCTTGCGATCGAAGCTTATGTTCCCATGTTCCACCATTCACATCCTCATCACTATCATATTCATATTTAAATTTTCCATTCTTTGCTAAATGATCGAGTTCTTGCCGCTTCCGTTGCATGTCTTGAAAGAGCAAATTTATTTTATAATGTTCTTCAGCTTTCTTCCAATCATCTTCACTTAGATTCGTCGTGCCAAAGTTCTGACGGGCATATTGTAAAAGTGCTGGATCAGATCTGTTGACTGCTGAGAGCATTGGTTTTGCGACTGTCGTCGGTGTAACTGCTACCGCTGTTGTTGTAACTTTAACAGGCGTTGATGTTGTTGACACTTCTGGTGCTTCCCCCCATCGACTTTTCTTTCGTTTTGGAGGACGAGCTGATGACTCTGTTGTTGACTTCTCTATCTGTTGTAATGTTGGCTGATGATGGTCTTGTTGTTGATCTTGCTCGCAACTTTTCTTCGAATTTCCCGATGATGTCGACGATGCTGATGACATTTTAAATTTTCTATCATAAAATCTTGCGTTGTCATCATGATGATTGTCTTCATCGGATGAATCTGTTGTTGAAAGATCTTGTTGCTTTCGCGATCGTGAATGAATCGCTTTACGTTTAAGATTTTTTAAATTTCTTTCTTTTGCCTCTTTCCACGTTTCCGTGTCAGAATTTGTTGACTCTGAATCATCGTTCCTAATAACAGTGACTGTTTTGGCTTTTGATTCCTGAGTACTGCCGAACGTCTTTGGCTCGAGGGGACCACTCGCATTTATTGACGATGGTGTGCTTCGGTATGTTTCATATTGAGTGTCGTCATATTTTTTATCCATACTTCGACGCTCCGTCACTGCTCGTCGATATTCTAAATATTCCACACAGCTCTTATCAAACAAAAACCTTAAAAGTAACAAAAAGAAAAGAGAAAGAAACAGTGAGTGATAAAGAGAGAAAGTCATAAAGAAAGATGTGACAACAATGTGTTGTGTTTTGTTTACAGAGAAGCTTTATTTATCAGCTATAACTCACCTAATAGGCTGACTCAAGTCATTTTTTGTAAATTGTGTTATCAAGTTTTCCTCATAGCCATCACCATTAGCTGCTACCAACTCAATGAGTTGCTCTTTAGATGTTGGTACTTTTATAGATGATCCCGCAAGAGATGCTACGGGTGGTACTCGAATTTCTTCCAGTTTAAGGCTTTCGTTCTTGGTCTTCGTGACAACAACGTTCAGATCTTGTTCACTCGATGGTGGGATGTCGTTTAGCTGTGATGGAATGGCATTCAGTTGTGGCACGGTTGATGCACTAAAATTGATAATTTTCTAATGTTATACATGGAAATCATAGAACGGGTTGAATAATTTATTTTGTTTCTTTTTTTTGTGGATCATCACCAATACACTGATGATGATGTAAAATAAAATTATACGATAAAAAAAAGTGAGAAATCATCAAAATGAAATAGTTCATAATTGCTCCATCATATAGCAAATTTTCACCTTTCATTTGTACTACTCGTCGCTCCTGTTAATCGCTTGAAATTCTCTAAGAATGATCCATCATTTGGCAGTAATGATGTTGGATTTGTTTCGTCACTGAAAGTGCAAAAGCAGGAAGATGAGATTGTATGATAGGCTGAGTTCCTTTTCTTAAATGATATATTGACTGAATTTAAAATTTTCTTCTTGATTATTCAATCGATTAACGAAAGAAAAAAAAAATTATTTGAATGTTGGGAATGATTGTTCGTCCATTTTTTCTTTTTCAATTTTTCAAGACGGAATTTTTTTTCAATTGAATTTTCATAGTCGCCTATGCCTTTGATGTTCTTATTTTTTTGTTTTTTCAATGCTCACCTTCGACAATTTTGTGTGTAGGATTCTAAAAGTTTAAGAGCCTTCGCCCGTTTTGCTAATTGCTCTCTTTTTTCAGCTATTAAACTAGCCTGAAGTTCCAATTGCTCTGCCTTTCGCAAACTATTACTTTTGGACATTTTATCGCTTCAAGGATATTTCATAATTGTTGGTCACACTTCGATAGAAATATAAGGCTTTTCACTTTTTGATTTATCCTCGCTACCACGATAATATCCTGACTTGAATTTCGATTCCGGTAAAGTTAGAAATTTGTCAGACGGACACGAACTGTTTGTTGATGTTTTATGACAAAAGAAAAGTATGAAGGGTTAATAACTAAGTGAAGAAAAATGGAAAATGTTTCAAAATTTATCAAAATTTCATGATTCGAGAAACTCAATACATAAGAACTGTCTTAAATACTTTTTAACATCATAATCATAATGAAAAGAATCCTTTTTAACAAAGATATAGTGAATAACTGTTAACCGATGTTCGAAAATTTGTTACTGAAAACTTTCCATTCCCCTCGTCAAAAGTTAGCGGGCCGCAGTTCATTTTTGCGCAAAAATTTATCTCATTTATCTGTTGTTATTTTTAAAGCACTCAATAATATTGAATTAAAAAGACTGCTTTTACGGTATTAAATTCCAATGTAAGATGGTAAAGGTTGTTGATGGAACATTAAAGCAAACATCAGTAAAAGATTTGTTTCTGAGAAAGTCAAATAAGGATAAACAAGAAGAATCTTTTGAAACTGATTTAGATTCTAAAGTTGAAGTGAAAAGCCCGTCGATATTTGATAAATATAAAAGAATTGTAATTTGATTCAATTGTGTTCAATATGCAAATCAAACATTTCTAATTATTAACGTTTATTTTAGGAGAAAAAAAATATTTCAAGTCCAATAGATCTCGACACTTCAGACGATGCTTTAACTCCTTTGAAAGGAATCAAAGAAAATCTAATCCATCTCAACAAATCTTTAACAGAACATGAAAATAAAATGGGTGATTCAAATGCACAAAAACCTAAAAGCTCCTTCAAATTTCGACCAGCGAAAGCATTAAATTTCAACGGAGTTAACACAAGTCCACCTAATGAATCTCATAAAGAAGAAGTTAGTAATAAGTCCTCAACATTTAAGAAGTTTTCAGATTTCTTAGTTGATGATGATGATGACTTTTCAATGATTGATAATGAAAAAGTTGAAAAACCAAAGCAAAAACAACTTTTTACTTTTAAGTCGAAACCTTTAGCGACCTCAACTCAATCAATGGCATCGATTGTGAATGAAGAACGTGTGAATAACATCAAAGGTATTGATCCTCCAAGAAAAGTTGTATCAAAAAAGTCTGAGGAAGAAGAAAAAAAGAATCAAATGAATGGAAACAAAATTAGTGAAAGTCCAGTGAAAAATTCTGTCTTCAAACATCGAACACCAGACGCAAGTAATAATTTAACACCTAAGAGTTGTCTTGAAGCAATTGAACATGATTTTCAAGCACCAACACCTCCTTCGCCAGTTTCTATTCGTCCAGTTTCTTATCTAATGTCACAATTGAAGAAACCAGAATTGAACACTTCAATAAGACTCGGGCCAACCCAAATAAGTCTCGAAAATAACAAAATTTCGATCAAAGTTGATGAAAATATTATAAATGAAATTGACAAATCGATGAAAGATTCTTCAAGTGATTTAAATCATCTTAAAGAAGAGAAACTTAAGTTTCTTGAGCATTATTACAACATTATGACACAAATTCCAATGTCGCACTTCCATTCAATTGAAGGATTCAATCAAACTTCTATTATAAAACTTAAGATGGCAATTGGGACTTTAAATGGTCGAATTAAGAGACGGAAAGCTGAGATAAATGAACCAATTGTGATTTCTACACCTGATAATCGATCAGTGGTGGATGCAAGTTTAGTACAAATCGACGACGATCAATTCGATCTTGATGAGGTTATGGAAAATGTGAGAGACAACAAACTAGCAGAAGCAGGAAAATCATATTGTAGTTACGTTGATATTACCAATTCTCCGAGTGTTTCTTCAACTTCAAGCTTTAAACCACGAATAAATATGGCAAATCAACAACAAAGATTGCCTGATCCCACCCCCGTAGTACATAACACAGATTTTGTTGAAACATTCGATACAGACGACGATGGGTTTCCTCTGATTGATTACAGTCAACTTGAAGATGTCGTGCCGATGCCTTCAACATCACAAGCATCAAAAAATGTGAAACCAACTGAGAAAATTGTCAAGGAAACTGTAAACTCAATGATTCCTGATTCATCAAGTAAAGTTTCGTTTTCAGCAATAAATTCACTGGGGAAGTTTCATGACAATGTTCACAACGATGGACTTACTGGAGAGTTTGATGGATATCACTTTCCTTTCTCTGATCAAATCAAAACTTGCTTTCAATACACTTTTGGATTGCGAGAGTTTCGATCAAATCAACTTCAAGCTATTAATGCTGTGATGTTGGGAAACGATTGCTTCATTTTAATGCCAACTGGTGGGGGAAAATCTTTATGTTATCAATTACCAGCTTTTATTACTCCTGGAATTACTCTTGTTGTTAGTCCATTGAAGAGTTTAATTCTTGATCAAGTTAACAAATTAAAGTCATTGGATGTAAGTTAATTTCATTTCATTAAATTTTAAAATTTTAATTGTCAATTGATTTAGATTGAAGCCGAAGCATTGACGGGAGAAATGTCACAAGCTGACTCGAAAAGGATTTTCTCTGATCTTGGTTCACTGAATCCCAAAATTAAATTGCTGTACGTGACACCAGAAAAGATTTCAGCTTCATCAGTTCTACAAGAGATTTTAGACAAATTAAATTCGCGTGGCAATCTCGCTCGTGTTGTAATTGATGAAGCGCATTGTGTGAGTGTTTGGGGTCATGATTTTCGTCCAGATTATAAAAAACTCGGTGAGTTGAAGAAAAGATATCCAAAAGTACCAGTGATGGCCTTAACAGCAACCGCCAATCCTCGTGTTCGTTTTGATGTCGTCAATCAACTTGGAATTAAAAATTGCAAATGGTTTTTATGCAGCTTTAATCGTCCGAATCTCAAGTACATCGTCACACCAAAAAGTGGCCCTAAAACACTCAACGACATCATTCAACTCATCAAATCAAAGTTCTCGCGATCAAGTGGAATCATTTATTGTCTTGCTCGTAAAGATTGCGATACGACAGCTGAAAAGTTGAAGATATCGAATATCAAAGCAGCGAGTTATCATGCCGGCATGAGTGATAAAGAGCGAGAACGTGTTCAAAACGGTTGGATAGCTGATAAGTTTCTAGTGATTTGTGCAACGATTGCTTTTGGAATGGGAATCGACAAACCTGATGTTCGTTATGTGATTCACTTTGCAATGCCGAAATCTATCGAAGGATATTATCAAGAATCGGGACGTGCTGGTCGTGACGGTGACATTGCAACATGTATTCTTTATTATAATTACAGTGACAAGGTTCGTTACATGAATCTGTTTAAAGGACAATCGAAGGAACAATATCAAGTTTCACTTAATAATCTCGACTTAACAGTGAACTTCTGTGAAAATATGATGGATTGTCGTCGTGCATTGCAATTGAATTATTTTGGTGAACATTTTACACGCGAACAATGTTTAATGAATCGTTTATCGGCTTGTGATAATTGTTCTCGTGCCCATCAATATAAAGACGTTGATGCAACAGACACTTGTAAGATAATTGTAAATGCGGTTCAAGAATGGTGCATGAATCGTCGTTTCACTGTTCTTCAGATGGTTGAGATGTTTAAAGGTGCTGAGACGAAGAAAGTTGTTGACTTTAAGATGAATGAAACGAGATTTCATGGACATTTGAAGCAGTGGGATCGAAGTGACATTCAAAGAATTTTCCATAAATTAATCATCGAAAATTATCTTCGTGAAGAAATCATAACTCACAACGACATCCCACAATCTTATCTTAAAATTGGACCGAAAGTAGCACAACTTATGTCGCCAGGTTCCAAGTTAAAAATACAATTCCAAATGATGGAGAAGAATCAACCGAAAGCAAAGAAAATGGAAGTCACAGCTGTTGATCAACAAGATGATGAATTACGTGATCGTTGCTATCATGATTTGGTTGAAGTTGCACAAAGAGTTGCTGAAGAGAAAGGTTTAACGATTGGACAAGTCATGAACATGCAAGCAATTCGTGAGATGAGTAAACGAATGCCTGAATCAGAGAATGACATGTTGCAAATTCCACACGTCACAAAAGCAAACTTTGATAAGTTTGGTCAAAGATTTCTTGACATTACAGTTCCTTATGCTGCTCAACGAGCAATCAATGCGATGGAGAAAGATTTTCCTGACGATGATGACGATAATAATGTAAGCAGTTACGATGATCAAGAAAGAGATTGGGCAGCATTAGGACGAGCAGCATCGACATCATCAAACACATCGAGTGGATCAAAAAGAAAGTTTGGTGGTGGGTGGGCAAGACAAAAACCAAAACGTTACAAAACAAACACAAGTCGTGGTAAAAAGAATTCTCCAGCAAAAAAACGAACAGCAGCAGCAGCTAAAGGTCGAACAGGAAAAAATTTACTGCCAAGGCCAACACCACAATTTTGATTTTGTATTCTGCTAATTTAATTATCGATAAGAAAGATTTTAATAAAAGAAAAGAAAATTTACATTTAACAACTCTTGTTCTCAGCTTTATTACGCACTTTTAAATTTTATGAATAAATTAAATGGTTAAATTGTCTAAATTGATGTCCAATAAGAGAAACTCGTGCATTCGACGCAATTCGATGGTTTTAGCATTAGCGGGGGTGGGCGATAAGGATATTTATGTGCAAACATGTAAAATTTGTTTTTTCCCATAAAGTTTAAAGGATAATCAGATAAGTATTTAGAATTGCATCATCTGAGACTCTTCTTAATGATGATGTACCGGATCTAATTCGAACAAAACGTTGAGATGAGCTTCACGTGCAAGATGAACGATTTGTGATAAATGAACGCTAAGCATTGCAGCTTCATCGAGATCATCCTTTGGTAGAATGCGAAGTTTCGATTTACGAATCAATTCCTTGGCTTCATTGACGTTCGTTCCCTAAGAATATGTTCATTTAATGAAAATAATTTCACAATTTATGAAATAAGAAGTCAAATAATTACTTGAAGACGAACAATAATCGGCAATGTAAGACTAAGCTCTTTAGTTGCAGCAATGATACCCTCAGCTATGACATCACAACGCATGATACCACCAAAGATGTTAACAAGAATCACATGAACTTTAGGATCAGCTGTGATGATTTTGAAAGCTTCTTTAACAGCATTTGCTGTAGCACCGCCACCAACGTCTAAGAAATTTGCGGGATCTCCACCATGAAGTTTGATGATGTCCATTGTAGCCATGGCAAGACCAGCACCATTGACCATACATCCAATAGAACCATCAAGTGCAATGTAATTTAAATCAAACTCAGCTGCAGCGACTTCTTTTGGATCTTCTTGTGAGAAGTCACGACGTGAGAAAAGATCTTTTTGACGGAATTCAGCATTGTCATCGAATCTCATTTTAGCATCAAGAGCAAAATCTAATTAAAATTATATAAATTTATTTTATAGAAAGGTGATCAAGATAATTGTGTGAATATATTTAAAAGCATTGACATAAATAAGGATTCGTGATTGGAAAATGCTGAATTGTGAAGGCGGCTTAACTCAACATTCAGCTTTTTCTAGTTCACTCGAATTCACCAATATTATAACTTAATTAATTGACATTTCAAAATAGGTCAACTTGTTATAATATCATATCTCGAATCCTTTTAAATATAAAATATATTCTCGACCATGGATCATGCACCAATGATAACAACAAAAACTAATAAAACTAAGCGACATCACAAAATTTTCCTTATACTAAGCTTATTGAAAGAATTTCATCCACCATCAAATGCTACTCTTTTCCAAAAAATATTTTAATTATGAATTCCAACGATGATGTAAATGTTTTACTTACACTGATCGCCTTGAATAAGAAGAATAAAAAAAATGTTCATAAAATATTCTCTAAACATTTAATAATTTTTGATTTTTGTTTAAAGTGTTAACTAAGTTAATTAAATATGTGTTCAAGGTCAACTTACGAGTTTCGCCAGCATCCTCAGCGTACGGATTAATTTCAACCAAAAGTGCGTCTTTTTTGCAGAACAAATCATAAAGATTCAAAAGCATCTGAGCGGTACTTTCAAGGTGATCATCAAGTCCAACTGTCTGGGCGATTTTCAAGGCTTGTTCCTTGGAAAGACCTTTGTTGATATCGATAGGCTCATAGATGATTGCATCTGGATTTTCAGCAGCGACTTCTTCAATGTTGACACCTCCCTGTGATGATGCGATGAGGACGGGACCGTTAAAGGCACGTTCCATCATAACAGCAAAATAGAATTCACGACGTGGAAATTTTCTTTCTGCCACCATAACTGAGTTGCAGATTCTTCCAGCAGCACCAGTTTGCTTTGTCACAAGCAGTTGATTGATCATTCTTCCGCCAATGTCTTTTGCTTCTTGTGGTGAGTAGATGACGCGAACGCCTCCTTTTAATCCATTTTTAAAGGCACCTTTTCCACGGCCACCTGCAAGTACTTGAGCTTTCAACACAAGATTCTTTGTGTTCAAATCCTTTGCGATCTTTTCAGCTTCATCTGCTGAGCTCGCTACACCAAACCTGGAAGTTGACAATTGTTTATAAATTTTCACTTAAGTATGTCGAGTTTAATAAATAGTTTATAGAGAATTTCTAATCTGAGTGCATTTGAACTGATAAGATTATTTCTCAACTTACTTTGGTGTTGCAATTCCAGCTTCGTTAAGGAATGTGTAAGAGACATGCTCTTGTACATTCAATTGACGCTTTTGTTGTGCGGCACTGAGAATCTGAAAATAAAATCGAGTTTATTTTCAGTGGCATGACACCGATTGATTTTCTAGTTATTTATAGCATCGTTAACGACATATGACTTCAAAGGTAAACAAAGTCAAGCTGTCATTATAATCCAGATTGGAATTATGATCACTTTACTTTCACATATTTTTATAAGACAGTTTCGTTTCAAGTATACAATTGAATTAGACACTAAACAAATTGAAAAAAAAACTATTGTGACCGTATTCAAGGTCCCGCGTAGTGATTATTCAATCTTTTCTGAGAATTTTTTTCACTTTCAATTTTCTTATTGATTCATTGAGTACCAAAGTAACTTTCAACTTTAACATCAGTAATATTACTTACTTTTGCTCCATTTCTAAGCGTAGAGCTCGCAAGTAAAGCTGATCTTGTGAGTAAACTCATTTTTTATCTGAGGATTATTTTTTGTGGAATATTTTTTCGCGTTCTGTCTCACTCACGTGAAATTTTCTTCTGTCTCAGTCTTTCGAAATTGGTAGACATGAGCGGGGGTGTCAACTTAAGTGCATTTAAATGATTAGTTTCGAACTTAATTTTCTTCGATATTTTTAACATTTTTAAACCTCAAAGGTTTTTAAAGAAGTAGAGTAGAACTTTTTTGTAAAGTTTTAAGCCATAAAAATGTAAAATAGCAAGAAAACCGTTTTCGATATTGAATGCTTCCACATTACTCCCTGTTTGTGCTATCAACGTCTATGTTATTTTCACCCTTACCATACGAGTTTAAGATGCCATCGCGAGCATGTTTTTAATAAGGCGATAAACCAAAATATCTGTATTTAAATAATAAACTA